CCCAAAGCCCACAACGCAAAGGGAAAGAATTGATTCTTTCAAGTTGTCCTCTGACCTCCAACGTGTACTGTGGCATGTGCATGCCCAGGCCACCAAAACACATACACACACACACACACACACACACACACATGCACACACAACAACACACATACACACCAACAACACATACACCAACACACACATGCACACACACCAACACACATACACACCAACACACACACATGCACACACACCAACACACATACACACCAACACACACACATGCACACATGCCAACACACACACACACTAACACACCATAGGTTTTTTTTAAATATGAAAAAATGATAGAAAAAATAAAACATGTTTCATAAAACCATCCTGAGTGAGGTAACCCAGACCCAGAAAGATAAACATGGTGTGTACCCACTCATAAGTGGATATTAGATGCAAGGCAAAGGATAACCAGGCTACAATCCACAACCCCAGAGAAGCTAGGTGAAAAGGAGGACTTTAAAGGAACATGCATGGAGGGCCCCAGGAAGGGAAAATAAGATCTCCTGGGTAAACTGGGAGGGGGTTAAAGGGTGGGAATGGGGGATTGAGATGGCTGAGTAAATTCCAAGGAATCCACAAGGATGACCCCAGCTAAGACTCTTAGCAATAGTGGAGAGGGTGCCTGAACTGGCCTTCCCCTATAATCAGATTAGTGACTGCCCTAATTGTCATCAAAGAACCTACATCCAGTAACTGATGGAAGCAGATGCAGTGACCACAGCCAAGCACTGGGCTGAGCTCCTAGAGTTCAGATGAAGACAGGGAGGAGGGATCATATGAGCAAAGGGAGTCAAGACCATGATGGGGAAAGAGACAACTGACCCGAGCTTGTGGGAGCTCACAGACTCTGGACGGACAGCGGGGGATCTTGCATGGGACCAGACTAGGCCCTGTGAATGTGGGTGACAGTTATGTGGCTTCATCTATTTGGGGGGGTGCCAGGCAGTGGGACTAGAACCTATCCCAGGTACATGAACTGTTTTTTTGGAACCCATTCCCTATGGTGGAATACCTTGCTCAGCCTGATTGGGAGGGAGTGGGGCTTGGTCCTGCCTCAACTCGGTATGCCAGACTTTGTTGACCCCCCAAGGGGAGGCCTTACTCCCTCTGAGGCATGCATATGTGGGTGGAGAAGGGAAGAGAGGGGGAACTGGGGTTGAAAAGGAAATTTAAAAAATTTTTAAAATGCTATTTCATAAACTTTGTAGTAACTTCCTTAGATATCTTTCTTCTCACCATAAGTTTTGAGGAACATGTGGCTGGATTTAGCTAGGAACATTGTTGCCCGAAATAAAATAATAATGGATATTGATGATGTCAGGAGGTGCTGTGGGCAGGGTCTCCCAGTCACAGGGAGAACCTGGGCAGACCTAGACATAAACTGTGTGGAGCCAGATAAAAAACCACGGGCCGTTCTTGCCTCCATGAGCACAGGGTACAGCCGCCTCTGGAGCCTGATCCCAGCAAGATCCTAACACATCCCGACTCCTTCAGTCGCTGGGTCAGTTCCAGTCTGTGTTCCAGAACTCCAGGGGATGTGAATCCACTGCAGGGTCACAGGTAAGCAGCCCCCTGGGAGACTGTGTGCAGCAATTGCCATTACAGGAACGGGGCCTCGATCCTCTGTGGGACAAGCTTGGGAGGTAAAGCTCAAGGAAAGCCAAGCCATTGCAGGAGTGGAGCAGCTCTGGTGGCGATCTTCAGGGAGAACTGGACACCAGACATATTCTGCTGTGTGGGGCTTCTGCTGCATCCATGAGCTCACAGTACAGCACCAGGGATGGGTGCCAGTGGGGGCAGTGGGGACCACCAGGTACATGGAAGTTCCTGGGCATCTGTGTGTCTCCCACTGCCCCTGACCAACAACTCTCTGACCTCCTGTCCCATCCCCATGTGCCTCATAACCTTATCCTCTGACCCTGCAGTGGGATTGTGGGAAATGTGGTTTCCAATATATGGAGCATTCCTCAGCTACCACAGAACAGGTCAAAAATCTACCAGGAGCCTGGCGTTGGTGGCGCATGCCTTTAATCCCAGCACTCGGGAGGCAGATGCAGGTGAATCTCTGTGAGTTCGAGGCCAGCCTGGTCTACAAATTGAGTTCCAGGACAGCCTCCAGAACAATACAGAGAAACCCTGTCTTGAAAAACAAACAAACAAACAAATCTATCAGGAATGCTCAGGGACAGTGTCTGCTCAGCAGGGGCTCATGGATGTCCCTGAAAGGAGACACAGGGCAAGGAAGGGCATCACTAGAGGTGGCCTATCCAGTCCTCCTTCCAGGCAGTTCCCAGAAGTCTCAGTTCTTGCCTTATCCCAAAGTCTATCTTACACAGAACCCGTTGTCCAGCGTATGTCACCTGGATCCTTAAAGCTCTTTTGTTGTAACTGATTCTTTTAAAAAATAATAAATTATTTTCCAAGTCACCCTGCTCAGAAAATCTCTTAGACCCCGGGGTTACACCTTTTTCCAAAACACCTTCTAGAATGCCTCTCTTCCTAATCTTTAAGTCTGTGCTCATCTGAAACTTTGTGTTAGTCACAGGCAGCTCAGCCTGACGCTTGCCACTACACCTGAGCCATTGCTCATCACCATCAAGGTCACCTCTGTCAAGCCTGTGGAATGTCAATGGGACTGCAAGCTGGGCCTCCTCCTCTGGGTGGCACAACCAAAGCGTCCCTCTTGGTGAGATAGCTGTGGCTGGTCTCCTCTTCCCCTGCCTTTGGTCTTGGTTCCACTTTCTCCGGAAGCTGGGCTCTATTGGAGCTACATCTGGATTCCCATCTCATCCTCCCTGGAGCATGGCCTGTGTCCAGTGCTGGACTGCCTTCCTGCTTTGCTGCGTTCCACAGTGGTCCTTCCTTGGCCATGGGGACTTTGATGTTATCGTCTTCTTTCCTTTTAGACAGGCTGTAGCCCTGGCTATCCTGGAACTTACAATGTAGATCAGGCTAGCCTCAAATTCAGAGACCCACCTGCTTCTGCCTCCCCAACATAGGGATTAAAGGCCTGTGCCACAATGAGCAGCATAATTCGTAGCTTTTGTTTGTTTGTTTTGTTTTTCGAGACACGGTTTCTCTGTAGCTTTGGAGGCTGTCCTGGAACTTGCTCTGTAGACCAGGCTGGTCTCAAACTCAGAGATTGGCCTGTCTCTGCCCTCTGAGGGCTGGGATTAGAGGTACCACTTGTAGCTTTTGATGCGATTATAAATGGGATTTACTTACCTCTTACTGCTCTGGTTATTACTAATACAAAAAGGGGAATTTTATATATTCCTCCCTTATTAATTCTAAGCACTTAAAAAGCAACCTCTTTCAGGCTTTCTCACAATCACAAGAGACTAGAGATAATTGTCACATCTCTTTTTCCAGTCACCAACAGTGGGTCTCTTCCTGTCTCATGTTGGCCTCGGTGAGCCTTGAGGAAACCTACTTGGATATGGTGTCCGCCCTCTGTTAATTTCTTTCTTTCTTTTTTTTTTTTTTGTTTTGTTTTTTGAGCTCTGTTAATTTCTATTTAGCATTATTTCTCCTTCCTTCCATGTGTTTTATGCATGTTTTTCTTTTTTTTTTCATTCCTTCCTTTTTCTTTTAAACAAGGTCTTGCTCTGCAGCCTACCTGGCCTTAAACTCACAGAAAACTTTGTCTAAGCCTCCTGAGTACTGGGACTCCAGCTGTGCTCATGAATGTCCCTGATGAGGCACTGACTATCTTAAGTCCTAACCTTGAGGTCACTTCTCTTTCAAGTTCCTTGTGATAGAGTGGGAAGTGCTTTTGTATGCCTGAATGTTGGGCTAGCCGAGGAGAGGCATGTGTGCAATTGTATGTGCTGTAATAAAATATAGCTGATAAAGTTTGCTTGAAAGAATACTGGCAGGTATATTCCTGAGAAAGAAGTAGTTCCTCAAGAGAAACAGTGGTAGCCTTTGTTACCAGTGGTAAAATTCACACTCTCCTGTAAGAGTCAGACTTTGGAAATACTTGCTCCCACCACCGTGAGGACATCTGCTGAAACCGTCACCGCGACTAGGCAAAAGTGACTATCTGGCATCTGCTCAATGATGTGTTGGAACACCAGGATACAATATTTCCCCAAAATGTTTCCAAATGCCCACCAGGGACACAAGCACAGAAGGATAAAGAGCCACTGAGGCAGAAGATGAGACACAAGGAGAGGGTGAGGCTTTGGGGAAGGTGGCTTACTAGAGGAACATTTGCCTAGCATGCAGGAGGCCCTGGGTTCAATCCCCAGGCCCAGAAGAAACAAAACCCCCATCTCCTTGCTCCTCAAGTTTGAGGTAGGACAGAGTTAGAACAGCCACATTAATTTGTTCTTTATTAAATGTCTCTTCTCTCCAGGTAACCTCCTGTGAAGTTGGAGTTTTCAAATAGAATCCTGCATTTAATAACCAAAAACTCTGCCAGCAGCAGAGTACCCAGGCGCCCAAGGAACCCTCGTTGGTTCCACAGATTATACAATGCCACTTTTCTTGCTGAAACCTTGCTTTGGAAAATACATTTTCATACAATTGGTCCTGATAGCAATATGTAATGGGTTTACTGTTCTGAAATAAGCTACGTTTTCTTAAGTCTAAAGTTTAATTTTTAATAAGGGTTTCCATAGGTACTGGTCCTGCTGGGTGGAACTCTTTAAAGTTCTCTGGCATCCATTGTTGGTCATTTTTGGGGTCCCTGAGATGACGATCTGAGCTCTATCATGCTCCAGTGCCATGCTAAGCTGCCCTGCCGAGTGTGAGCTGTGGAGCTGCTGCACAGAAAGGAACATCTCTTCAGATGCATCCTTGAAGAGGCCATCACAGTCCCCTTAGCCAGTGTGTGAGTTCTGTCCTTGAGGCTCTTAGTCTCTGAGTCCATCAGACTCCGGGCCAGGCCCACATGTGATGAGGTGCACCAAATTACTTCCCTGTTGCTGTTATAAACCACCATGACCAGAGCAACCTATAGAAAGAAGAGTTTATTTGGGCTTAGGTTCCAAAAGGATACCAGTCCATCACCACCACAGCAGGGAAGAAGGCAGCGGACAGGCATGGTGGCAGGGACAGCCGAGCGCTCCTATCTATCTTGAACCACAAGCAGGAAGCAGAGAGAGCTCATTAGGAATCACACAAGTCTTTACATTCTCAAAGCCCGCCTTCAGTGACATACCTCCTCTAGCAAGGTCATATGCTGAAGCCACCCCAAACAGTGCCACCACCTGGTTACTGAGTATTCAAATGTAGGTGACATTTCTCATTAGCATCACCACACAAGGTAACCTGAAGGCTCCCAGTGTGTACGTCCCAACTTTGCAGGCAACTGAGCACACCTTCCACCTTTGGCCCCATTCTTTGTTTCATATGCATCTAAACATAATTTTGTCACTTCACAAGTCCGCAGTCTGTTAAACACATAGTGGGGTCGCACGATACAAGGAGAAGGCTGGAGCTTCTGTGGTGCACTCGGCTCCACACACTGGGTACTGTTGTGCATCTTCCAATGACACTGTGTATCTTCACAAGGGCCTTGGTCTTTCTGCTTAAATCCACTCCTGGGCAGTCTACTACTCTGGTTCCAATTGAGAGGACTCATTTCTCGTTAATTTTAATACTTTTAGGTTGCAGTTCTTGAGGTTTCTGTGTACTTGGTTTTCTGGATCATCAAAAGTACTATCTGGAGATAAAGGTAACTGTCACGGCTTCACCCTGCCCCTTAGTTTTGTTTGCTGGCCAGTGTCTTGTTCTAGATGGCAGAGAACCAGGTAGTGATGGCGAAAGCACCGGCCTGGCTGCTGTGTTCATGTTTTGCTGAATCAGATCAGATATTTTAGCATTTACTGACAGAGTTATTTTACTCTCAAATGACCCAATAGCTAAAGGAGAAACCATAAAGTCCTCAAGGACACACTGTGGAAGGTTTGGTCATCCCCAGGTGTTCAACAGATGAGTCCCATCCAGTCTTGAGGGGGGGGCAGATGAACAAGCCCCAGACTGCTCAGACAGGGGCTGCCTCCAAATGCAGAGTGCAAAGATGTAAACTGACACAAGTCCTGGAACAGCAGTGTACCACTGCTCCATTCTGGAACACGGGGGTGGGGTGGGGGGCGGTGGGGGTGTCTAAACATGAAGACACTGACCCTCATTCTGTCCCCTCCTGTGGAGCTCCCAGACACAGGTGGTCGTGCTCCCCTCCAGCAGCCTCTCAGGCTGTCTCTTCTGGAAGGATGGAACCCCCTCTTTTTTTGAGGCCCAGGAGCTTCATGGCAGTCCAGACTCAGTGACCCACAAATGAGGATGGGCAGTGCATGTCAGCAGATCACTGAGTGTCCATGGTGGGGTCCTCATCATCTAAGGCTGCAGATGAACTCTGGGAGGCAGGAGGAGGCCAGGCTCCCTGACTTGGCTCTCAAGCACCGTATGCCCCTGAGTTCTCTGTCTCTCTGGAACCATCCAGCTGTTTTCCGGGAGAGCACTGTAGTTAATTGCACTGGTGCCCACGAACCAACTATCTGATCTCTTCCATGCTAGGGATACAGGGACATTGCATAGACAGTTGGTACTTTGTTTAATTTACACAACAGATGTGGACAAGTGCTCCATCTGTACCACTATGTGAATGTTTCCCACTGCCTGTGGTTGGCAGAAATATGCAAAGTCCATAGGACATGGACTCGGGAGCCCTATGTGGGGCAGAGGGACTTAGAGCTCAGATAAAGGTAGATGGTGCCTGCTACTCTGCCTCAGCTATACAGAACACGCAGCCCTTCCACAGGCAGCCTGGAGTAGGCCACCCCACCATCTGGTGACACAGACACGCAGCCTCTCTCTGTCTCTGTCTCTCTCTGTCTCTGTCTCTCTCTGTCTCTCTGTCTCTCTCATGCCTGGCTGACTATTATTGAAGAGTTATCAGAGCTGGCACTGTCCCATCAGGATGATTGGCAGTGGCCTGGTGAAGCCTTGTTATCCCCCACTGACCTCAGAGGTATACTCTAAGTCTCAGGGAAAACTGAAACACCTGAGCAACTGACCCATCTCCACTGAATCTGGTCCTCTGGGGCTGCAATCGCCTGGTTCCAAAGGGTGAATCAGACAGGCTTGCTGCCAGTTTCCCCTGTGGTCTCCATGAAAAAGCCCAGGCCTGGCCAAGATACTATGGATATTCAGCTGAGGGGGTCCTGGGAAGAGTCTTTCATATTGTAAAATGACAGTGGCAAGATGACCATTGTATGCCTTCTCAGGTGCCAGGCCGAAATACTCCCAACAAGCTTAGAGAAAACACAAACGTCTTCCAGGAGTGCATGGCTTTGGGTGACCTGGCTGCTGGCAACAGGTCCCCCTGGGTGTTTGCAAGAGCTGTTCCCTGTGTGTGGGTACTCTCCCTAGCTGTACCTGAATCTGTCATAAGCCCAACCTTCCCCTTCAGCGCTCACCATCATTGGCTACTATTTCTCTGCTGCCTGAACTAAAGCTGCATAAAGGCAGGACCTGTGCCTCACTCAGCATGTCACCGCTACCAGGGCCTGCATCACCAGGCCTTTGGAGAGCATGAGCAGGTTGAGTCGGCATGGAACCTAGCGTGGAACTCCAAACAGATGACCAGTGGGTGACTGGGCTGGGTTAGTACTGTGATAACTGGGGCTTTAGGGCACAGGCAACAGACCCTGGGGAGCAAAGACCCCTACAACCTGCCTCTGACTCATGGCATTTGCTTTCGTCCCGGCCAGCACTTCCCTTTCCCGTTCACACCAGAGAGCAAAGTCGGCTTCCAGCCAACAGTGGAAAGTACGTTTAATATCAAAAGCTGTTTCAAGTATCATGGAAGTAACTATACTGGAGAGTGGATTCTGCAATCTTCTCACTAGAGGTCGCCCAGGAGTCTCTGGCATTAATGCTGGAGATGGGGTCCTGAGGTCTCCCAGGGCCACTGGGGACCTGGAAAGCCCTTGGAGAAGCTCAGAGGCCAGATTGAAGCCTGTCTCCTTTCTGGAACCCTGCCTGGGTAGGCGGGGACCTGAGCCTGGGTGGGCCTCTAGACAGACTATGAGGCACCTGGCATCCTCTCCATGGCCTAGACATTGGACTTGGCGATGATCTTTTCCAGCAAGCTCATCATGCGCTCCTGAAGCTGCAGGCTCTGAACCTGCAAGATGTTCTGCTGGTCCAGCACACGGCGCACCTCTCGACATGTCTCCTCCATGGCACGGCTCAGCCGGCGCTGTTCCTCCAGCATGGCCTCCAGCAGCCGCAGCTTCTTTTTCTGCAGGTGACAGCTCCGCATCTTGCGTTTCTTCACAGGACGTTCCTCGGACCTGTGGGAGAGAGATGAGTTAGTCACAGGGCCTGGGACATGGGGGCCATCAGACTTTCCCAAACACCCCACTGGACAAACCAGGTCACCGAGGCCCCATGAAAGTCTCAGCTCACCGAGGTGAGGAGGGCTCAGAGCTCACACAGCAGAGAGAGAGAGAGAGAGAGAGAGAGAGAGAGAGAGAGAGAGAGAGAGAGAGAGAGAGAGAGAGAGAGAGAGAGAGAGAGAGAGAGAGAGAGAGAGAGAGAGAGCAGAAGGTGCCAGCCAATGTTAGCTTGTGGGAGCAGCAGGTAGGCAGCCCCAAGCCATTCACATCCCAGAGTAGGGACTGTGTGGGTACACAACCCTGACAGTACCCCAAACCCACTAAGCTGGAGAACAGTGCTCAAGGGTGAAGAGACCACTCCAGAGAGCAGCAAGGCTGGGAAAGAAGGTGCTGGACAGTGTGTGGCACTTGGTACTCTTGAGGGTCTTGATGTCTGTAGCCCCCACTGGCCTGTGACAGACAAAAAATGGGTTCAGGTTAGCTAGGCATTGGTGGTGCACACCTTTAATCCCAGCACTTGGGAGGCAGAGGCAGGGGATCTCTGTGAGTTCAAGACCAAGAGCTAGTTCCAGGACAGCCTCCAAAGCCACAGAGAAACCCTGTCTCCACCCCCCCAATGGGTTTAGAATGAAGAACTACCCTGAGCCCAATCTCCAAGTATGCCTTTGTGGGGCAGGGTGTGTGTGTGTGTGTGTGTGTGTGTAGAGAGAGAGAGAGAGAGAGAGAGAGAGAGAGAGAGAGAGAGAGAGAGAGAGAGAGAGAGAGAGACCATCTGGGTTCCTCCCCAGGAGAATGCCCCATGGGTGCTCTCTGTTAGTCTAAAAGCCTTTGCTGAACAGCAGGGAACTGTCCAAGCCCACCAGACCCCCAGGCCTGTTCTGGTAGCTGCCAGTGCCTGGCTTGTGCCCTGTGTTCTGAGCAGAGTGGGTGATCAGTCAGTGTGAGGGACAGAGCCCCAGGCAGCTGTGCCTGGGAACTGGGCTTGGTAAACTATGGGAACAATTGGCCATAAATCTCATGCTTTTCTCCTAGCTTGGTCTGGCTCTAGTAAAGACACATTTTGTCTGGGCTCTTCAGTGAGAAATTCCCTCTGGGAAAGGGCTTTCTGGGTGAATTAAGCAGATGGTCCCCACCCTAGGGACATTAGGTTCAGAGACCACCATGGAGACACCTTCCCTATCCTACCTGCTGTGAGACAGGTTTGAAGGCCCACAACTTAAAGCTATATTTCCTAGTTTCTTCAACTGCCTGACTCTTCTTTTACCTTGGAAACCCATCCTAAATATCCCCTCCTCAGAAGTTTCTGCTGTGGACTCTATGGCCCAAAGCCTTGGGGTATCTCCTACCTGTCCCCCAACTCTCAGGGGCTCTATGAGTATCTTGCAGGCACAGGCTTGTGGCCAATACAGGACTCCAGCGTGATGACAGACAAGACAGAAAACACTGGCCCACCCATTGCTCAGGAGGCGCAGACCTACATCTCCATGCTGAGAGGGCCTGTTACTGAGGTGGGACACATGTTGGGGCTTGGCAGGCAGGGAGGGCATGCTTGGCGCCTGGCCCTGTGTCTTCTCTCCTTAAGGACTATTGATTTATCCCCATTTTATGGTAGGAGACAGAGGTCAGAGAGGTCAAAGAACTTTCCATGCAGGTAAGAGGGGATGCAGCCTTGGACAAGCCCCACCTATCCGCTGGCACTAGAGCTCTTGCTGCCCTGCGGCTGCCTGGCCCTGGACAAGGCACTCAGCTAAGGCCAGTCAGGGTAGAGGCCACCACAGCAGGCCGCTGTGCCACTGCTGGCCCCTAGCTCTGCGCGCTGGAGCCTTGGCCCCCTTCTGGGATGGCGGTGTGGGGTCGGGAGAGGAAGAGTGAGCGCACACTACCTGAACTTAAGGGACAGTAAGCTGGAGGAGCTGTCGGAGCCATCGTCCTCGAAGCGGCCTTCATAGGAGCGCTGGGTATACGGTAAGTACAGAGGGGTGGACTTAGCAGACGGCGACAGGGACGCCTCGGTCTGGGACGTGGAGGGCCCCGGCTGCTGACCATCCGGCAGTTTGCCCTCACAGGACTCAGGGACCTTGGCCAGAATCCTATCAATGGCTAGGTAATAGGGCCAGTCCGGCGGGACGGACTCGCTATCTGTCATGCATTTTAATTTCCTGAAACGAGAGACACAAGAGCCAAGGTGAGAAACAGCAGGTGCAGCCTGTCCTGCCTGGACCCTGGGCAGAGTAGGAAGGGGTCTAGGTCCCTAGAGGGAGTCATGCTGACATAGGCAGGAGCCACTCTCAGTCAGCACTGGCTTCCTTGGCAAAATCAGCCAGGCGCTAGGGCCCCCAGGACACTGGACAGAAAGCAGAGAGGCATTGGGACCTGCACAGCTTCTGGGTGTCAGAAAGGAAACCCGAGCATGAGCAAGGGCACCCACAGGTGTTGGGAGTTTGGGGCTGGTTCCTGCCGCCTCTGTTCCTCTATGGGTTCTAAACTCACTTCCATGAACTGAGTGCCTTTTGTATAAGTTAACCTGCAGTGATGAGACTGTGTATGAGATACCGACTTAGAAGAAATCACCACACAGCAGTTGTAGTCTACAAAGATGCTGCCAGGAGAGGTAACAGTAAGCCACAGAAAAACAATGCTCACAGCTCTGAGCCTGCATCTTGCACACACAGTGTGATCTTGGACAGGTTCGTTAACCTCTCTGAGCCTTCATGCTTTACGTTAGTAAAATGGGGATGAAAAAGTAAGCCCTGCACAAGGCTAAAGAGAAAGTTTTATAAAATAAAGCCTGGTAAGAGCCAGGCTCTAACACCGTCCGCAGCTGAGCCTACCAGGAAGGTATGTGAGGCCACATCACTGTAATGCTGCTGCCATTCCATCCTTGAGCTAAGCCTGGCCTAGCACTCAAACCTAGAGCCTGCCCAGAGACTGTGGGGCTGGGTGACCAGTGCCATCTCTACTAGTGTCAAAACCGAAGGTCTGATCAATGTGGCCAATGCCCTCTAGGCCTATCTTCTCCCATGGATGGGTCCTGTCTCATCGAGAGGACTGTCACATCCCTGTCCTCGGCCATTCCCTGGGAAGGGAGGACTTGGGAGACAAGGACACCGACTGGCTGGATGGTTCCGGTCTGCACAGAAAGAGGCTACAGGCAGAGTGGTCAGGAGTATTTTAGCCCATAGGGCCACCTTGAGCCCATATGGGATTCTCTGCTAGGGCTGACCCTGGTCCCACTGGTCCCTGAAGACAGACAGTAAGCTAGGTCATGGCTGCTATCTTCATGTGTTCATGCCTGCTCCTGCAGGCGCTAGACTTGCCTCTCAGCTCGCTCTTCTAAGATAGGCTTAATTTTAACATCAGTTACACTAAGTGACTCTGATGCCAGCAGGCCTAAGCAGCTGCTGCAGCTGCAGGCTTTAGCTCACAGGCTCTGGGAGGTCAGCACTGGAGGTCAGTAATGAGCCATAGACAGGTAGGCTTGAGACACTTTCACTTCTTCCATGGCCCTTAGATGCCAGATCAGCAGTCAGAAAAGGAGCCTCAGGACTTCATGGTCTGTCCAAGGTCTTGCTGGGCCTCCATGTCTCCCAGGGGCACAGGGCTCATGGTCCAGGCAGGGTTCCCCTTCTCTTTCTTGGGGCATCTCTTCACCCATGAGGGTGCCTCTCTTCTATGGAGTCTGCCTGAGCACCTTACAGATACGCCCGCATGGCAAGGTCTCCACCAGCCTCTCCATCTGCCCAACTCACCAGATCAACTACTAGTATGTTTGTGAGCCCCTTGGAATAGCACCTCCCATCTCAACAGGCTCTTAGGCAGCCCCAGGCCCAGCCTGTCTAGTCTGTCATCTGGGGAAGTACTCTCAACAACTGTCCTCCCTTGACAGTCTCCAACTCCTACTGGGACACTTCCCCTCATAAGAGCCTCATGCACATGATCTCCATTTTACACCATGACCTTCATCCCACCCACTAATTTCTCATCGCCTCCACAGTCTCCACCCCACCATGATCCCTGCCCTGCATTAGACTTTGCAGAAGTCAGGCCCACCAGCTGTTCCCTCCCGGATGCCCCAATGATCCAGGCCTTAGTACCAGTTCCCTCCAGCCTCTCCTTTGGGTGCATACTAGGACAGTCAAACTGAGATGCAGCAAAGTCAGTGACCCCTATGGGGAGTCCCCAGGCCAGAGTTTTGTGCTGGCTGGGCAGCCCCTAAAAACCCCCCTCTCACCAACCCTAAGGGTGGTCCCAGGCGCATGGCAGGGGCTCACTTAGCACTCAAAGTCTCAGAGTATCGAGATCAGCCAGTCCTGGGAGTCAAGCCTTCTTTTCATTAAAGCTTCAGTTTCCTTTCACGAGACAAGGAACCCCATACCCTACCCAACTTGGATTCCAAGACCAACTGGTACCCTGAAGTCCCAGTTCAGGCCTTCAGGCCTGGTGCTGCCTATGTGATACCCATCTCTGAGGCATCATGTCAGGCAGGGGACAGGTCCAATGCCAACCTTAGAACTCTCCTCATAATGGTGCAGCTCTGGTCCTAGACCCAGGAAGTTGGGTTGAGGACGTTCCCAGCCCTGCCACTTGAGAGTTCAGGACCAGTTTTCTGCTTATGGGTCTCACAGTTTCCCCATCTTCCCAATGGGAGGCTGCATAAATGGCATAAATGGTTTTCGAAGGTATCTTGTCCAGTGGGGCTCTAACCTACAGGTGGACCATCCATTCCAAGCCACACTCACCCTCCCTCCTCAGATCATGAAGTGGTCCAGGGTAGAGCAACCTGCCTGGACCCTCCATAACCATCCTGCACGCCCACCTGTACTGGAAGGTCATGTTGGTGATTTTGATCTTGATCTCCTCGCCTAGTCGTCGCTCCCCAGTCATCTCGAAGAGCTTGCTGGCCATCTTCTCATACACCTTGGCGTTGCGCTTGGTCTGCTTGAGCTCATCGAAGAACTCCTCCCAGACCAGCATGAGGCCACGCATCTCTGCGTCTGTCCAGTTGCGGGCCCGCCGATGCTTCTCTGTCTGAGGAGATACAAGGTAGCCGGGCACTTCGGCTGCTGCCATGCTGGAGGCACCTGCAGGGTTAAGGATGGCACTCAGGCAGGGCCTCAGGCCTGGCCAGCGCACCATGGGCGAGAGGCAGCACACTCGTTCACTCGCTCGCTCGCTCGAGGCAGCTCCACGCTCAAAATGGGGCCTACATCTGACAGGCAGGAATTTAGTTAAAAGCTTTTAAACGGGAAACGTCATTTTGATGTCATGTTTCCATAGCAACAGAGCAACTGCATAAGCTACAACAACAGAAACCTTTTAACTGAAAGCACAGGAATCAGGGCTGCACTGACGGGCCATCAATATTGCAGTGAGAGGCTGTGCCCAAACCCACTGTGGCTCCTAGCCCTCCTCCCACCCTGCTGGCCCTCTAGGACTCAGGAGGGACTTGCTTCAGCTGTGCCTGAAGGGCTTCTGCATGGAGAGCCCAGGCGGTCCCCATCTCAGTCCCACTTGGTTCATATAGGCTAGAGTCCAAGGAGGCCCGAGGTGCAGGGCCACAATGGAGTGGAGGCCCTCATGCTGTCTTGATGACTGCTGGTATTGGTCCTTGCTGAGATCTCTCTCAGAGGCCTGCCAAGCTCTACTGAGGTTGGCCTCACGAGGCTTTGCCTCATCATCACCGACTCTTTGCGTCTCTTGTTTCACTCACCAAACACCCTAGGTCTCAGGTTGTGTGGGTGCTGGGAAGCCAGGCTAGCCAGAACTAGGACTTGCCTAGCCACGCAGGTCAGAAGGACACAGACTCGGACACTGACTGACCTTTGTCACGGGTGGAAGCAGGAGCATAGCACTAAGGGAAGAGGCAAACTGAGCTGAGCTGAGGCAGCCCATCAGGGAAAACTGACAGAGGCCAGAGGGCAACTTCAATGGCCGGAGGCAGGGCACAGCTCGGGGCCAGTCCTCAAGAAATATAGCAACGCTGCGGTAGGGACAGGTTAAAAAAAAAATGTCAAGGTGTAGGATCAATATGTCCACAGGGCTAGGCAGGGACCTCAGCTGAGGAGCCAGCAGGAGAGCAGGAGTGGGGAATGTGGACTCTGAAGAGGGAAAGGCCATCACAGGGCATCAACATCTAACATCTGAGAGGTGAGAACCAAACCCAACTCCATAGGACTCCAGCTGCGCTGGCTGTGGTGGACACAGGGTCTAGCCTGGTCCCTAAGCAACTAGGCTAAACCCTCTGGTCAGCAGAGGAGCAGTGTCGATCAGGCTGCCCCCTGACACACCAAAGACAGGAAGAGCTCAGCCCGGAGAAAACTGTGTCTCTGGATTTCCTGTGTCCGTTGTAGGAGCACAGTTAGACCTTGTTGGGTGGTGGACGAGTGACCTGAGCTCCAGTTCAGCATTAAAAGTAGAAGAGAAACAGGGGCACCCCTGAAAGTCTTGCTGTGTCACTTCACAGGTCCAAGTCAAAGCCTGTCCTAGCTATTGGGTACTTGCTGAATTCCCACCCTGGACCCTGGGAGTCACCTAGGAACACAGAGGAATCCTTCCTACTGTGGAGCTTTAGGTACCGCAAGGTTTGTTTGCAGATACCAACGACTGTTCCATTTCTCCTAAAGTGGTACTCACTATACTCCTCTCACTGCCAGATACTGGTCATGCGCCTGCTGGTTCGCTGCTGCCCCCTAGTGCTGAGTGTAGGAACTAGGTCTGGTTCTTAGAACTCCCAGCAGTGTAGAGTGACTAGAAAGTGCCTCCCCTCCATGTGATACCTCCTGTTTTTTTTTTTTTTTTTTTTGGCTCAAAACATTGATTCTTGTGGGGTGGGACAACTAGGTACATGCCCTATTGCTTTTCCTGGCCAGCACTTCACAGATAGCATTTCCAGCAGTCAGGAAAAGACAGGCAAGCATGACCTGGGGTCAAAGAACTCTGTATACCAGGCTGGCCTTGAACTTACAGAGATCCACCTGTCTCTGCCTCCTGAGTACTGGGATTAAAAGTGTGCACCACTATGGCAGTTTTGAGATGCTAGATTTTGAATCTAGCTCTGACTCTGTGTGACCTTAGCAATGGACCCCAGCCTCAGTTTCTTCATCTCTGTACTAGAATAACAGGAGCTAGCACAATGCTGGCCACAGAGCTATAACCTCTTTAGGGATATGGGGAGGTCACAGGGTCCCCGTCTTCCATCTCCTAGCCCCTCCCACAAATCACCTCTGGAGAGTTCAAAGCTTGCAGGGGCCGGCTGTTGGCTAATGGCTTTTACTGCTGTTACTCAGGGTCCTACAGTCATATGGCTACAGAGGAAACACCTATACCAGCTGCTTGCCCAAGTTCCAGGATGTAGAAGACAGAACCAGCCTGTCAGGAGCTACTCCATAGCCACACAACACTTTGGGTGGAACCTTCACAGGGGAAGATGGGTTCCCATTTCCTCTTCTCAGGCATTAGAAGCCCCAGAACAAGGTGGCCTTTGGGAAGCTCCTAGAGCTTCCAAGGACAAGAATAAACTGGGATGAACAAACCAGTTTGTCCACGACCCAGCTTCCCCCTTGAGGGCAGAATTCCATACCTTGGCATAGCTGCATGGCCTGCTAGGACCCTCAGTTGTCACAGGATGAGAAGGCAGGAGGCTGAGGACTAGGCCCCCAGTAGCACCTGAAGGGAAAGGGGGCAGGTCAGCTTTAGCAAGTGTTCCTTAGAGGCCAGGCACAAGAAATAGGGTTAAGACAGGTCTGCTGTGAGCTGGTGAGACCTACTTAGGCTCTCTGGGTCTGTTTCCCTTCTAAAGAACGAGTCTGGGGCTAACCTGAAACTTGCATTTATGGAAACTGTTGAGACTGTAGAAAACCAGGCTCAACTAGGGTGGTGGCAGCCAAGCTCAGCCTGTACAAAGAGGCCAGAGCAGAAAGTGGACAGCTAAGGTGGGATGCCAGGAAACTTTTAAAACCCAGGGGCTGTGAACTGAGCCTGTGCTTCAGGAGCTGAAGACTTGACAAAGGCCTGGAAGCATATGAAATGTGTGCACATGTACAGGGCAGTGCAGCCCTGAGAGGTAGTAGAGCCTGGTCTGGGGACTCAGGAGCACTAAGGAGCTTGGATTGCTCTGGGAGGTACACAAGGAGTGGTCCACTCAGTGGCAGGTAGTGAGAGGGGTTATGACCTACCTTAGAAATGGCCTGTCCTAGCAATTCCTGGGCTAGAAGCCTAGCTAGGTACCTAGGTTGCAATGCTGGATATTGCTCTCATATATCACTGAGGCACCAGACTCTTAGCCTTTGACTCACTAGCTTTGTGGACAGCCCTCCCCTCTCCAACCAAGCCCCAAATGTCCAGCCCCTGCTTGAAGTGAAGCAGAATTCCCTCCAGGACCACAATGTGGAGGTAGACTCTTAGGGAGAGGAGACTCAAGGCTTCAGAGCCAAGGATGCGTGGATTCCAGGAAGGCCTGTGTTTCTCTGCCCATGAGTCTTCCTTGGGCTGCCCAAGTGGGTCTTCCAGATTTGGCTGAGCTATATCACCTCACATGGAGGAAAGGCCCATACCCTAGGAAGCCCAGATACAGCTCCAGAGAACCTGGAACCTGTCTACTCCATGGCACACATACTCACCCAGGATTCCCTCATCCAACAAAATATTAGGCTCCTTCTTCAAGAACTCCTGAATGCTTTTTGGAAAAGTTGGAAACAAACACCAACCACAATGAAAGGACCTCAAGTCTTGTGCTCCTACATTCCCCAGGCAAGGGAGGGAGGGCAAGATTTGCTCTGGTGAGGAGGGGTGCTCTGCTGTGGTGGCCAGAAGAAATAACATGCTGCAGACACCTCAGGGAGGCTAACCCCATCCTTTCTGAAAATACCACCCATGCATGTTGTGTCAAACACCTGGCTATCCACTGGGAGGGAAGGGGTGCTTCATTTCCCTAAAGCAACCAAAACTCAAGAGGTGCTGGAGATCTTAAGGGCAAGATCGCCGTAGTCCAAGAGAAGGCTGCTGAGACAGATTTAGAGAGTTCAAGTAACACCCACACCATCAAATGCTTGAGTCACTGAGCAGGGATCTAAAACTGGCAGGACATCTATCATGCTTTTCCTGCCAAGGGTAAGGGTCAGCAGCATGCACTGGCAGATCTATAAGGCTCCAAGAGTGACCCTAGCACTGACTTCAGGGTCTGGTGGGCTTAGGGACCAAATAGACAACTCCTGCCTCTCAACTGGAACTCTGGCAAGACTTTGAGAAAGTGTTTACCAAACAGCCCCCTTTCTGCAGGTTAGTAAACAAAATGCCTGTGCTTCAGGTTCAACCCCGATTCACAGGAAGGTACCTGGTAGGATGGACAATGTTTTAGACAAGGTGAAAAGGATTTGCAAGCTAAAAATGTTAAGATAGGCATTACAGACACAGCAGCCAGCCTAGGATAAAGGTGGGTAGACCAGTTGTACTGGGGGAGGGGAAGGGCAGAGGAGTTCCATCTGGACCAGGAGCTTGACCAGAAAGAAAGAGTCGGAGAGTATGCAAGGACTCCAAAGCCAGACTGTGTGTCCTATGTGAGGACTGAGCCTTCCCACCCCTCTAGTGCCCTGCAGCAACATATGGAAGCTGGAACAGTATCTAGGACCTTGCACGATGGCTTAAAGTGCCAATAACTATCAGAACTTGGCACATCCTATCTCCCGGACAGGGAGACCACTTCAAGTAGGGTTTGCGAATACCCTTAGGCAAGGTTCCAACTCCAGACACCTAGGCTCATTCCATACTTAGTGTTGCCTGACCTTTACAGTGTCAAGACAGCTTTGCTGGGTGGTATACTTGCCCACTGGAGATGAGCATCCTGCTCTCCTCAAATGCTAGAAAGGAGGTTCTCATAAGTAAAGCAAGCCTCAGACAGTAAAGGTTTAATTGCTTCTTTAATTCAAATGTACAATATCTGCAATTTAAAATTTTTAAATATACATTTCATGTCAGTCCTTCCTCTTGGAAGTAGTCAGGTCTGGGCTGGGCTCCGGGGCACACCCATCATAGCCCTCCCGGTTCCCAGTGGAGCTTGTGTCACAGCAGCAGCAAGGCCTGGACAGGAACCCCTAGAATGCAGTCAAACCTCTGCAGATAGGTCTCTGCCACCATCACCTTAGACCCAATTTGTGGCTGAGGGTGTTTCCAGAGACACAGAGGGGAGAATCCCTTTGATGGCACTAAAGTATGACAAGCACACATAGAGGGTGGCCCTGAACCTTCAGATCATCTTTAGTTGTCACACTGCTCAGTGTGGGTTCTTTCCTGGAAGCTCCAGACCCATCGAGGAACAGTTCTCTTCCAACCTGTGACAACCCCAAGCTCCCCATCCAGCCTCAGCAGCGCTCAGTGTCTTCTACTCCCAAACACCAACACCAAGAAGATAGCTTCATGCCTGCTCTGGCTGCAGCCATTAGTGCTCAGTGCTGATGGAGGGAAGGTTTGAACCCAAGTTGAGACTGCATGGGGAAGGATGCTCACAGGTGGCAATCAGAGACTAATTCTGCAGTCCCACAAAAGGAGGCAGTGCTCCTTGACACGTGGCTGTGAGCCAAGCTATTGCTGTGCAAGACCCGTGCCATGGGCTGAAAGCACAGCCGCTTCACTTACGGGAAGGTGCTTTCTGCCAGGGAAGGGGCTGGTTAGGGCTAATGCTGTCTCTGGCACTATATTCTCTAGGGCTGGAGGTGGTTCCACTCGAACTCTTCCCTCTTGAAGGGTACATGTGCAGACAAAAATGAGAGAATAATAAAGGGCACTTGGCAGTTGCAAAGTCAAGGGGGCCAGCAGTGGGAGAGAGGCACATTTTGGAGAAGAAACATGCTGAAGTGCATTGCCAAATAGTTCTACCCTGGTTTCATTAAAATCTTTCCTGACAGTACCAGCAGGAAAACAACATCCCACTTCTTGCCCCCAAAAACCCATAATCAAAATAACATTTTAAAACAAAGTTTGAAAATCCATAGATTTTTGAGGAATTTGATAAAAAGTCTTGGTCCCTCCTGCAGTCAGGTGGGGCAATATTTCCAGTGGGACCTTAATGAGCTATGGTCTTTTTTTTTATTTTAATTTTAAATTGAGTCCCCTTCTCAGATGCTAGAAAGAATGGTCAGGCATCTTACATATGTCTTGAGGAGTGTGTGCATGTGTGTGTGTACACAAACACAACTCTGGGTATGTATACATACAAACTCATGCCTGACTGTGCCTGGGTGCATCTCTAGGCGGTGACGCCCATCAGAAAAGAACAGCTTTGTGGCAGAGCCTGTTCTAGTCCCATATTAAGAACTGTCTAAGGTCACACTATTAACAAGGGGCCAACTGAACTTCAGGTTGAACTCTCTGATATGAATTCCCAGGGGAATGACTCCAGATTTTACATTCAGTTTTCTTATAAACATCTACCACAAGCAGTAATCAGGCTTGCAACATGCCTATCTCAGAGCTGTTAGGCCAACCTGGAGGTGTGGCAGCAACAATCCAAGAACTTCCCTGTGGCCCCCAAGCACTTCTGGCAGGGAAATCTAGGATAAGAAGTGGGAGCCCTAAATCAGCAAAGGGGCACTGGTGACTTTCTTTCATTAAAATTCAGTAGCTTCCCTTAAGGTTTTCTTGAAAGACTAGATAGATCCACATCCATTGTTAATGCTTCCATGACACCAGGATAGTCTGGGTTGGCTTGGGGTAGCCTCTGCCAGGGCAGATGGAAAAAGAATCAGGCCAGGTGTGAGGGTCCCCATGACCTGTGGATGGTAGGGAACCTTGCACCCCAGCTGCCTTTCAAGTGTCATGATGGGAAGACTGAAAGGGAATTTAAGGGTCTCAAGGCTGCACTCCATAGACTGAAGCACAGCTAATTACTCTAATAGGCTACAAGCTCTTTCCTCCTGTGTAGCTTAGAAACAGCTCCAATGACCCTTTCCCCCTACTCTACATGGACATGACATAGCTGAGCGGCAGAGACCCTACCTTGTCATATAGCCAAGCAGAGCTCCTGAACCAAGCCAGGAAATGAGGGCAGTCCATGTCCAAGGCTCATTTTCATTACCATCCTTGGGAAGAAGAGGTGACTCTGACAGGCATGGGAGGCTGCCCCTGGGGCCATAGGCTGACCTGATATTGAACCTTCCCTCCAGTGCCTCATCTTAACAGGCTGAACCCTCTATACTCTCCTGGGCTGACAGAAGGCAAGATGGGAAAGGGTAAAAAAGGGGTGGGTCCACTCTTAACAGTTGCTAGAACAGGCCAGCATTCCTTAGGTCCTCGCCATGTAGAAGATACAAAGGGACAACATCCACAATGGCTAGACGGTTCCTGGGCAGGCTACTGCCCAGGTCAGCCAGGACCAGAGATGAGGTAATTGGGGTAGCCTCTCTGGGTGCAACAGAGGCTGTTTCTGGCTAGGCTGAGGGATCAGGAGACTGCACTGTTAACTGTGGAGTAGACAGTTTGACAGTCATGCCTGAGGAGGGGGTGCTGCAGCAAGGCAAGCCTCGTACAACCGTAACAGTGGAAAGCAGCTCTCCTTACCCCTCAGTTAGGCCACAGGTAGAATTCTCACTTAGGGCAGTCAACATGAACACCTCTCTCTATGCTGGTTAAATGTGATGCATAAAAAAGGGAGATGTGTGAGGTGTGAGTGCCACCAGGTGTTGAGCGGGCTACATGAGGACCTGTCTGACTAGACTGAGTAGCTACAGGAGAGGGAACGGTGGCCAGAAGGCCCACCCACTTCTACAAACTCCATCACATGCAGCACAGGCCTTGCAAGTCACACACTTTACACGGGCATAGGAAGTTACATTAAAATTAATCTCTTTACTGATATAATTAAATTTTAACTCCTGAGAAGAAAACAGAGAAAGGGAAAATGATGCTGGACACCTGGCACCCCAGCTCCCAGCCCCCACACACCACTCATTTTGTGTCCAGACACTGGCGTGGCAGGTAAACCCTGCTGGGGAAATGTGGGTGAGAGTTTTCCAGCCCAGTGGGACAAGAGGCCTCAGAACCATCTGGCAAGAGCTAGGACTTCTCCACATACCAGGGAAGCTGCCACCTGGCAACCTTGGCCAGGGGAACACTAGGAAAAAGATAAACGCTTGGTCAACCTAGCACTGCCACCAACTGCAGTGAGGCCAGGACCCAGGACTCAGGCTCAACCCCAACATAGTGCATATTCCCTGCATAGCCCACAACGCAAAGCACTCCTGCCATTGCCTGGCTGTCCACCTGACACAAGTGGAAGCCTTCATGACCAAGGCAGCCCCAGCAGAAGCTTGGCACAGACTCCCAGAGGCTCTGGCCCCAGCAGTTGCCTCCTCTCAGCCTCTCGTGCCGCAGGTACGACTCAGCAGGTGGTGACCTTGTGGACATTTCGCAAACAAGCAAGCAGCCGGTGGTATGGACTTCCTGGTGCTGCCACCACCTCAAACACAGACTGGAAAGCCCTGCGGTCGAATTCCTCCTCTATCTGGTGTCTGTAGAAGTCTGTGGCAACCAGGCAGAAAAGGTTCACATCTACATGCTCCAGTTTGCCCATCCTGCTGATGACATGTGGAAGGCTGGTAGAAGAGTTAAGGGGGACCAATAGCAAGTGTATGAAGACTGCCTCCCCAAGAGGTTCCCTTCCTAACTAAGTCCACCAACAGGGCCAGGGACTCAAGGCAACCAAAACAGAGGGCAGCCTAGGCACATGAGCAGCTGCTGCTGTTTGCAACCCTCTCCCAGCTTGCAACCCTCTCCAGCTATCTGCCCAGGAGAGTGGGAAGGCAGAGAGGCCCAGGAAGTGGGAGCTCTGCAGTGCAGACAGGGTGCTGGTTTCCAGTGATCTGTGTAGCAGCACTTACCTGGGCTGGGCTCCCCACAGTGGTAGTGGCTGGTGTTCCTGCTCACACTGCTCCAGTGTAGGGAAGGTAAAGATAGCACCCCGCTTGTAAGGTTTTCCCAGCACTTGGGGTGAGGCTGTGCTGTCACCACCGAGACAACTTTGCTGCTCAGTAGCCCTCGTGGTCTACTGTGGGGGAGGCTGCCAAAAGAGGAACTCCCGGCAGTACTGTTGGGGCGGGAACTGCAGCTTTATTTATGACTTTCCCCAGGAGGGTGACCACGGCATAAAGATGAGAACTAATGAGAAGCAGCATCGAGGAAACCTCAGAGGGATAGCACATGCCAGAGGATAAGGCAGCCAGCCGCAGGGCCAGAGGCTGGCCTGAGCCGCCCTGCCTCCCTCTGCTCCCCTCCTATCCTTCAGCAGTAGCACTCCTGCCTCAAACCTACACATTGGACAAATGGCCAGACCTTCTGTTTTGTGTCCCTGTCAAAGTTTTATATCTTTAGGTGCCAGTAGCTATGTGAGAGGAGCAGCAGGTGGCTGTTAAGGTTCGGGAAGCTGGCCCACCAGGAGGCAAAGCTCATATGGGTGAATCTTTTTTATTTTTTTGAGACAGGGTTTTAGCTTGGAGCCTGGAGCCTGTCCTGGAACTTGATTTGTAGACCAGGCTGGTCTCGAACTCAGAGCTCTGCCTGCCTCTTGCCTCCCGAGTATTGGGATTAAAGACATGCACCACCATCACCCAGCCCCAATGGGTGAATCTAGAATAGGCAAGGCCCCAAAAGCCTCAGCCCCAGAATGCCCCTTGCTACTGCTGTGTCTTTACATGTTTGCTGCTGCCATTTTTCTCTGGTATCTGACAAGGTGTGAATGGGTGTGGGGAGATCTTCACTGTCCTTAATGTAGTCTTGGAAATATCCCACCCTACTGGGCATTTTCACCTGTGAATTATTAAGAAGGTGATTTCCTCTTAAGCTGGACTGTTTAACTAAAGCAATGACTTTATACAATAATAGCATCAGTTTAGATAGAATTTTGATGATTGAGGGTTTTAATAAACACAGTAAGGGATTATGATAGATGTTAGTTTAGTGGAAAAATTAACATAGGTAAAGGTAGGATAAAATACTGCCCCTGTCTCTGAGAAGCTGCAGAGGATAAAAAGTAAAACAAGGAAGTGTAACACAGATAGAAAAAAAAAGTTTCTATTGAGAAGCCATATAGACAGTTGCTTAAGTTAATGATTAAGAAAAATAACTGAGTCCCAGATGTCTGACTAGCTCAAATCCTTTTAATCTTAATGTTGGGAGATATGTTCATGGGTTTCAGAGTGCATCATGGCTGAAACAAAGCTTTGAAAATGACTTAAGGTTAAGATGTTTTGTGACTAGCTTTGAGGTGAAAGGCATATGGTTGAGTGAGGGACTTGTTAAGGTCAAGGAACAAGAACGAAGCAGCTCATGTTTTATTAGCTGACATGCCTTTCTTGCTAGGATTGGTTGATGATCAAATATAATGAATTTCTTGTATCCACTTCTTCCCTCAGAAATATATAAAATATATAAAAAAAACTGTTGACGACTGGGTATGCACCTTGAATAAAGTAGAGCCAACTGACTGTTTTTCACATATACAAGTTTAGGTTTATGGTTCTTTTAAGATTCCTTATAAGATTACCAAATATAAGTAATACAGTGATTGATCCTTTCTTTGAAACCACAAAATGCAGTCTGCCAGTAAAAGAACTAGCTGAGAAAAATACCTTAGTTGCTTACATTCTGTTAATCTATAACAAGTCGCTTGGATATGATGTATGTGGATTCTTGGGATAATTCTTGTGGATTCTTGAAAAATAGAATATAACTACACTGTAATTTTTATATTGCCCAAAACATTTTGTTGGGATATATAAGCTGTAAAGGAAAAATAAAGACAAGAGAAGAGATAAGAGAGTGAATAGAGAAAGAACCTAAGAGTGTATTTTTTTCCTTTTTGTTGGCCTCAGAGAATTAAGTTCATCCTCCCCACCCCTTGCTGGTTCCAGAGAATTAAGTTCTGCTCCCTCAGATAGAAGTCAAGTGGATTGATAGTCTGTCGACTCTGTAGGCTCCCCCTCAAACCCCAAGCTGCCAGAGGCTGGTCCTCACTGCAGCAATATGTGGGAAAGGATAAGCATTCACCTTGCTATTTGTGAGGTTCTGTAGAGTTTAGTTTCAAAGCATTCAACAAAACCTGAACCTGATGCTAAGAGAATAAGGTAGGGCCGGTAGAGATTGAAATACGGCCAAAGACCCATGGAAGGATACATCGCTGATACCCATGGGCTGGTAGATGCGCTGACGAGGAAGCAGGATAGGCTCCACATGGCCATGGCAACTGGAGTTCTTTGTGTGAAGTTGGACAGGGATAGCATGACCCAGTCCCTGACCATGGATGACTGTCCAGCACTGTGCAGAGTCTGAAAAACCTAGGGAGGAGAGAGTCCTGAGCACAGGGTCAGGCTGTGGGGTGAAGGCAGGGGTACTGGAGTCACAACTGCCACCCATCTTACAGGATGAGTCTAGCCCTGAAGACAGGCCTACTGGAATTGACTCCACCTTCATCCTCTTGCTCTGTCCTTGCCCCACACATGGACACCCTTACCTTGTATACTACAGTGGCCATGAACTGTGGGTATGGCTGCTGGTTGGACAGAAACTCTCCAATGACTTTGTTCATGACATCTTGAGGTGGGAAGAAGTCATCCAGGAACTGAGGCAGGATCCTTGCCACGACCCTGGCTTCACAAGGAAACCCTTTGCGGATCCTGTAAGGAGGGAAGCTGATCTGAGCTTCACCCTGGCTCCTAGTCTCTAAGTCCTGCCCACAGAGCCAACATGGATTGAAGTTCAGAGGTCCTTGACCCACAGAGATGCTCCAAGTGAGGCTCAGACCATAATTAGGCTATGAGCTTTAAAAGCCAAAGGTGACACCTAGACTTTTCTTTTGCTGCCCTGATTGATCCAGGCACAGGGTGATCTTTACTATGAGAGTAATGCAGAGTTGTAGGAAATCCCTGTAAAGGAATAGCAAGAAGAGGGTGGGGTGGTGACGTTATAGAAGAGTCTTTTCACTGTTACATGTCCTGTATCAGAGCACTACTGGCAACCAGGAGTTTTTCTTCCCATCAAATAAGGACCCGTCTATGTCCTATTCTCCCTCAACTCTTGCCCTTTCGCCACACCCTGAAAATTGTAGACAGCTGACCTACAACTCTCCCACTATGTACACACAACTGTGGTGTACAGCTGAGAAGGGCCAAAGTAACTCAGACACTGAGCTGTGTTTCTGTCCAAACAAGGGTGCATTCCTACAGATGTGGCCCAAGCCCCATTACAACACTTGGGCATACTCCCAGGAGAGTTTATTTCCTTAGCAGTGGACTGTGGGATCCACGAGGGCAGTGGCATGGCTGTACACATGCATGGGCCCAGTTATCCATGAGTCTGGCTGCAAGTAGTGCTCTGTGAATATACACGCATTGAAAAAATGGCCACAAGATGCATTTTAAAGTTTAAGAGGATGAACAAATATACACAGAAGCAACTGCTCTGGCTTTGGCTCTAGGATAGTCAATGACTACTGAAGTTAGAGGTGGGGCTGTGCTGCATTTCTTACCTATCAAAGAGAACAGATACCCGCTCCATAGCAACGATCACAGACTCACTGTCAGGTGTAGCAGGGCTGGGGTCAGAGGTTCTGCCTGGACTAGCTTTTTCTTTTCCTGAAACAGAAACACCCAGGAAGCTATATGATTGAAACCCAAGAGGCTTGAAATCAGCACTCAGCGACTCATATAGGACTTGACCAGACAGACAGAAATCCTTTAAAAGCAGATGATTAGTCTCTAGCATGGTAGGGCTCAGCTCAACTTTCTTACAACTCTCAGGGATGCAGGGGGTCAGAGGCAGCTCTGACAAATATACATGGTGGTGTCATGTGAGCTGTTCTCTTGCCTTGGGCCCTAGAATTTCTGGAAATGTGGACAGGACTGGTTTAGGGCCACACTAAGGCTGCCACACCATGAGGTCTGGCTTGTGTTCTTGAATATTCCTGCTTCATTTCTTAGAAGCTAGGCCAGGAACAGTGGCCTTCAGTGAGTCTACAACCCTTACAACTTGCTCACCTGTGTACATGCAGGTGAGCATCAGGCCTAGGGCTGCCATGGCTCGGTGTGGGCTTTGTACATTCACTCTGTCCACGCTTAGCTTGACCAAAGACTCTGTATCTAACCGAGAGAGCTGCTCAGACAGCAGGAGACGCTCCAGACCCCGGAGGGCACAGTGGTAGATGATGGAGGGGGTGGATTCCTCACTTCCAGACAGCATCACTCCACACATCTAGACAAGAAGAAAGGCTTGTTTGTTCTCACCCTTTCAAAAGCACAATGACCCACTGGTTCAGTCCACAAGGAAACCTGCCTGTCCATCAGAGACCATCTGGAGCCCTCTCACCTGTATCACAGATGCTGAAAATTCTGGCCCCACATCCAGAGGGTAGTTTTCCATCAGATAGAATGCAGTGGCGCACATCACCAGCACGTGCTGCTGGCTGTGAATGTTCACGCAGCTGAAAGTGGGAGACAGTAATCATATCTAGTCAGATACAGCAGCTCCTGGCTGTCTGCAGTAGGGACAGTTTTAAAGCATATCCATCCACCTTTATTAAGTATAGAGCCTTGGGCCGCGACAGCTGCTCCAGGCCTTTTCTCCTGGTTGGCCTAGTTACTACACTGTTTCCAGAGCTGCATGGCCTCAGCTTGGCACACTACCCTAATACTGTACCTCTTCATAGGCCACTTCACTCTCACTTGCAGATCTTCGTGATCAAGATGCATTCTTAGAGTGTCAGTGTGATCCATGTGTGGCATGTGCCAACTTACTACACTCTAACTCATGGGATCTCCAGTTGGTACCTGTTGCCAATGGCAACAGTAGGGACCTGGCTAGCATATGAGTTAGACCAATGCCACCATAAACAAAGGAGCCACACACCATCTCTTTTTATCCTTTCAGATGTGTTCAAATGACACGGTCACTCCCAGGAACTGGCCACTGTTTTGTATGTGACATGGAACCCTCTGCCCGATTATTATCTGACTGGGCACTGCAAGCTCCCCACGCCCACCCCAGTCCTCTACGCCCTCTTCATTTCTCAGCAGATTGCGCTTTCCCATAACCTGCTCAAATCTGCTCTAGGCCAGGGTCTAGAATTGCAGGGGTGGTGGGTGGCTGTTTGCATACTTTGCACACATGTCAGCTACTATTCAGCAAGGACTACAGGGAAGAAAGTGCCTTCCACAAGCCACTATCTCTGTTCCAGCTCAACTTGCCACTGCCTGTTGGGCCCCTGAAATTGCACTTCTGCCTACCTGTCAGAATGCTTCATAGCAGCTATGTCTGTCAGCCTAAGACCTCACCATTTCCAAGCCTTCCATTTAATTTTTACTCTCTATTATCTGTCACAGAAAAGTTGTCTCTTCCTACAAGTCCCTTCTCATCCCTAACTCATGTCCCAAACTTCTGAGTGTCCAGCTGTGCTCCATCAGGTCACAACTCCCCCCACTCCCTGCTTCTACAACAGCTGTGATGGGCTCAAGTTTTCAAAAGCATCGGCAATACATCATGCGCAGCTACACGTATTGCATCTTTACGGGGAGGTAGAGATCAGAGCAGGAATAAAGGGCCTCCCAGGAAACATGGGGCTGCTCAGAAGCTAAAAAGGAGGCTACGCCTGGTGGCAGGAGATAAGGTTGCTGCCCACTGTAGAGTGATGTAGTGGCAGGACTTTTCATCTTGCTAGAGATATCCAAAAAAGCCTCTGACATGCACTTGTGTCCCTGTGTTTCATAGCTACTATTTCCTAAAAAAGGTACCTTCCTGGGTTTCCTGCCTGTGACCTACCTGGACCTGGCATACATTTTGTTACTGCTTTTGAAATAGGGTCTCAACTGTAGCCCTGGGCTCGTTTTAAGCTTATGCTAATTTTCCTGTCTTGGCCTCTCAAATGCTGGGATTATAAGCAATGTGCTACCATGCCAGTTCTAGCATATACTTGGAAAGTCAAACAGGGCTCTAGGGCTCTTTTTTTTTTGTTTTGTTGTTGTTGTTGTTTTTGTTTTGTTGTTGTTGTTAAGACTACACCAAAGGCTGTAGCCCACCCAGTCAGCCCCACTCACTGGGCTATTCCTTTGAGGTTGGACAGCAGATAGTCACTAACGACTGGAATGAGCTGCTTTGCAGTGTCATCCAAGAGGTCACACTCCAACACATAGAGGGTGCCATGCAGGGCTCCGATCTGGCTGGGAAGGTGGCTGCTCCTGAGTGTGCTCTCCAGTAGGCGGCTGACTGGTTCTGCTACAGTTTTGTCCTGGATACAAACAGACACAAGTTGCTGAAGACAGATTTATGGCTGACTGCCAATGCCCTGCTTCCCTGAAGCTGAAAGAGCATAGCTCCAGCATACTGTGAAGTCCACACAGGAGAGGTTGGTGTATAGTCCTGACCCTATCTGAAAGCCTGAATTTGAGAGATTTACCTTATGTGGTTTGTGCCCACACTTGCTTTTCCTTTTGGAGTTGTAGTCACTGGGCAGAGGGTGCTCCTGTAGCCTGCCTCCACTGACAACCCTGGATTCTGAGCTCTGCTGCCCACTGTGGGAACATCTCACGTGTTGTCTACTCTTTGTCTACCTACTGGATGGATGAGTTGTATTCTGCATGACTATTCTGGAACAGTATTCACACCTGGTTTTCTAGTCTTTACCCAGGAACCTGAACCCTCAGTTGATTTTGTCTTGTGTTTCTTCACTATAATGAACCTTGGTCTGGCTCCACTTAGTAAAAGCTTGGTGGTTGTGGAGCTCCTGACATCAATTTGTGCTAACCTGGACTGACACGGCATCACTTTCTCTGAGTATTCTAAATGTGGCAGCTGAATTTATGCCTAGACACCTAGCACACACCTTGACACAGGTCTTCTTCAGCAGTGAAGACTGCTGTTGTGTGATGCCATCCAGTGGCAGTACTTCAGTGTCTGACTGTGCCCTCCCAGACCCAGATACCCTAGGAGGAAAGCCTGGCTGAAGACTCATTTGGTCTTTTTTTTTTTTTTTTTTTTTTTTTTTTGGTTTTACGAGACAGGGTTTCTCTGTATTGTTTTGGAGGCTGTCGGTCCAGCCCAGCCTCGAACTCACAGAGATCCGCCTGCCTCTGCCTCCCGAGTGCTGGGATTAAAGGCGCGCGCCACCACCACCTGGCAACTCATTTGGTCTTAATGACGGAAGAGACCATCTGGCTGCCAGGCCGGTGGTGGTACACACACCTTTAATCCCAGCACTTGGGATGAAGAGGCAGAGGCAGGCAGATCTCTGAGTTTGAGGCCAGCCTGGTCTATAGAGTGAGTTTCAGGACAGCCAGAGCTATCACAGAGAAACATTGGTTTACAAGCTGGACTTAGATCATCAGTGGCCTATCTGAGGTGAACAGACCTTTGTTCAAATTTCCCCAGCAAAAGCAATGCAGCAGTGCAACACCATCTGTAGCAACATAGGAAAACCTCTCAGAAGACAATTGTCTCTGTGTACACAGAGCTGGGAACTGGAGCCATTTGCCATTCTGCCTTGGGGTTGTTCTTTAAAAATCACCATTATTTGCCTGATGCATTTGATTTACATTTTGCCTGAGGAACCTGGGCCTGAGCACAAAACCACAGTTATAAGGAAAGTCAAGTCACTGAAGTCCCCCCATGAAGGAAAATGGACCTCCCACAAGGACACAGTCCTGACAGCACCCAGAAGATGCCTGCTTTGAAGAGTGTGCTCACACAGGATGACTAAGCGCTCATTGTTCCTGCTCTCTGGATGGTGCTAAGTCACCAGCATGGCCCAGGCTATGGCCACCCATGCTGTATACCTGTTCTAGCCTCTACGTTCAGTGACAACAGAATCTATAGAGGAACAACAGTAAGGAGATGTGGAAGTTGTGCTCTGCCATGACCTATGTGTGTTGCTGCTTTGTCAGGCTGCACAGGGTTAGACCGGTAGGTAAGAGAGATCATCAGGCATTTGTGGCTGCAGGTAACAGCAAGGCTCTTACTAACAAGGGAAGAACAGACCCCAGGAGGCTCATCCGCACCATTCCTGCCAGTAGCCCCAACTACTTCACACACAGCAGTCACTCATGTGTCTACTGAACAACTAATTTTTTAAATTACTTTCATTTTTGTATATGGTATGTGTGCATGTGTCCACATGTTAAATACACATGCACATTATGGGAACCTGTAGAGGCCAGAAGAGGGTGCTGGTTGAGAGCTGGCAATGTAGGTGCTAGTCATGAACTCAGGTATTCTGCAAGGGCACCACGTGTTCTTAACCACTGAGCCATCTCTCTAGTCCCTGAACAAGCAAGTTCCTATTGTTATCAAAAAATGGATTCCAGGTAACATACATTAAGAACATGATGATAATTTTTAACACTCTGCTTGTTTGTTTGTTTTTCTAGACAAGAGTTTCTCTGTGTAGCCCTGGTTGTCTACATTCTGTAGACCAGGCTGTCCTTGAACTCACAAAGATTCACCTGCCTCTGCCTTCCCAGTGCTGGGATTAAAGGTGTGCACCACCACTGCCCGGCAATAATTTTTAACATTTTGTTTTTTTGGTTTTTCGAGACAGGGTTTCTCTGTGTAGCTTTGGAGCTTGTCCTGGAACTCACTCTGTAGACCAGGCTGGCCTCGAACTCACAGATATCCTGCCTGTCTCTGCCTCCTGAGTGCTGGGATTAAAGGCATGAGCCACCAACGCCTGGCAATTTTTAACATTTAATGATAACATTTTAACATAGTTTAAAAACATGATAATAATTTAACATTAGGTGACAGAGCAAAAGAGCCTGTGCCAACAGTCTAGAGTCACTGTCCTTTACAGGCCCTGCTGATGCCCTCTAATATGCACCAACAAGAGGATGAGCCCACAGATAATTATTTTCATGTGTGTATCTGATGTGTTTTCTATGAGAAACACCTAATACATATACAGGAAAGGCAAAACCAAGAAGTACTAGCTAAATTCTGATAAGCCAGCAGCAGAATAATGAGGAATGCTGATGAGTGGGAGAATCTAGGTATGAAGTACTCATCAGGCATCCCCAGAGCACCTTGATTTGGGATTTCCCAGCACATATCTGTTGTTTGTAAATTACACTGTCTAAGGTGTTTTGTGACAGTGGTACAACTGGACCAAGACGACCATGAGGCTAAGGATAGATATCTACACTTCCCAAAGTGGAAGTGCAAGGTTACTATGACAAAGTCACCAGGAAAGACTGTGTAGGTCAAGGAATACAGTGGGGTCCAGACCTATCAGAGAAATGGAGTGGAGCCGCCAAGTGACAGACTGGCAGAAGAAGGAAGGCACGGTTCCAATATTTGTGCTGTCCCAGTGCCTTCACACCTTTTGCCCGGTAGAGGTTCCCTGCTATAATGGCATAAAGGCCAAAGGGCCCAGGTGCTCCAACCATGTTCAACACAAAATATCTTAGTCCCCTGTGGGGATGGTGCCAACAGGCACTGAGTTCTTTTAGCTGACCAGAGCTGTGGTTCACATGTGCCAAGGAGCTTGGCCTGGTACAGGCCCTTGAAGTATGCAAATGCATGCAACACATTTGACCAACACCAGGTCCCAAAGCAGAGAAGTCCCAAGTGGCTTCAATGGGGGCAGCCTCTGCACTACCTCTCACTCACCATACCAAGGACAGCAGCTGCCTTACAAGTGGCAGGCACTAGGTACTGAATGAGGATTTCATCTTCTGTAGGGTGCACTCTCCGTAGTTCTGTCAGTGTTAGATACATCATTTCAAACTGGGTGCGTTCAGTGAATAAGTCTGACACCACGAGAAGCTGGAGACATGGAAGATTAGAACAAAAAGAGAGCATTATACCTAAAGGAATGTAAAAACTGTATCCTGAAATGCAGTGGGAGGCAAGGCTAGTACATGGGAGAATAATAGGGGAATCCTCAGTCCTGATTAGAGAGACTTAAAATACATAGTGTAAAAGTGGTTGCAGAATATCACGCTAAAAATGCCTTTGCATGCACACTACAGATGGAGAGAGAGCTTGGATCTCAGTTGCCACATATATAGTGGTGATCATTTTCAGGCAATGTCCATCAATAAAGAGCACTCAAAACTCCTAGGAGTCTCTGTTATCACTATTACTTTTATTTATTATCATTGAGTGTGTGTATAACGCATGTGATTAAATGCAGATGTGTGCAAACTACAGCATGTGTGAGGAAGCCAGGAAACAAGTCTTGGGAGTCAGTTCTCCTTTTACTGTGGGTTCTGAGGGTCACATTCAGGTTGTCACATCTGCACAGCAAGCACTTTTACCTACTGAGACATTTTTCTGACCCCATATCACTTATCTATTATATATGTATTTGCTTTTTATTTGTTTTTGTGTGTATGGGTGTTTTGCCTAAACGTATACTGGTACACCATGTGTGTGCTGTGCCCACAGAGGCCAGAGGGACGCAGATCCTCTAAGTGGTTGTGAGGCCCCATGTGGGTTCTGGGAATGGAACCTGGGTTCTGCAGACAAACAGTCAGTGTTCTTAACTACTGCTCTCTCCAGCTCCCAATATCACTTTTAAAAAGACAAAGCCTTTCAGTTTTTATCTCTAGCCCTGTCAATACTGACAGATGGCATTCATAAAGTAAATGTCCTATATTTGGGGCTGTAGCTGAAGAACACTGAAGTACCATAAGACTATCTACTTATCTAAGAAGAGCAATGTCCAGGGGTCCACAGTTGTTTGCCACCACCCCAGATGAGACAGACAGACAAGGTGGGCCCTTGGAATTGTGACAGCAACTGGCATACTACTACACACTGGTGCTACATGCAAGAGCATTTACCTACTCTGGATCTGAAAAGGAAAATCTGTCCTGTCATCAACTTCAAACACTCTTTTTCCTCCACATCTGGGAGGTTGCAGGAGTTCCTTTACAGATTCTGAGACATTACAGACCAGGTAGTGTGTGCTTGCAAGTGTACAAATGCATGCATGTTTGTATGTGTATGTGTCTCTGGAGAATGCACGGCACATACAAGTATAGAATATATGCATTTATGTATATGGTATCTATCTATAGTATCTAATGCATATATGTGCTATAGTGTTTGTGTGATGTGTCTGTGGAGGGTATTTAGTACATGTGTGTGTGTATGTACATGCATGTGTGTGTATGACATGCATATACCGCTGGGTGAGGGGAAAGAGAGGAAGGCAAACTTACAGATCGAACCACTTCACTGATCAGGATGACAGGGGTCTTTCTGGCTGCACTGGATGGCAGGATCCAGCGGCTGTACAATTCAAGCAGAAACTGCGAACAGGAGTGAATATCAACCCCAGCACGATGTTTTCTGCAGAGTGTGAAACATGGATATTTTCCCCATACACAGATGAGAGGTTCACCTCAAGAAGGACCCCAAACATATCAAGTGACTGAGAAGAAATTTCGAATTGCTTATTAAAAAAAAAAAGCCAGTATAAACCTGGAATTGACTGGAGACAAAGGTGGCGATGTTGGTGCAGGGACATCAGCCTCTTCCTCCTCCTCTTCATCCCATTCCTCCTCTCTCAGAGGTGTGATGTTGTTCCCCAGCCACACAGAGTGTATTGATACCTGTCACAGAAGCAGGCACCAGAGTTAAGGACACGAGTGAATGCCTCAAGTTCTTGTTGGGTAGGTACAAGTCAGTCCTTATAGTCTGAGCACTTAAGGCCAATGTAATAATCTATCCTATTCAGACCCATATGTTACTGTCAGAGGAGCCCCTGGGTAGGTAGAACAAGGACTAAACTGTTGGAGAAAACTTTGATCTTAGGTTCAAGGCCCGAATGAGTGTCTGGAAAGGGCATGAAGTAAAAGAGGCTCCAAAGAGTGACACTACAGTCCCTGGAGAAAGGGGACCGACCACACATGGATTTTACAAACCTGGTCCCCATTCATTTGCGTTTTTTGGTGGCAGACCCTGCTTTTCTGGGCTGCTTGCTTAGAGAAATTTCTCCACGGATGCAGAAGGAGGTGTGTTTGTTTGTTTAGGTGTAAGGGGCAGCCAAGAGCCTCAAGACCCCAAATGCAGCCCCAGATGAAATAAATGACTTTTGCACTCTTAGTATGAACAGTTACCTTCCTTCTGATTGTTCCTCTGCAAACCCTCTTGCATTTTTCCTTATGATCTCAGATGCCTTCAGTGAGGGCAAGCTGAGAGTTGTGAATGAATTCTAGGTGCCACTGTTCTCCACACCTCTTCTACCATTTCTTTCTCCAAAATGGAAAGTGGCAGTTCAGCCCAGTAACTTTTTCTTTGTTTTTGGATAGCTGATAGGTATACCAGGCAAGGCAGGGCTGAAACTATACTTTGGCCCCACACAGTCCTACTATATTCAGCTTGCAGACATTTGAGCTGGACTCAAGTACTGAAGGAAACAGATGAGTGTGACAGAGCCAGAAGGAATAGTGTGACCACAGAGCCAGGGACATGGACCCTAGAACATGGTCATGGACCCAGGGACCCCAGGTATCTTGTTCATCCCTTCATTTTTAGAAACACTCCATGAAAAGCATATCACATCCTAACAGTCACTGTGACTTATCTCAGGGTAGAATGGTCTCTGCAAAGGTGGGAAGAAGAAAGGGGTCTAGTAAAGCAGCAGTTACCAAAGCTCCCTGACCCCGAAGTCAGCAGCTGTCAGCTATCCTTATTGTTCTTACTAAAGTGTAATGTTCAGCTGCCTGCTAAGCTGTACACTCAACTGCCCCCTGAACTAGCAGCCAGGAAGCTTTCGGCTGCCTGAGGAGCTCTCAGCTGACTCCATTCTGTCCTCCCTGACTTTTCATGCTTCTTGGCAATCTCCTGTCTCACATCATTCCACTATGTTTATACATCTGTATGCTTATGTGCAAAATTAAAATCTAGCATACAGTATATAAAGAAAACTTCTCTGAATGTGGTATGTGGCTCAAGTTCGAGGACAGACAAGGCTGGTTATAAGCAGGGAACGGAATGGTTCAACTGACCTGGCCCAACTTGTAGCTCATGTTGCCTAGCTCCCGCTCTGAGTTGATCTGCAGCAGTAGCTTGTCATGGCTGATGAGGGCACCTGTAGAACATTAGCATACCACTGGATGAGACCCTGATCCTGGCTGGACAGATGTTTGCCCAATCTGGGTATCCTCTCCATTGGCAGGATGACCCATATATGCAGAGGCCCAGTAGTTCTTGGAGTACTGTCATTTGGCAACCTGTTGAGCCAGCAAGCCTGGTGGGCAAACTAGACTATCCTTTTTCTATGGCTGCCTCAAGCTTACTGCATTAGATCACATACCACCCATTCTCTCCCAAGACACTCTGATGCCCTCCCTGGAACTGTACTCTGAATTTCTACAGCCATCTATTCACATCTCTCTCAAGACTTTACAAATCAATATGTCATTTCTCACCCATCCTACTGGCCCAGACAGAGGCTCCTCAAGGTCCAAGCCCATGGCATTTAAAGTCACAGTGTTTTGTTTAATTCAATGTCCCCCAAACCATTTTGGGATACACGACACACTGCATTTCTAAACAGAAACTTCCCCAAATGAAACCTTCAATGTACTTAAGTTTATAGCAACAAATAATTCCAAAAGAATAAGGTAATTATAAGACTGAAGAGGTCTGTTCAACAATAACAAAGGGGGGATGGCAAAGGAAAGGGGTGGTGGGCAAAGGGAAGGGTAAAGAGGTTTTTGGAGGGGGTTTGTTCAATATACATTATGTACCTGTATGAAAATGTCCTTATGTAACATAGTAACTTGTACAATTAAAATAAACAACCTGCAAAATTCTCTTCATTTATGCCAGATGACACATCCTGGTGCTCATGGTAGTATGGGTCTAGCCAAAACATGAAACTTATGAATGGGGGCAATACACTCAGCATGCGGCCTTCTTGTGAAGTCACAGCAAGAATGCCAGCCACATTCTTGTTCTAGCTCCTTCCTGTACCTGTAGTAGCTGGCAAAAGAGAAGGGACAGGATCCCATGCCTGGTGAGAATGGTGAGTGGCAGTATTCTCTCTCTGGGAAACCATTTCTTGGATCTCTTGTTCTACAATCCCTCTGATCACACTCAACTTTCTTCCAAATCTAAAATTAAAAAACCAAGGGAAAAAACAGGTTTGCTTCTTTCAAACATCACAGGAATGAAAACCACAAGGACTTCTCTTTCACTTGCCTGAAGCTGCTGGTGTAACAAACAAACCCTCCAGCAGGTGATTATTCCTGACCCACACATCTGAGCCTGAACACCCAGTGAAGCCCATAACATTTCACATTAAACTTTCAGCTTGTCATTGATGACAAAAAAAATCACTTTTGGATTTTTATACACCCCCAGCCCCAGGACCACAGATACAACAATGTTACATGCAATGTTGTTTGTTTGTTTTTTGTTTTATCAGACAGGGTTTTTCTGTGTAGCTCTGGAGCCTGTCCTGGAATTAGCTCTTGTAGACCACACTGGCCTGGAACTCCCAGAGATCTGCCTGCCTCTGTCTCCTGAGTGCTGAGATTAAAGATGTACGCCGCCACCACCTGGCTACATCAATTCTTGTAACAAAGGAAAGGGCTATAGAGAACTAAGAGTGGAGTGGACTACCTCACCACCCTCTGCAATAGAAATGGCCCACATAAGAACTCAAGCAAACCTGGTGTCGAGAGCCTTCAGGGGCTTGTTCCGGGGCTGTTGTTCCAAGCAGCTTACAGCTGGATTGCCAGCCACAGGCACAGTCATTGCACTGAGCACTAAAGAGGTGATGGCCTGCACAGCCAGGACATGGATCTGGGTCCTTTCTGTGTCTTCCTACAGGAATAGTCCACACATTGACAACATGACAACAAGATACCAGCCACTCACTCTGCCTCTACTTCACAGTGCCCACAGACCATATGGCTTCAGACAGGAGAATCAGATCGCTTGAGCCCTGTGGCTTTCCATAGCCAGGGTCCAAGTTTGCTTGGCACTGGTAGCACATCTATATACCTGGGCCTTGGAGTGAACCTGAAGTACCCAAACAGACTCCAAATAGGGATTTACCTCGGAGGAAATTGCTTTTAAATTCCATCATCACTTTAGAACACTGCCTATGGCAACCTGGCAGTTACAGAAGAGTTAGAAGATAATGTTGATGACTTGTGACCTACATAGATTCACCCTCTTATCTGTCATTTACATAAGTTCACTCCACATCTCTCAGAGTCAAGGGCCCATTCCAGTACTTTTAACACCAAAAATATGGTGGTTATTTATGTCTTATGAGCACGGTCTACATTAATGTTAAGCAAACAAAACCTCTAAGATAATTAAAAACAAAACAAACAAGAAACATGTCATGGCCTGGTTTCATGACCTTTTTTGTTGTAGTTCAATGACATTCCTTAAGATAGTGATAAATGAACAACAGAATGCAAAAGCACCGAAAGAGAACAATCTTAATGACCATTGATGTGGAATGTATCATGGTAAAAGACACATCCTAGCTACTAGAAGCCTCAGCTGAGTCACCAGCTGCCATAGTTACAGGTTCCCAGTTAGCTATCCCTTAGCTATAGAAGTCTCACCTCTGGAGGGCTCTCCTCCTGTTCCATCACTAGGGGCTGAGTCACCAGGACACCAAGGAGGGTGGCCCAAGTTTCTTCAAACTGGGTACGACTGGTCCACCCTGGGAATCAATCATGAAGAGATACTGACAATATAACTCCATCCGTACTGTTCCTAGAGCACTACCTTCAGGGCAATCCTACAGCATAAGGAATGTCATTCTCTCTATTTACCATGAAGGACACTGGGCACATGGAAGTCAGTTATGCTACCAAGGTCAAGAGGCACAGGTCAAGTTCAGCAGCCCAGATTTTCCTTTAATCCCCCATTATGTGATACAGTGACAAGGATGTCCACATAGGTATCACTCAAGCAGGCCAGGCTATTCCCACACACTAAGCATTTTAGAAGTCTCACCTTAAGTCTGACCATGAGACTTCAGACTAGACCACAGAACCACACACACGTTAATTCTGTCTCTATAAAGCTGGTGAGATTAAACAGTGTCTTCCCAAGAACCCATGGAAGAAGGAGAAACCAATCCCTGCCAACTATCTTCTGGTCTCCATGTGCATGCGCACTATGGGCATGTTCATGTGAGTCCTACCTCTACAAAGTAAATAAATGTAAATAGTGAAAACCACCCAGAAGGCAGATCAGAAAAGCACGGCACTGGGCTGGGAATACTTCAGCAAGCAGCAAAAGCAATCTACAAGGCCATTCTTCAGTTTCACTAAAGAGCTACATCAGCCTAAAGTTCAACAAATGGCTGTACTTGGTGTTTCTACCATGACCCAAGAAGATCTACAGCTACTGCTAAGACACTAAGTATATTCTTCATGTTCACATCTGTAGCAAACACATGAAATGGATACAATCCCCATTTTATGGGCCATAACACTGAGGGTCCTACAAGGGATGAGCAGGGCTGTCTGGCTGATCTACCTCCCCTCATTCTGCCACACTGGCTCCTGTGATACTTAGCCTGTTCCCCAGGTTGCTCATTCTACACACGAGAAAAAACATGTAAGTGAGAACACTATGTCAAAGTAGCAAACAGAGGAAATCACCCCTACTACTTACAGTTTGTTGTTGTAGCCCTGGAAACTGGGCTTCATTGGTGCTAGGCAAGTAGTACAGTGAGCCAATATTCCCAGCCCACTTGTACGTTTTAGTGTGAATGCATACTATGAAGACAGGTTCTGGCTTCCTGTGATAGCTACATGTGCATTTCCCTTTGTTCAAAGTAGCCTGGTATGCAACCCCACACACTGCCTCATCTATGAATACCTATGTCTATTTTCTCACCATAATTCTGTACGTACTGTGAAATATGTGAAGAAGGTTTGTTCCATCATCACCCCAGAACCTTTCCAGTTGCCAAGTGTGAAGACCCTACCCTGGAGCTTCAGGCATGTGTGTGGTGTATGGGGACTGAAGAGGACTGTGGGGTTACCTAGGGTGTTGATGCGATAGATGAATTCCGTTAGGATCTCCTTCTCCTGGAGGAATTCTACAGGGATCTCAGGGAACACTGTGCCAAAGTCCCCTCCAGGCTTGGGTGACCACCCAAGTTTCCATACCTGGGAAGATGAAAAGAGAGTATCACCTGGATGGAGATGCCACAAGGAAAACAAGAGATCCCTCCCCCCTCTTCTCTCAGCTAGTCTCCCTGCTGAGCCAGCTGCCCTTCCCTCACTACTCACATAGACTTTTCCAGAGCCAGTGCCTTCCCACAAGAGGCTTCCACCCTTCTCTCTAGAACCTTCAAGGTCAAGCTTGACTCCCTCCACTCTGCCTTGTACTCCCAAGGTCAGTCCTTGGGACTTCTTGTTACACAACCCAGATGGCTGTACACAAGCTGGATTCCTTGTGGGAAATGCTGGTGGCCCACAAACATCAAATGTGTGTTAGAAAAAAGGCAGACACTAATGAAGTTCAGTCTCATATATAAATATGCATTGGCAAACAGGCACAAGGCCGACCCCACCGTGCATTTCTATCAACTCTGAGAAGTTGAGTTCTGCTGTTAGATATCTGGACAAGCACCATGCACAGCAGCAAACCCCGAGGCACATCCTATTCTGTTCCAGTAGCAGGACCGTCTTACCAGCTCAGCTATGTGCCTTGGTGAGCCATGAGGACCGAAGGGAGCCTCCCCGGATTCCTACAACCAAGCTCTCTTTATCATGGGAAAGCATTCTATAAATCTCTTATGCCACCCATAAAAGTCTGTGGGGCATGCCCAGGGGAGGTTCTGCAGTGCTTGCTACAGCTGCTTTCCTGCCTAGGGCATTCAAGGGAGTGGATTAAAAGCACTTGATGGAGTTTCACCTACAGCACATGGCCTGTGTAGGCAGATCCCCTACTGCCTTCCATGACCTCTAGACTACCTTCTTGCACAGTCTCCATAAGTAATACTCCTACCCAGGGTTGAACCCCATGCAGCAATGTTGGATGATCTCCTGGATTTCTACTGGGCTCTTCCCAATGCCCACAGCTCTTTGTTCTATAAGCATTTCTAGCACAGGTAGGCCACAGCACTCAAAATGGGCACCTGCAACTCTAAGGTCCAATGACTGTCACTTTTTAAATGTGAACTTCTCCAAGATCTTACATGCAAACACACACATATGGAGATTGTGGCCCAGCAGTAGGTACATGCCCTATTTTATGCAGAAAAAAGTATTCTCCCCTTAGGCCTGGCTCTGTGTTATGGTTCAAGTCTGCTGTGGGCCAGCTTTGCTTTTTTGCTGAGCATTTTTGTAGGAAAGGATATGTCTAGTGTGCTATTTCAGCAGACTTAGGTTGGCCTAGCTGCTGTTAACCCTCTTCCCATACTAAGCTCTTGCTGAACCAAGAACTTGCCCATTTTAAGCTGAGAGGATTCAGAGCAGGGGGACAGAGTACTCGAACCTTGTGCATGCAAAGCAAATGCCCTACCACTGTGGTACATTTCCAACCCTTGGCTTTTGAGATTATAATTTAATTACAATATTTTTGTATTGTGAATTTCTCTTGAAGAAAATTTCAAGAGAAAACCCACAGTAGTGGTAATCTCTAAATGTATGAATCAACCTTTCTCTCTCTTTGAGACAGTCTCTCATTATGTAGCTCTGGCTACACTGGAACTATATAGACAAGGCTGGCCTACTATGCCCAGCTTTGTATGAATCTCTTTAAAGGAGACATTGTTGAAAGAAAGTAATTGAAGAGTGAAATTTCTGGCTTACCATTAATTAGTCTAATCATTTCAGAATCACATCCAACATGAATACATCAGTGGAGATGAACTCTAGTACTTTAGCTCATTTTTGAAAACTTAAGTGTTTTTACTAATAACCACTACACAGAATGCCTGTGACAATACAGGTGTCACAACCACCCACATGTAAAATGCTGGAACCACCACAGAGAGTGTTACAACAATAAAGACTGTGTGGTAAGTAGACATGTATGCCTATAACTAATTCTAGCATTAGGGAAGTAGAGAGGAGGATCCCAAGTATGAGGCCAGCCCTGGTTATGTATCAAACTGAGCAATATTCTCAAAAAAAACCCAAAAAAACAAAAAAACAAGGTCTACTCGAAGCCTCTACACAAAGAACTATAGACAACTGAGGAAAGCTGGAAACAAGAGAGGTGGCCTTACCCAGGGAAGAACATATCAACCAGTTGTTCAGCCCTGAAAACATTCACACAGGTAGGATTATACAGACTGAGCAGGTTGTATTTAAGAATACACACACACACACACACACACACACACACACACACAATTAGCAACTAAAAAGGCCATGAATTTGAAGATGGGGGGGACAATAGGAAAGGTAAAAGGAAGGGAAGGGAGAAATATTGTAATTAAATTATAATCTCAAAAGCCAAGGGTTGGAAATGTACCACAGTGGTAGGGCATTTGCTTTGCATGCACAAGGTTCGAGTACTCTGTCCCCCTGCTCTGAATCCTCTCCAAGAGATTCTACTTAAGTCTTAGGGTCACCCCACCCCAAGACTGTTGGTATATACCACCTATCCCATTTCAGCAAAAATGTGACCTAACTTACCAGAGGGGGCACACGTGTATAGCTGTTGACTAGGGGAAGACGTGCCAGACTGATGACAATATTCTTTAGCACTGCCGTGAGAAATGAAGGCAAGTTGCTGTTCCTCTTGTGGCCCAAGGCCAGCACTGACTGCAGGGATTCCACCATCTCTGCTACCATCTCGCAGGCTGAAGTGATGTAACTGGGATCTACACAGGCAATGGTGATCAAGAGGGCAGTTTCGGTCAAAACACACTGCAACCCTGTCATTCTTCCTCTGTAAGCCCATGGGAGAAGAGAGTTCCAAGCCTATCAACCCCTGTCCAGTCTGTCAAGACTTTGGGTTGCTCACTGAAGACCTCCTGAGTATGCATCTGAACCCTGCAATTCTTTCCATTTCTGTGGGGAATACAGTAACAATCTTAAACCTGAGTTTCGGCCTTGGATGGAAATTTTAGAGACAGAGCCACTAATCTGTCCTGTCAGGGTCTCGAGGGCAGGAGCTGTTCATATTCTCTGAGGCTTGATACAGCACGGAATTAAAACAAAACAAAACACTTGTTCAATTGGAAAAATGGACGGATAGTTACCCTTGTCCATGAGAACCAACAATTTATAGGCAACTTCCTAGTATAGAAAAAGGATACTTATTGATCTTAAGGAATTAAGCACCAAGCTAAAGAAATGATGCATATCAGACTAACTTTTAGTACCACCAACTAGGATGGGAGAGATGGCTGAGCAGTTAAGAGCACTGGCTGCTCTTTCAGAGGACCTGGGTTCAATTCCCGGTACCCACATAGTAGCTCCTAACTATCTGATACTCCACTCCCATGGGATCAGACACTTTCTTTTGGCCTCCTTGGGCAATGTATGCATGTAGTGCAGGTGCAGAAAACACCCTCACATATAATATTAAACAAACAAACAAACAAACAAGTACTAGCAGGAGGTGATGCTAAAAGCTTAATAGAACCTGAGTTGCTTCTTCTGACCAGAATTTCATTAACTGACCTCAAGAGAATCACAGAGGGTGAGCAAAATTATATCAGCCTGAATTAAATCACCTCCTGCCACTGGGCCAGTCTGCCCACTCTAGTGATGGTGGGCATTTGCCCCAGTGCTTCGTATGCTGCATCTTATCCTCACAACAAAAGCACAGAATAACCTGAGCTGCTGCTTAGCTAGGAAAAAAGCAAGCTGTGAGGTGGTTTCCTCACTTTGCTGGTATCAACAAGAAATTATGAAATCGTAACTTAACTGCAGGAACTGTAGGGGTTCAAGACAGAAACAAAGTGAGAACCCAGCATATACTAAAATGGCATTGCTTATGGACCACTATGCAACCCTAAGATTCTGGGACAGGAGGTGGAAGACTACAGACAAGGAAGCTCTGTCTATAAGTAGCCCATCTTTTAAAAATGGTTTCCCTCACTATATATAGCTCAGGCTGGACTCAAATTCATGACCCTCCTACTTTGGCTTCCTTAGTGTTGCAATTGCAGGTTCATGTCAAGAAGCCAGACTGTGACTAGGCATCTCTCTACACCCAGAAATATGTGACTAGGCATATTTCTGGAGCCAAAGAGCAGGGCTAAGGCTCCTGTTGACCCAAGGAAAAACAAACATTCAGTGACATCTGCCTTCCCACTTGGAGAGGGGCTGGAGGTATAGGTAGCATTCCTACTATTTGAACCCCTGAGGCCAAGGAATTAAAAAGGTTCTAGATGCCTAGAGGTTAGGAGGCAAGGATTCAGTTGGCCAAAATGTGCTTTGTCTTGTTGTAACTGTCACAGTAAGACAGCTACCCTAGAATCAATTAGGAAGATGAGAAAAAGACAATGTATGTGCCTAAGTCTAGAATAGTTTTATTTTATTTTAATTTTTTTAACGAGACAGGGTTTCTCTGTATTGTTTTGGAGGCTATCGGTCCAGCCCGGCCTCGAACTCACAGAGATCCGCCTGCCTCTGCCTCCCGAGTGCTGGGATTAAAGGTGTGCGCCACCACCGCCCGGCTAGAATAGTTTTAAATGATTGTGATTTCAGTACTTTTTCCAAAGTAATGGCAGCATCTACCCCTTAGGAGGTTGAGGCAGGAAGGTCATGAATTCACTGCCAGCCTGGGCTACAGAGGGACACCCTGTCACAAAACAAACGAGTCACCAAATGCCACCAAAAGAGATGTCTGAAACAGTAATTAAGGTTACAGTATACCATGTGTACCTGCATTAACTTCAAATTCTTTGGAGTTTTGAGTTATTTATTCAAAACTTAATACACATTTGCCAAATACAACAGACCAAATAGTAATTTTGGGAGCACAGACAAGGAAAACATATTCTTCACCCTAATGTAGGAAGCATGTGCTAAGTGCTGAGGACTAAGATGGTGGGCGCCCCAGAGAAGAGGTGCAAATTCAAGCTATGGGGAATTATGCGGGATGAACCAGACCAACTGGTGAGGGAGAGGGGGTATTCAGGGCACATAAAGACAGGAATGTGTATATATCCATGGTCAGAAAACCCTCAACCTTTTGGATTAGCACTGGAGGACAGCAAGAGAAAAACGTTTCTGAGAGCTCATAGCCCCACTTCCTAAGTTTCTTTTGTGAATGAATTGGAAGGTCCCAAAGAAACAGAGAAGGGGAAAAAAAAATGGGTCCTAAGACTTACTTTGTATGTTTGAGTCTCCTCCTTCCTTTCTGACAGCCCTTGGAGTATGTGACCTGCTTTCTGGACCAAGAAGCTGGTCACCAGGCTGCACTGCAACTGAAATCACAGCAGAACATACACGTTAGCCCTTCTTTCTACTCAAGTCTTCATTTCATACCTGTGCAGCTCATAAAATTTACAATGACAACTATGTCAACTGAGGGCTAGATTTCTAGAGCCAATTTAGTAAAACTGGAAAGCACTGGATAACATTAAACGCAGGCACCAGTGCCTTGGCTAATTGTGGGTACACAAAGACTTGTGCTTCCAATACTCAGGCTTCTAAGTGCACTGTTTGCCATCTCCACCCTGAGAGTTTTTTATCAGACTATTCACAACTCAATACTGGTAAAAGCATTACTATGACTAAGAAACTTAGCTTTTTAAAATTACTCCCTGGATCTTTGTTTCCAAGTTGACTACAAATGCACAGATGAAAACAATTTAAACAATGAAAGAGCAAAACACCACTCTATAATGTTTAATTTAAAAACATAAAACTTCAAAACATTCTCTAACATGTAAACTATAATGTCCAATTTTAAAAAATTTTTAGCTAATGACCCATGTTGAGGACACTGTTCCTTGAAAAGAATGAATCCCTTTTATTTTACAACATATTAGCATTACAATGCAGTATGCAAGCACACACTTCAACTCTAACAGAAGTCATCTATTGAATGTAATCTTGTTAATCTTATAATCATCCAGGACTAAGAACATCAAATAGTCAACTAAGACTAAAGATCAAAGGGATTTAAACTTAAAAAGTATTTTTTAAAAGCTGGAACTCCAAACTCTAAACAAAATAACTAGACAAGTAAATTCAAGTTAAGTTCTAGTGTAATATCAAGGTCTGGGGGTGGACAGATGGGGCCTTCTGAAGGCAGCACCTACCCATTCCACCCCAAGTCCTAACTGGTTCTTGGGAAATGGAAGACAAGAAGAAAAAATATTCATAACTGACATGTATTGCTGATTACCAGTTTAGATTCATGAAGACATAGATAAGGACTTACTGGCTTCCAGGATGAATCTCACACAATGGATCAGGGAACAGGCATGGGTCACATACTCTGGGGAGGACAGCACTCCCCAGAGGCCAGGCACCTGTAGTGCCAGGCAGCAGCAGTCTAGCCCGGCTTGGAGGTCCAGACTCAGTGGGATCTGCTCATGGATCAAATGCCATGACAAAGCCTAAAGGGAAGCACTGTGTTAGAATGCTCACCGAATACTCTGTGCTCAAGGACCTTTAGGGAAGCACATTAAAAGCCATGAGAAGGCAATGGAAAGATGGAGAGGCCAAGGGATCTGCCAACTTCCTTCCAGAAGGATGGCTCTAACCCAGGTTTCTAGGTTGTCGTTCCTAGCTTTCTTAATATCCAGTCCTGATTCACCTATGCTCTAAAGTTCTTTCCTTTGCTCTGTCAGAATACCCAACCACTCCAGATATCTTCTTCCTTTAGAACCATGGGTGCCTAGAGAAACTTGTCCTGAGCCACAGAGCCTCCGGTCAGAGGTTTTACTCAAGGGCTCCTGTAACACAGACTTTTTTTAAATAGGATTTTTTTTTTTAAATCTCAGTCACAAAGCTGAGTTTGGGAGTATTATTTATGACTAGTGAGTCTCTGAACCTGCCTGAGCTGCGTTCCCTATGTGTGAAATGGGAACAGAGAGATCACCCTATAGAGCTGTTGTGGGAACCAAGTACTATGGCACTGACTATGCAGCTCAGGGTATGACTAGGAGCTGCCACCTGGTACTTTACACATACATTTGCTTCCCAGTCTTTTCCACTGGGCTAAGTCTAGCTAGACCACCTAACTCAGCCTGGTTCAGCTGTCACTGTGTACCAGACACCCTCAGGAGACTTCCTTTTCTTAGTGTGAAGTGTCAACCTTGCTCAGGAAGGGTGGCACAGCTCTGACACAGGTGAGGCTCTTTTCCAGCAGTCATATGGCAAGGTAACAAACACTACAGTGCATGTGTGTATATCCACTGAGGGCCAAGTGTTCCGTTTCCCTTGGGTAAAGTGCCAAGTTACTGCCTAACTTAAAACATAACAGTTGTCTACATTTAAATTAGGATTGTAGTATCAGGACAAGAGGTGTGGTGAGTGAAAGACTCAATACAGTCAGGTGAATCAGACTTGGACAATAAGCATTCCCTTCCTGCCTGAGGTCTACTGAAACAGGGTTTAGCTATATAACCAGGCACAGCCTTACAAGCCAGGAATCCACAATTCTCCTGCCTCTGCCTTGAAGTAGCCAGGCTAACAGGTGTGCATTACCATACTCAGTTAGCTCTTGGTTCTCAAGGATTTTCATCTTAATGCTACTCACATATCCTATCCTGACACAGAAACAGCATTTCAGAGCTGCTCTTACCTCAAGTGTCATTACCACAAACTTCACTGTGTCCCCCTCCTTCTCAGGGGGAAGGTGCAAATGAGCAGGCACTTTGGAGACCACCACCAGGTATTGTGCCAGGGCACGGGCAAGTGTGGTCAGAGACTGGTATGATGTAGCATCACCTGAAACATGAGACTGGCATGAGTGACTCTGACTGTGAGCACAGGCCCTTCCCCTTCAGAAGCTTTCACATGGCTATGTGGATTTGAGGATGCTAAGACCAAGAAAGCACATCTGTACACGCCCACATGGACCTGATTTGCCCTGAGTCTAAGCCAGTGTTCCTGAAGGGCTTAGAACCCTGACTATCTATGTCCAAGATTAGCCAAGCAACAAAGAAAGACATTTAGAGCTAAGAATTTGGTTCACTTTCTCAGTTGTTTTTGTCAGCCTTTCAGTGTTTCAGATCAACAGTCCTGACTGTATATGTGCTTGGGGTAAAGCACTGCTGGATCTGTAATACTTTTTAAAACTATGACAATTTGGGATTAGAGAGGTAGCTCAGCAGTTGAGAGCATGGGCTGCTCTTCCAGAGGACCTACATTCAATCCCCAGATCTGACACCAACTTCTGGCTCCATGGGCACTGCATGCATGCAGTGCAGACAAATATAGGTGAAAACACTTATACACATAAAATAAAATAATTAAAAAACTAAGGTAGCTTGGGCTGAGAAGATGACTCAGTGGACAAAGTGTTGCACAGCATGAGGACTTGAGTTTGGAAAACCTGCAAAAACTAATTGCAGGGTGTGCATCTGTAACCTCAGCTGAAATAAGAGGATCCCAGAGGCTTGACAGCAGCTCTAGGTTCAGTGAGAGACCCTGTCTCCTCTAGTTTGCACATTCTGCTACCACCATTCCCATCAACAGAGAGAGAGGAGAAAGAAGAAGGGGGAGGGGCATCTAAGGGAACCATATTTAAATTACCAAGCAGATCATTCAACTTGTTCCAGTAGGCTGTTGGCTCTGCAGGCAGGAAAGGCTGGAAGACTTGATGGACAGCAGGAAGCTGCTGAATAACACTGGTCACCCGGGCTAGAGTCACTCCACGGGCTGCTTCAAAAAGAGGACTCTTCTGGCCAGCAGCAATCTCACTCATGCCAAGGCTTAAGCAGGGAGCCAAAAGGCTTAGGTTGAACTCCTGGGTTAGAACATTACAGGCCAGACAAACCACAGAAAAGATGGTAAACTTTCCTTCAGGCTGGAATACACATAGCTAATGCAACAGTGTTTGTTTCTAAAAGAATCCAGACTAGAGTACTGCAAGGAATGCTTGTAAGACTATTCTAGAGACATGGACACTCAAGCTCCTTACTTTTGTCATGGGAGATCCTCTGCACCACACTGGGGTTGCTGGACCTTGTATCTATAGAACTATCAGTCAAAATAATCTTCTTTTCCTTTATGAAGCACCTTGCCTAAGTTATTTGTTACAGTAATAAAAGTAAGACAAATACACGCTAGAAAAGCTTTCAGTTAGAATGTAAATAGATAAAAGAAAAAGTTGAAGTCTCTATTTTAAAAAAGTATATCCTATATTATATACATTAAAAATAAATATATTAACAATTCCATTAAATATATGTTCAGTAAATACTTATGGTCTCTTTGCCATACTTGAATTATAAGGTAGTATTATTATTTTTCATGATCGTATATTTCTCTGAAATAATTACAGAATGACAAATTTTAATTTGCTATGAACAGTGCACCCAGGCTCATGTGCCAAGCACTGCTGCAGCCTGAGAAGGCACCACAGCATCTGGAACAAGGGAAGGTGGTCTTTTTTTGTTTTGTTTTGTTTTGGTTTGGTTTTTACGCGGCAGGGTTTCTCTGTATTGTTTTGGAGGCTGTCGGTCCAGCCTGGCCTCGAACTCACAGTGATCTGCCTGCCTCTGCCTCCCAAGTGCTGGGATTAAAGGCGTGCACCACCACCGCCCAGCGGGAAGGTGGTCTTATATGTGACAAAAATCTGCTTCAAAAATCAGCATTTCACATGACAAAATTTTAAATCTTATTTATTCATTTATTTATTTGGAGACAGGGTCTCACTGTATAGCTCACTGAATGGCTGGTCTGGATGTAGACCAACAGGCCACAAACAGAGATCCTTCTGTCTCTGCCTCCCAAGTGTTGGAAATAAGGGCATGTGACACCATGCCTGACCTCATATGGTAGTTTTTATTATGTTTTGTTAATTTTTTAGCCATTTAAGGAGTTAGGGGGAGGACAACAATTTTTCAAGTAGAACATCAAGCTTTGATATTAAAAACTGTATTTCATCATCAGTACCCAGTTGGAACTTCCACAGTTGTAAATAGCCCACTTAGCAACTTAGAAAACCTAGCCCACTGGTTCTGTACTTTGGATGTCTTCCTGTGTACCTGCCCCCATACCTCCTATTAACGTGCTAGGTTCCTCCTTCTCTCTTCCAATTTGGCATATGTCAAGGGGCAGTGGGCCCTTGGCTTCAATGGAGCAACAAAGTACTCCACTAAGGTAGTGGCATAAGGATGCTCTGCAAAGGAGCCAAGGACAGGGAACTAATGCTTTCAAGACCTGGACCGGCTCTGTAGTATACTTTCTGATATTTGCGGGGTAAGTGGAAGAGAATTACTCTATATCTAGAGGGGACAGGGCACCTCACCCCATGGGAGACTGTCTCTTTATCTAGAGCGGACAGGCAACCTCACTACATGGTGGTCATGATGGTTAATACTGATGTCAACTTAGCAAGATCTAGAATTACTTAGGAGACCAACCTCTGGGAATTTTCAGGGTTAGGTCAACTGAGGTAGGAAGACCCATTTTAACTGTGGGCAGGGATACTGGACTGAATCAAAAGGAGAAAGCAAGCTGAGCACCCTCATTCCTCTCTCTGCTTTCTGATTATGGATGCCATGCTTTCCCTGCCATGGGGACTATGCCCTTGAACTGTGAGCCAAAATAAACCCTCCTTTAACCTGCTTTTTGTCAGAGTGTTTTATCACAATAATGAGAAAAGTAATTAATACAGGGGTGTGGTGGTTTGAATAGTAATGGGCCCACACCGAGTGGCACTATTAGGAAGTGTGGCCTTATTGGAGGAAGTGTGTGTGTGTGTGTGTGTGTGTGTGTGTGTGTGTGTGTGTGTGTGTTTTGGTTTTTGAGACAGGGTTTCTCTGTGGCTTTGGAGGCTGTCCTGGAACTAGCTCTTGTAGTTCTAACTCCAACTCACAGAGATCCGCCTGCCTCTGCCTCCCGAGTGCTGGGATTAAAGGTGTGCGCCATCAATGCCCAGCTAGGAAGTGTGTTTTGAGGTCTCATATGCTCAAGCTACTTCCAGTGTGGCACACAACCTTCTGCTGCCTGTGGATAAGGTGTAGAACTCTCAGCTCCTTCTCCAGCACCATGTCTGTCTAGATGCTGACATGCTTCTCACCATGATAACTACTAAACCTATGAAATTGTAAGTGAGCACCAACTAAGTGTTTCTTTTATAAGGTTTGCTGTGGTAATGGTGTCTCTTCACAGCAACAGAAACCCTAACTAAGACAAGGGGGCTAGTAAAGATCAATTTCCAAAATACAATGAACACGTGATACACTTTCTTGCAGTCATGAAATAAATGATGATGGACTGACTATAGCTTATGGCCATCCATTTTCTTTATACGTATGAAAGATGGAGTTAAAACAACTTTCCTCTTTTAGAAGTCTAATTTGGTTGAAATAACATCCTATTCACATCCCATGTACGGGCTATTCTGGATTATAGCTTTCACATGCCATTTTTTGTTAGTGCTATGTGCTTTGCCTTATGCTGTCCTTGCTAGACTCAAGTCTCCCACATGCTGCTATACATTAATCACATGAATATGAGAATCGTGCTAGATAGTTTATATCAATCTGACACAAGCTAAAGTCATCTGAGGTGGGAACCTCAATTAAGAAAATGGCCTTCATAAGACTGGGTTGTAGGCAGGCCTATAGGGCATTTTCTTAATTAGTGATTGACGGAGGAGGGCCCAGTCCACTGTGGGTGGTGCATCCCTGGGCTGATAGCCTTGGATTCTATAAGAAAGCAGGCTGAGTAAGCCATTCGGAACAAGCCAGTAAGCAGCACCCCTCCATGGCTCCTGCATAAGCTCATGCCTCTGTACTGTTTGAGTTTCTCTCCTGACTTCCTTCAATGATGGACTATGATGTAGAAGTAAGCCAAGCCCTTTCTTCCCCAACTTGCTTTTTGATCATGGTGTTTTACCACAGCAACAGAAACCCTAACTAAGGCAGAAGTATAACTCAGAAAGACAAGAAGAGCTGGGGATTCCCTGGCCTCCCATTGTTGCCCTACCGTGCTCATCATGAAGTCATTCATGTCTTCAGCAGGGATGCGATTCACCAACTCTGCACCTTCCAGCAGTGCAGAATCTGATTTGGTCCAACACTGGGATCTTACAAGCTGGAGGTACCAGTTCTGGGAAGAAGCAAAAGAAAAGGTGAATGTGACTGAGTAGGTACTTTGGCTGCTCCTCTGGGCTGTGACTATAGCACTGGGACACTGGCTGGCTGTACAGACATCAGACACACCCTGGGCCTTCAGCTCACAAGTCCTCTCTCTGCTGTTCTGTGCCTGAATGTCCTCTTCTTTTCCACCTGTGGAACGTCTCGCAGTCCTTGCAAACTCACAAAGCTCTGAGGGTTAGCAACCTTTCTTCTACCCGCTCCTTAGATACTATGCCATCTTCACTCTACTGGAGTGAGTGCCTCCTCATCTTCCTCAGCAGTCAGAGCAAGCCTGGGGCAAATGTATGCTTTCTTCCATGAGCTGCAGGTTTCTAAAATCGCATCTCCTCTCCACCTAGGTCCTAACAGTCTCTAACTCTCAAGTGTGAATGGTGAAGGTGACAACACATTATACCTGGTGGTAGTAGTTGCAACACTTCATAGGAAGTAGAAGGCCCAGGGAGAGGGAGATAGGCTGAGTCTGTCAGCATGTGCTAGACAATGTTTGCAGTCATAGACCCTGGCCCATAAACAAATTCTTTTGACTTGCCAACTAGCCTTGACTCCACACTCCTCCACAAGAGTACATATCATCACTCCTTTTCTCATTAGGACCTCAGGCCTCCATATTCCCCAAGCAGAGGTGCTAATGACCTGAGCTGAGTGTCAAGGGCCCTGTGTGTACTCACACCTACCTTACCCTCATTCTAGGCAGAGGCTGTCATTGTCTCCACATGGTCCGTGGCCATCATACTTAGATATACAGGTTACTTACTTTGTCTGGACTCACTGTTTCCAGAGATGTGTGCCCATCCCCATCCAGTGGGTGGGAAGTGACTGGGGGCAAAGGGCTAAGTGAGTCCTGCACGGTAGAGAGTCGGAACCTGTCCAGCAGGGAATAGAGCCTTTGGTGTCTGAAACACAAATGAAACCACAAAACAGTTTGCCCTTTAGTTTGGAATCTCAATTTTGCAAAGACAGATCCTAGAAACATGTAACACTAATGAACAAAAGTAGCTTCTTCGTTCTTGTTGAATTCTAAAAAGTCTTTAATTTCTTTTTTTATTTCTTCCTTGACCCAGGAATGGTGTAATTGCGCATTGTTCAATTTCCATGAGTTTGTAGGGTTTCTGCAATTTGTGTTGTTGTTGAATTCTAACTTTAAAGCATGGTGGTCTGATAAGATACAGGGGGTTGTTCCAATTTTTTTGTACCTGTTGAGGTTTGCTATGTTGCCAAGTATAAAGTCAATTTTAGAGAAGGTCCCATGTGGTGCTGAGAAGAAGGTATATTCTTTTGTTCTTAGATGTCTGTTAATCCCAAGTGGGTAATAACTATTGTTAGTTCCTTTATTTTTTTGTTAAGTTTCTGTCTGGTGGTCCTATCTAGTGGTGAGAGTGGGATGTTGAAGTCTCCCACTGTAAGTGTGTGAGGTTTTATGTGTGATTTGAGCTTTAGTAATGTTTCTTTTACGAATGTGGGTGCCTTTGTATTTGGGGTGTAGATGTTCAGAATTGAGACTTAATCTTGATGGACTTTTCCTCTGATGAATATGAAATGACTTCCTTCATCTCTTTTGATTGATTTTAGTTTGAAATCTAATTTGTTAGATATTAGGATTGCTACACCAGCTTGTTTCTTGGGTCTAGGCTCTGCCCCAAATGATGTGACAGACATTGATGAGCACTTATGGGAGGTCTCACCCTCCCTGGGGAGTGGTTGGGGGGGTAGGATGGGGGATTGGTGGGGGACATGGGAGGACAGGAAGGAGAGGAAACTAGGATTGGTATATAAAATAAGATTGTTTTTTAACTTAAATAAAAATTAAAAAAAAAAGAGTCAGGTAGTGTTCTCAGATTTAATCCTTCTAAGCTAGCTATTAGGTTCTGTGTTTATTCTCATCCATCAAGGGTTCAGGAGCAGAGGCAACAAACACACTTCCTATCCCTTCAACAGTCATAAGGTTCAGGAATCTGCCATGTGTGCAACAGGTGTTTGATCGCCACTTCTTCACGTCTATTAGCATGAGGCACTTGTTTGACATTTAGAAAGCCTTTTCTACTGTGATACTGCTACAGTGAACTCACCTACACAGAACACTAATTCCTTTGCCTATCTATTTGTTCCTGTACATATCTAAGTCTTTATACCCTCGTTGCACAAAAGCCAGTATCCCATGCTGTAGCCTCACCTTTGTGCAAGTCCACTATTCTGGAGGTGCTCCTGGATTCTGTTCAGTTCCTCCACTGGCAACTGGGCCATACTGCTCTACACAGACAAGAACACATTAGGGATTTTGTGACATATAGCCTCACATCCACTTTAAAAGGATAAACTCCTATGCACAGTATGTCTATAAGAGCAGACTACAAGCAGTTGGTCAGACACATGAACAACAAACATGGCACACATGCTACTATCTGTAGCCAATCAACAGCAGGTCATAGACTAAATGTTTTGATTGACCCGCTAAGTTTTTATATAAATCACTATCTTTGAGTACCTGTAAATTTGCAGCCAAAAGCATTTCTACCCGGCGACAGGCCAGAGTGTCGACCATGCGAGCCAGCGCACGGAAGTGAGTTCCCAGGAGCCTGTCCACATATAGCGTAAGCACAGCACCAGACTGGCTGAGATGGATGCCTTCTAAGCATTGAAGTGTTTTCTTCAGAGTGGTTGGCTAATGTTGAGAAGGAACAAGAATTAATTTTTTTCTCAGACTGGTAATTGGTACTGACAAAATTCCAGTATTCCATTTTTTAAGGCAGAGAAAGCAAACCAGCAGGCTAAAGACTTACAGTTGAAAGATTTTCACAACGAGACTGAATTGCCTGGATGAAAAGGCCACTAGCCGCAGAATTACGATGAATGGCACTAATAAAGTCTTGTACTGGAGGCTCATGGGACAGGTTGATCAGATCTTGAATGTGATTCACAATGAGCCACGTTAAGTGTTCTGAGTCATGAAGATTCTGACACTAGAAAAGATTTAATAAAAGATATATTTCAAGTAGACAAGAAGGTTAGAAAGAGTAAGAAAAAACAAATTCTAAATACAAACTTTGCCTTAGTGAAGATAGTGTCTAAGTACAAGTAAATGACAGAAAAGAAGATAGAAACTTAGTTACAGAGCCTTGAACCTCTGATCTCATGTGGTAGAGGCCACAGGAAGCCAAGCCCCAATGGCAATGTCCAGCTCCCACAGACACTAGCAAATAGCTCAACATCATACTGAACAAAGAAGCACTGGCTCCTTGGACAAGTCAAGGGGTAGCTGCCCACAGGAGCAAGATGAGCAGTCTGGTGCAGTCCCTCCCTAGTGACTGGCCTGGAGCTCGCATGCACGGGAACGAAGGAAGCAGCATGTTGCAGTAATTGAGCTTGCCATTGTGCTGCAGGCCAGCCTAGCACAGGCTGTTCCACACCTACTCCGTCTCCAATGGTTAGTACAGAAAATAGTCACTGACCACCACGGAGCTGACAGATTTCCTCAACAAAAAATAGATCTCCCCAGGACACGAGAGAAATTTCACTTGAAATATTTTTAAATCCATAGTTAAAAACACATGTAGCCTTTCCACCTTAATTCATAATCCTAGACAAAAGTCAAAACCTGATCAATTGACATCTGGTTAATGGTAATATTTTCAATTTGGAACCATTTGATAGTACTAACATATGAAATAATTCTTATACTTTTGTGAAAAACACCACTATATCATATTATCTCTCAAAAGTAGAACAAAATATAAAAACTATTTCAATATTGATGTCAAGTAAAAAGTAAATATTAAACTGGGTATCATGGTACATACCTATAATCCCAACACTCAGAAGGTTGAGGTGGGAGAATTATGAACATATAGCCTATTCTGTACAATGCACCCTGACTCAAAAACAGTAAAGGGTCAATACCATAAGACTGCCTCTGCTCACAGCTGGCTCAAGTATTTTTTTCTTTAAAAATCTGGTTCAGACACTTGGGAGGCAGAGGCAGGCGGATCTCTGTGAGCTGAAGACCAGCCTGTTCTACAAGAGCTAATTCTTGGACAGCCTCCAAAGCTACAGAGAAACCCTGTCTCAAAAAACAAAAATAAAAATAAAATTTTAACTAAAAGACAGGATTTCTCTGTGTAACAGCCCTGGATGTCCTGGAACTCGCTTTGTAGACCAGGCTGGCCTTGAACTCAGAGATCCACCTGTCTCTGCCTCCAGAGTGCTGGGATTAAAGGTATGTGTCACTACTGCCTGTGTGGTTCAGACTTTTAAAAATCATTCTGCTCTATGATAACAATGTACATGTGATACCAAGTTTATTTAAAAAGGCATTAAATCCAGATTAAAATCTAATTATAACTTATTTTAGACAAATATGATTATAGAAGGCTTGCTTTCATAAATCAAACAGGTGATGCTAATTTTGTAGTTAAAAATTCCACAAAAGTGATTGTTTTAAAAAGTAGTGTCAAAAGAAAATCTATTCTGAAATCCAATGATAAATATTTATTAACACATTTCCTGCAAAATAACTGGAAAAAATTAGTCAAAACCCCACAACAGTTAGTGCATTTAGCTTTGTTAAAATTATGTAGTGTTTGCTGGGCATAGTGGTACACATCTTTAATCCCAGCAGTCAGGAGGCACAAGGAGAGTTATCTCTGAGTTTGAGACCAGCCAGGTCTCGATTGAGTTTCAAGCCAGCCTGGCCTATACCTTAAGACAAAAACTGCCCAGCTCTATTCCAAGCATCACGTTCCTGGGAAGGTGATAAACTGGTGATGTCTGAACGAAAGCCTTTGAAGATCAACTTAGAAATTTAAGAGAGGATAAAAATCCCAGGCTGTTCCAATTAAACCCAGAGTAAATCAAGCATTGTTACCTCTCCTCAGTTTGATGTATCTGTAGGACAGTGAACAGTCTGGTTCTCCAGCAAGTGCATACAAGCAGCGTCTATGTGGTCCTCTCCCCCTTTAACAACCCTTACGGACATTTATCACACTTACGACATAATCACAGAAGAGAATAAGGGCCCCTCTTCGCACTATTTCTCTATTGCACATTCCAAGTTGAGCTGCTGAACTAGAATCCTCCTCTTCACCAGACATCTGGGGGTTAAGTGACTTCGTGCAGGACAGACTGTGCCTTCTACAAAGAGGGGAAGATGCAATGAGGAGGTGTCTGGGATAGCAATGAGCTTACATACACAATACTGGACATGGCTATGCTTGACTTTCCTTCTCAAACCCACCAAACATTTCTTTATCAAACTGGTGTTGTATGGTTAAGCACCTCAGACTTCTGTTTCTAGAAAACACTAAAGGACACAAGAAGGCTTAGCAGGCAGATGATTACAGTGCTTGACTGAAGAGTAAAATCTGCAATAAAGCTGCAATTCCAATTAGCATGCCCATTCCAGAACTCATACTGGTCATGTTGATAATGGAGAAGTTGTTTTTTAAATTCTGCATGCTCTACAAACACTGTCAGGTGCCAGAGGGAAGCCCCACTTCTTACTTCCCTACTCATTTTCAAACATATTACTGAGCAGGTCTCAACTGTGGAATTACTGTTCAAAGTGTTTCCCCACTACAGCAGTTCTTCCAGTTGGCACTCCTTTCTCTCTGCACTTTTCTTCTTTCTAAATATAGCCCTGGAGACGCTTGATTATAGCCAAATACTAAAAACAGTGTCTGACACACTCCCACCCCACCCTTTTGGCTTTTACTCAATCTCCGTAGGACACCGGAGGGCAAGCACATTTGAAATATGTTGACCAGTCCTATAGTACTAAAAGACAACTGACAACATATTCCACAGGATTAAGTTTGTTAAAGCTGTAGACATTCTAGTGGGCTCCCAAAGTCTACCCATATACTAGGGATAGATTAACCATCCTCATTCAGGGAGTCCAGATAGAATCCACTATTTCTATCATTAGAAACCCCTCCTGAGTTGGCAAGACAGCTCAGTAAGTAAAAGCACTTGTTGCACAAGTCTGACAACCTGAGTTTGATCCTTGGACTCCACAATGGAAGGAGAGTACTGACTCCTCAAAGTTGTCCTCTGACCTCCACATGTGGGCTAAGGCAGGTGCACGCATGTGCATACACAACACATCATAAGTAAAAATGAAAAGAAAACGTCTATGACCCCATTTCTTATAGCTCTGAGTCCTCCTAAGAGCTGCCATCTCTTTCATCATCTTTTCCTCCTAGTTTTTACTGAAAATGTCAAACAGAAAAGCTGAAGAACAATTGAACCAACAGTCCCATGCCTTTTGCCTGCATTCAACTATTAGTATTTGTCACCTTTGAGTTCATGTACATACTTTGCACATGAAACTCAGTACATGGTACAAACTACAGAAACACACACTACACACTCACATGAAACTTTATTACACACAGTCTGAATACTTGCACACGTATGCTTCTTTGGCTGCACCATGGAAGAGTGATTCTAGAGTACATTTCATTACAAACACTGCAGCAGTTATCTCTTGAACATGCTTAGAGCTACAAAGCCACCACTCACACTAAGCTTATCCTTACATTTCCAACAGCCCCAATAATGATTATTCTAGCAGATCCAGGACACAATCAAGGATTCTAAAGTAAATTCTTCTGTCCCATTTGTTTTACTCTATTAACATAACACTTTTGTCTTTTTTTTCTTTCCCTTTTACAGTCTATGGAGGTTTTTTATTTATGTGTTTTACATCTCTAGAAAATGAATCCCACGATTTTCCCTCCTGTGTGTTTTTGTCTTGCTTCTTCATGGTCCATGATGCCAGCTGAGGCTGTCGGTACAATAAGCCAAACTGACAGGGTGGGAGCAGGTTGCTCTGCCATTTCCTAGGTCTCTGAGCTGCACATCAAATCTAGGCTGATCTCTCCACACTTGCTCAAGCTGCCTGTGAGGTTCACGACAATTTTCCTAGCTGTGAAAATCATTGATGATTTCAAATTCACTAATGTAACCATGTTTCATCATCATGGTTAGGAACTAAATGATGACTCTGGAGCAGGGCCTGATGAGGACCTGGCATTTACCTCTCTTCTCAGCATTGTTGCTCTTCAGAGCATCAGCCAGGACATTCATTGTGCACCATGGTGACGGTGCAGAAAGAGCAACACTTTTGTCTTTTAAGACAGACATGTCAGTGTGTCCATGAGTGTCTAGGTAAAAGATGGCCTCTACCATCAGCTAAGGTTGTACAAACAATAGTATGACTTTTAAACCTTAACACTATTGTACACCAATGGGGTGGGCAGATGTTGCTGAGAGCTATTATTTTTTAAAGCAGGCTGGAGACATCCTTACCTTCCTCCTGCCTTCTTGGCTTGTCCATAGTTAACTTAGGCTCTATACCCTGTATCTTACCCAGCACAACTCAGTCTTAGAGTCTACTAGACTATCTGAGAACTTACTACACACAAGTTCTCAGAGCTCCAATTCTTTTTGTTTTTTACGTCTTTAAACAAATTATTTGTGTGCTTGTGTACCACAGTGTGCCTGTGGATATCAGAGGATAACGTGTGCAAAATCAATTCTCTTTCTAGCATGTGGGTCTTAGGGATTGAACTTAAAGTCATCAGGCTTAGCAGCAAGTACCTTTGGTTTGAGCTGTCATTTTTTTGGGGGGGCTATTTTTTTATTCATTTTACATAACAACCACAGTCGTCGTCATCGTCCCCACCCCCCCATATCCCCATCCTCCCTGCAACTCCCAGCATTGTCAAGTTAGGGGAGGGATGGAGTGGGAGGGCAATGAAAGGGATATCTTGATGGAGCCATTATGGGGTTAGAGAGAAACCTGGTGCTTGTTTTTTTGTTGTTGTTTTCATTTTTTGTTTTTTAGTTTTACGAGACAGGGTTTCTCTGTATTATTTTGGAGGCTGTCGGTCCAGCCTAGCCTCGAACTCACAGAGATCCACCTGCCTCTGCCTCCCGAGTGCTGGGATTAAAGGCATGCGCCACCACCACCCGGCTTGTTTTTGTTTTTTTTTAATACAAGGTTTTACTGTGTAGCCCTGACTAGCCTGGAACTTGCTGTGTAGACCAGATTGTCCTTGAATTCACAGAGGTTTACCTGACTCTGCCTCCTGAAGCTGAGATTAAAGACATACTCCACCATACCCAGCTCTGAGCTTCAATTTATAGCTACTACCCTACCAAAGAAGCTTCCCTTTATAACAAATGGAGACAATCATAGAAAACCACAACTGGACACAATGCAGAGAGAGATCAATGGATTGCTGGAGAGCCCAGCCCCAGTGGATGCATCTGCATTAGAGTCCTGCATCTGTGACTCAGGGAACAATGTGGAAAAGGACGTAGAAAGATTTCAGAGCCAGAATACCAGAAAGTCTGGTGTGAAGCAGTCCAGGAGGGAAATGGATACATAGACTAGACCACAACAAAGGCAGTATCCATGGATATGTTAATGTGGATGGGGAAAAATTTCCTAGGATCTAATCCCTAGACAAAGAACTGTAGGTAGCTAATAACTGCTGGAAAGAGAATTAGCCTCTCCCAGGGATGAGACTTACTGGACTTACTGGTTGTCCAATGCAAAGTAGTCAACCCTGAATACATATATATATATACACACACATACATACATACATACACACACACACAAATAACAAAATCAGACACCACAAGTTATATTTATATATACTTGTGCATACATATATATACATATATAATACATATTTATGCAACAAATATGATCAGAGAAAAAGAATGTGTGAATGGGGATGCATAGAGGAGCTTTGAGGGAGGATAGTCAGAAGTAGGGAAGTGATGTCTTGCAATTTAAAAACATTTAAAAAAATAAAACAATAGACAGGAAAAATGAAAAAGTAAGAAGAAAGGAATGAACACTCGTGGTGCTGAGAGCACCTGTGCTCAGAGCAGTCTGTGGAGCAGCAGCCTTGGTAGCAGCAGGGGCTTGGGATATATGCAAATTCCTAGCCCCCAGCAAGCTTCCTGCACGGAAATGTTTTACACAGCATCAAGGCTGATCTACACGTACATATAAGAATCAGAGAGCTAGGCTTCCTGTCCACTAGGCCTTACAATGTTAATGTGTCAGGCCTAAGAGAACCTCTAACCATTTCAAACGATGCTGTGGGTGCCTTCCCAAGTAACCCCACATACAGGCAGAAAGTAGCATCTCTGTTTCCTTTACAGACACCATTTAAGGAGTACATAACAGATACCAATAATGTTCCTAACAGGATATAAAAGTGGGTCTGGATGGTAGCCCCTCGTCTCCCTTCACCAGGCTGAGGAGTTAACCTTACCTATACTCTTCCTTAAGCAAATTTTCCTGACAAAGGCTCCTAAGTTGTTCAGAAACTACACTAAGGACTGACTCATTGGGGCTCACAGCTTTTTACCTCTAAACATGTTCAGATATTTGAATGAGCGAGTTTCTGGACACTAAGATTTAAATCTAAAAACTCTGCAAAAAAGAGGGCCACCCATAACCAGAAACAGTCTATCTGAATAATAAAAATAAATTAATAAAACACTTCCAATCAGTTTTGAAATTTGCTAAATAATTACTTCATTATCTAAGAATACACAGAAAACATATAATCATAACAAAGTTAAGACATTGCAACATGTCTGGCTGTGGAACCAATGAAAGCCATAGGACGTAGCAGGAGGGACAGAGCCTCACAAGCATAGCCCACATTATGGAACAGTGTCAAAGAGTTTGTCACAGTGAAAAATCACAGTGAAAAAGCAGCTGTTTAGTTTGAATGCCTGTAGCCAGACCACATTTCCCTACAAAACAGTACCCAAGAAAGAAAAGATTAATATGAAGCCAAAATTTTACAAAGCCTCATGAAGAATGGAAAATAAAAATGCCCTCATAGCAGCCAAGCCTCAGGCCAAACATTGAGTTGGTGCCTGGGCCTGGGAAGCTGTGCACCTACTTGGGTGTCTGCTGCACCTCTGCCCACCATCGGTGGTCAGTGTGGTTGATGAGCAGTAGGATCTGACACCAGAGCAATACCAGAGCTGGGTGTGTGGGCACCATGGATCGCACCCGTGCATTCAGGCTCTCTAGAGTATAGAAGTTGCCTTCACAGCCATCACCAGTGAAGAGTCTAGTGGCAGCTGCCGTGATTCTCCGGAACATTCCTAGAATCAAACAAAAATAAGTAAAACAGATTATGGGGAACATCTCTCCTGTTCATCATTACCCAGTACCAGGTAGCTAAGCATAGTACTTTCCCGCTTATGTGATTACAGCACTTGGCACTTAGAGAATAGTGACTTTAGTGTGTGCATGTGCTCATGGGTATGTGTGGTTACATGTGTATACATATGTGTTGAAGTCAAAGGTTGATGTAGGGTTGATATTGCTTCTCCACCTTATATTTTGAGACAAGGTCTCTCACTGAACCTGAGCTCAGCCAGTAAGCCCTATAGATCTTGATCTCTCCAGCTATCTGCAGGGATTATAGAAGCTGTGCCTGGCTTTTTAAACAGGTGCTAAGAATCCAAACTCAGGTGCTCATACTTTGCACAGCAAGCACTGATAAGCCTTTCCCCCAGATGCAAACTCTAATTTTTCTAACCAGACACTAAACTTATTTAATAACTCAGGTCACTTTTGCCCCTCTGCTGATTGGCATTGCCTCATTCTTTAGTATCTCCAAAACAGCTTCTGGAGAAGCCTGAACATGGGTGGCCAGAAAGAACCAGCCAACATACGGCAAAGGATTCAGGCCACAGTAGGGAGAACACAGAACTGAACTACAGCCAGCAGACAGAAAGGCACCCTACAATTCTTTGGCTAGCTGAGAATCAAGGGACAAAAACACAAGGGGCTACAAGAGCACACAGGACAATTGTCAAGAGAACTAAATACATCTATATAAAAGTATAGCTGATTTATTAAACCCTACCTGGAAACCAACCAAATACCCAAACATAGTAGTTCTGCTACCTAGTGTCACATAAACAAGAGATATAAACATTAATATACAACTTAACAGCACGAGGGCAAAGCCTGTATGTATAACCATGACAGGTACTGCAAGAAGAGTATACACATGCTGTATCATAACGGAAGCCACTGACTGAATGATGCCACTTAAGTTAATGTCTTTCTTTTTGTGTCTCTATCATTTTGTTTGACCCAATGTCTTCAAGAGTCACCCATGTTGGCTTTTTTATTTTACTTTATGTATATGAGTGTTTTGCCTGCATGTATGTATGTGTACTTTATGCATGCCTGGTGCTGGTGGACTCTAGAAGAGGGGATCAGATCTCCTGGAAATGGAGTTAGAGATGATTGCGAACCTCTACAAAATACTGGGAAGAAAGGTGGGTCCTGTGAAAGAATAGAAAATACTCTTAACAGCTAAGCTATCTCAATTATCCCATGTTGTTTCTTATGTCAGAATTATCTCAGGCCAAAAATATTCCATGAATAAACACATTTGACTCTATAATCTATGTATATGCCATATTTGGCTTATCAACCAGCCCACCAATAGATGCCAGAGTTGCTTCTAACATCTTACTATATAATGAATGCTGTTATGAAAACTAGTATACAGCTATCTTCTAAGCGCTCTGTTCCCTATTCTTTCAGACATCTGCCTATCAGTGTAATTGCTGGACCATATGTATCAGGTTCACTCCTATCATGTTCTCACAAGGCACAAGGAGTACAGAGAACCCCTACCATGGGAAGAGGGCACTACTGGAGACAGGGAACATGAGACACTACGAAGTCTAATCAGATCCACTTACCAGATTTGAAGATGTGGATCAGACACATGAGCAGTGTGCCTAGTTCTTGGCAGTAGAATGTATGCTGCTGTTCACTCATTTCCACTTTGAGCTGCTTTGTAACAATGTCTTCTAAAAGAATACCAACAAGCTGCAAAAGAAACCTTCCAAGAAAGGGAGCAAATAGCAGCATATTAGGTCACTATCAGTGAGATTACACCAAGCACAAGTGTGTAATATAGACCATCAGCTTGTGTAAAATAAAAAAAGCACTAGGGTGGTACACTGAACAAAGTGAAAATTAAATGTTTCAGACCATTATTGTGGACTAAGTTTCTGCAGCCCTCTGTAACACCTTCCTCAAATATGAAATGGTAACTATACCACCTTTAAAGAACCATCAAAACAAAATGACAAGAGGTTATTTTTTTAAGCTTTATCAGCTGTAAGAGTTACATAAATATGAGCTGGTAATTCACCACAGGAATTTAGTGTAACATCAATTTTACCCACTCCTTCAACTTAACAGAGGGAGGGCTTCCAGTTGAACCTGCAAACAAGGCAGTGTGTGGGTTTACAAGGTACCATGGGTATCTCCCCCTGAAAATATGGAAGGCTTTAAGGAGTATGTTTGCAGCACTACTCTAACGCCCACTCCAGGAGTGGGCAGATACTTCATGCAAAGGGTCAGCAAGTGCCTGAAAAGTAACCAATGCCACTGCCCTTGAGGAGCTCCCACACTGTGTGGGAGGAAACACATGAGCTGATCCTGCAGGTATCTGATAGATGCTATTCACCTTGGCAATGAGGTTCTTAAAGCAGCACATGGTGAAAATACATACAGGCCTGATTTTCCAGTGGTTTACCCTAGGTTTTTAACCACTCTACAGGCAATTCACTCCTTAACATGCTATATTCAGGGCAGGCCATCCCTGCTTAATTATGGTGAGTCACTCTTGTCGAGTCTAGTCACAAGGACAGAGCTAGAGTGAGACAGAACCTAAAAAAAAGTGTGAAGCAAGGCCACTCACTAGTGATGTAGTCGAGAATAAAAATTGGGCAAAGGGGATGAAGAGATGGATTGGGGTTCAAGAGAACTTGCTATTCTGGAAGAGGACCCAGGTTTGGTTCCTAGATCCTACGTGGCAGCTTCCAATTGCCAGAAACCCCAGTTCCAAGGGATTTAATGCCCTCTTCAGGTCTCCATGTGCACTCAGTATACTTACTTACACATAAGCAAAACACTCATATACATTCAACAAAAAGAAATAAACCTAAAAAAAAAAAAAAAGAAGACCCGAAGCAAGACCAGCAAATACTGTTAGCTGCTAATGCTGCTGAGACCCCATGGGGCCAGTCAAGAGACTCAAGTCAGTTTACAGGTTCAGAAAGACAGCATACCTTGAGAATGTTTCTTCTGGCAAATTCTTTGTTTGTTTCCCTTCACTGCGTTCTCCTAGTGTTGAATTACTGTCTCCTTCCCTTAACCTGCTAATTACTGGACAAGAGATTAAATATGGAGAGAAGGAGAGTTCCTGAATACGAGAAAGAACAATATCTTCTGTTGACTGGGAAATGAGAACCCTCAGAATGGCTAGGATTCCAGATATCCACAGCTGCACAGTGCTTACAGATGCCTGAAAAAGAGATAATATATATGTTAAAGGTAAGGAAAGATGATTACATTTCCCTTTGTTGCCAATTCCAAGGAAGAAAATCACTCCAATTTACTACTTCACCAGAAAGTCCCTAGAGCACGGGTTCCAAGTGTGGTCCTATAGAAGCAGAATCAGGCTCAGTTGGAGAATTGGAAAAATGCAAATTCTTAAGTTCCACTCACCAACTGTGGCAGCTCTGGGCTGGGAGCTGCCCTCCAGTGCATCAGGAGTGTCTGGTGAGACTCACCATTGTGCTTGGAGTGATGAACATACTCCGCAAAAGCATGTCCACAGGACGTAGGGAGGAAGGAGCCAGAATCTCAAACAAGGTATTTAACACTCCAAGGGCTTCATGAGAATCAATGTGCATCTGAGGAATTAAGAACCACAGACATATCTGTCAACCCGATGGAAATGCCAACTCCACACATATCATTCTTGCACCTCCAGAGCACACAATCACCACCATTCCTATCCCATCCTCTCAGTTAAAAGCATTTACTTTTAGCAGTAATCCTGTTTTCAGGACAGTTTATCACCTGCACTCTACTTTCAACAACAACCCCAATAAAGCTTCAGGATACCATCTCCATTCCAGCCCACCCATCTTTCCTTTTCCTGTGACTAGCTTTTTGTATCCAACTGGAATGTTACAATCTCTGGGACTTTACATTGCTCTCTGCTCTGCCTGAAGCACTGTCTTGAAGGTATCTGCTAGAATTGCCCTGTTCCTTTCTTCATGTTTACTCAAATGTCACCCCCTATGCAAAGCTTTCCTTTTTGGTCACTGACTGAACAATGAATACATCCTCCTACCCTGACACTACCCAACCTCCTTGCCACAGATAGCTACTATTCTCTGATACTTTATATGCTTCAATAATGTATTCCTTTATTAACAGCCTTATTATCCATTGTCTGTCTCAATGAAAGCGTCACTCTAAGGTGGGAGAACACTGCTTTTCAATACATTTTGTTCATTCAAGTATTTCATATCAGTCCCTGCCATACTGCCTACATATGCAGTGCCTGCCATATGACAGGGGGGTTCATTCAAAGCATGGCCAGAGCTTCATCTGGCAGCTACACAGGCTTTCTGGTAGGCTGTTTATAGGCGGGCTCTGTCTGTTCTCTATCTTGTATTGTAATGTGGCTATGGTGAAAGCCACACAGACTTCTGGGCTTTGAGGCCCACATGGTCCAGGAGCCAGGGCTGCTTATTTCCATAAAATATAAAACAGCCAGACACTGCTGAGCAAGTGATGAATAACTGCTAGAGTACTTTTTAAGTGATAAGAAAAACAAGTGAAAAATCATAAAGAAAATTAAAGATCAAATAAATATCTGACTGACTAGAATAAACAAGTCAGAATAAGTAAGTACTCAGTTTTTAAGTCAGAACTGGGCCAACCAACTACAGACTCTGCACTGTCAAGTGCTGTGAAGACAAAAACCTCAATAACTTCTCTGACCTTTAGTTCCCCCACTTGTAAAGTGAGAAGGCAATTTCAACCTCAAAGGGTAATGGAATAAAAGAAGCCACTTGCCCCATGAGTAGCAGTAAGAACAATTATTGCCAGGCGTTGGTGGTGCACATCTTTAATCCCAGCACTTGGGAGGCAAAAGCAGGCGAATCTCTGTGAGTTCGAGACCAGCCTAGACTACAGAGGGGCTTCCAGGACAGGCTCTAAAACAATACAGAGAAACCCTGTCTAGAAAAACAAAAACGAAAGAAAGAAAGAAAGAAAGAAAGAAAGAAAGAAAGAAAGAAAGAAAGAAAGAAAGAAAGAAAGGAACAATTTTCAAAGCAAGAACCTGTCAGGATATGATGCACAACCAATCTTTATAAGCATCTCAGCCTACTCTGAAACAAATCACATTACATGGTGGCAAAACATGGCCATGGTAACAAACCTGCTGCTTGGCTAACATGGGCAGGATGATGTCTGCAACCTGCCGAGACAGCCGTTTCCACTTGTCCTCATTCTCCTTGTGGCACTGCTGCAGGACAAGGATGAACATCTCCAGCACCTGCAAGAATGTTTAGGTAGGATCAGAGTACTTCCTGGCCCAGGGCCCTCTACCCTCCCATGTCCCACACTGAACCCAGCTCAGCTGGGCAGCTCTAGGGTTCAAAGAAATATAATCCCCAGTGAAGACTAAGGCAGTCACACAATCTTCACTCTGTGATATGTGAATGTGAAGTGCACAAAAAACCCCACAAGAGATGCAGGAAGCTCCAAGGGCATGGGTGAGCCATGCTGGGCTCAGGAAGACTTGTGATCAGTATTATTTCTATGGATTAAAACATTTCATGAATAAAGAATTAAATGAAAATCAAACTTATATTCATCTGTAGGAGAACTCAAAGACAGCTTTGATTAAATACTCTATGGGACACCTTAATATTGTTATGAACTTTAATGATTTATTAATTTTTTTAATGTGCATCTGTCTGTGTGAGGGTTTAGGATTCTTCAAAACTGGAGCTACAGGTGGTTGTCAGCCATCATGTAGACACTGGGAATTGAACCCAGATTCTCTGAAAGAGCAGCCAATGCTCTTAACCACTGAGCCATTTCCCCAGCCTTTTTATGTACCTTAAATTCACCTCAGTGTTCTTTGCAAAGGCAATCTATTTTCTACTGGCCCTCACTTAGAACAATCATACAAAACTGAGCATGAGTTTATTGGTGGTCATTTTGGTCATTCTAAACAGATGTATCTGTGATCTAGAAGAGGTTTATAACAGACACCTGGCCCACTGCCCATTTTGTAGATAGTTTTATTGGAACACAGCCATGCCATCTGTATACACATTGCCTGTATCTACCTTCATAGTACAACAGACCAGGAACCCACAAAGTTTGCAATGCTGATTAGTTTGCAATTTACAGGAAAGAGTCTGCTAATCCCTCAATTAAAAAATGCGACTGTTATCATCTTAAAGCCTAATCCAACTATTCCATCCCCAAAGCTGCCTTTCTTTAAGGTACAAGCGCAGTGTTTATGTTGCACAAGAACCTCGTCTCCCCTTTATTTCACAGCATTCAAGGATCTCCATGGGGCATGATGAGACTGCTGAACATCCACAAGGATATTCTCTTCCCCAAGGCACTGCCAGCCCTGCCATGCTTGCCAGGTCATCTGCTTACTCTCAAACTACTTTATGCGTCTTGTATTTTTTTATTGTACTCAAGCGACTTAACTAAGCATTAAGTATTTAATTAAGTATTACAAAGATTGATCAAAACATAACTGTAACAAAGAAAGTGTTCTTTCTTTGAGAAAGGCTTGTGGTTTTATGAAAATTCAGAGACAGGCAGCTGAAAGGAACTAAAAAATAAGGGAGGAACAGGCAAAAGTACAAGTTTGAAAGAGACAAAAATTAAGAAAACTAGATTTCCATACATGGGCTGACCCAAATCATTTAAAATCCATGTTCCAGCTTAAGGGAAACAAAACTAGAAACGAGCATAAAAAAGAAAAAAAAAAAAAGATGTGACTGAGTCAAAATAGAATTACCTATTTACTTTATTTCAGATTTGAAATTTCTAGTGTTTTTAAAAGCTCAATGGTTTAGATCAACATTGTCAATTAATTGATGCTTGAACCATGTTTGAGAATAAATAGCCGCTGTCACATTTAGTATCTTGATTCACATTACAACAGTCAGTCACATGTCTGGTGGTCTTCTGGGGCTGTGCCAGCTCTAAACCTAGTGTATTTTCTCCTATCACCGCCATTTCTTTAAGTCCCAGAGAACCTAATGCTCCTGAGACTGTTCAACACACACAGGGCCTCACGGCTATGGCATGTCTATCTATGCTGATGATGTGATATCACTATACCATTCTCTCACCTGATGGTACTGGATGAGTCTTAACAGCATCGACACCACCACCTCCTTCTGGGTTTCAAGCTCTTTTCCAGCATCAGCTTTATTTGTTCCTCTTAACACAAACAGGTCATGGACAATGGGCTGCAGAGCAGGTATGGCTGTGGGCACAAAAGGGTGAGCAAATAAGGCCCACATGTGTGGGACTGGAGATTCAGATGGCTGAGAACCACTATGTGGGTACTTGGAACAATCCTAAGAGCAGTCAGTGCTCTTAACTGCTGAGCCATTTCTCTAGCTCCTAATTTTTACCTTATTATTATTATTTTTTTATGTGTATGGGTGTTTTGCATACATGTATGTCTGTTCACCACATACATACAGTATCCTCAGAAGCCATCAGAAGGTGTCTGACCCCCTGAAACAGGATGTTATAAGTCACCATGTGGATGCTTAGAATTGAACCAAGCCTTTTGGAAAAGCAGCCAGTGCTATTAACCACTGAGCCTTTTCTGCTACTTTATTCAGGTCTGTGTGTTTAGCATTTGCATTTCAACTAAATCATCCACCAACTGCTAAACATTTCATAATCTGTGCTCTGATGGAACATGAACAGAGGCACAGCTGATAGCTCATAAAGATTGAGAGGTTCTATCAATGCTCAGACTATGCTCCCCTGTACAGGTAGTAGGTGGAGCTTCTCTATGGCAGTGCCATTTCTCACTTGTGAGATCTGCAAAGCTCTAAGGATGCATCCATACTAAAGGTCAAAGGCTTATAGACCAACAGTTCTCAACCTGTGGGTCTGAATCCCTTGCGGGGTGTGTGTGTGGGGGGTGTTGAATGACCCCTTATTTCATAGGGGTTGCCTATCAAACATCCTACATGTCAGATATTTACAATATGATTCATAACTAGCAAAATTACAGTTATGAATTAGCAACTAAAATAATTTTGTGGTTGGAGGGTCACCACAACATGAGGAACTGTATGAAAGAGTCACAGCATTAGGAAGGTTGAGAACCACTGCTCTAAACACTTGGCAAAGGAGTAGGGAGAATCCAACAAGGAAAGGTTGGAAGACTGGGGTTAAAGTTCAAAGAAAGAATCATGGCACATTCTTTTTGGTCACTGCTGCTGATGAACAAGCCAGGGCCTGTCTGAACAGCCAAAGTTGGCTGCAACTCATGGTCCTCCTGCCTCTACCTCATGAAAGCCATTAACAGAGGTATACACCATCAAGTACAGCTACAGAACATTCTTAAAATATACATCCCACCTCTTTTTATAGCTAAAGGGGCAAAACTGAGTGGCTAACCATTAACTATGGTTCTTATTTAAGTTTCAGCAAAATAATCAAGCAGTCATGGCATCAACCTTAAGTACAGGGGTTAAAAACCAATGTGCAAAGAGAACTTTAGTTTACTCATAGTTCTAATTCATTAGCCCTTTACTTAAATGTAACATGCCTGCTGGACGTTGGTGGCTCATGCCTTTAATCCCAGCACTCGGGAGGCATAGGCAGGGGGATCTCTGTGAATTTGCGGCCAGCCTGGTCTACAGAGCGAGTTCTAGGACAGCCTTCAAAACAAAAAACAAGACAAAAAAAAGTGTAGCATGCTTACAAAATATAGATGATATAGAATTCAAAGTGTGGTTTACTAAACATCGAATAGCTTCTCTTCTAAAATACAATGTGGCAAAACAAAAAACCCCAAGGAAATGTCCAACTACACTGGCAAAACCATTGAAAAAGAAATCAGAATTTATAGCTGGGTTTGGTAGCATACACCTTTAATTCCAGCATTTAGGTGGCAGAGGCAGGTGGATCTCTGTGAGTTCAAGACCAGCCTAGTCTACAGAGTGAGTTCCAGAATAGCTAGGGCTATTACATTGAGAAACTTTGTCTCAAAAAACCAAAGGGGCATGGAGGGAGGGAGGGAGGGAGGGAGGGAGGGAGGGAGGGAGGGAGGGAGGGAGGGAGGGAGGGAGGGAGGGAGGGAGGGAGGGAGGGAGGGAGGGAGGGAGGATTTGAGCTGGGAGTGAAGGTCAGTTGTAGAATGCTTTGAGTAGCATGCCATGAAGCCCTGGGTTCAATCCCCACACCTTACAAACTGGGAATGGTAATCATGTCTGTAATCTCAGAACTTAGGTAGGAAGAGGACCAGGAGTTCTAGGTCAATCTTGGTTCATAGTGAGTTCAAGTCAGCATGGGATACATGAGAACTTGTATCAAAAAGAAAAAGAAAAAAAGAAAAAGAAAAAAGCAAAATTTGATTTATGACAAGCTAGATTTAAAACTTTTGTTAAGTTTAGGGGTGTGATCAGAGTTTAAGTGTTTTGCACACGTGAGTCCCCAGATTTGAGCCTATGCCCTCTCTCTGAAAAAGAACAAAGCAAATATAAATGACAAAATTAAAGTTTTGCTTCTAAACAGAGACATTTATCGGAATCTATCTGTACCTTAATCATGTTGCTATATTTTATATATTTCACTATTTTTATCTCCCCCAGGTAGTTTACAAATTTCTGTGAGTAAGCAATTTTTTTCATTCTCAATTATCTCTAACCTAAGTGCGTGCATGCATGCATGAACCCCCATACATGTACACACACAGCACATGCAGTGCAGGGTTGTCAATCAGTTAAAGGAGGGTGGAGGTGAGACGGAGGACCACAAGCAAACATGTATCCCATTACCATGTGTAACAGCCTTCCTTCCACTGGCCATGATGCCATCACACAGCTGGATGATTTTAGGAATTCCAATGATTTGTTTTGAATGGTAGCGTTCATAAGACAATAATACCAGGAAGAAAAATATATTTGGAATAATTGCCTCTGATTCCCTAGAAACAAAAACACCCATTTAGACATTTCTTTTTTAAAAACAGTAAGTGATATGCATACACAGCATAACATAAGTCAAGATTCAACCTCAGGAGAAAGTACTAAGACAGAAAAGACTCTGCAGCCTCGTTAACCCCACCTGCACCAGTGGGCTGCCTGCCTCTGCCCACAGGACAGTCTGATGGTTAGGACGGTGAAGCTGAAGCAAGAGGGGGGCAACTTAAGCACTGGATGCCAGCAGGTAAAATCATCCTGGTCCTTCATTTTCCTTTCTTCTCTTGAAGAAATTCAGACACCAAGGACTATGGAGTCAAGGTGTCATAATCAGAACAAGACCTGGTTCTCTAGATCCCGGGGACTCTCACAACACTCTCCAGTGCTATGCTTTACAAACTATTTAGTAAGGACAGTGATTTTCAAAAATTACAATGTTATATATACTACTAGATTACTAAAGCTTTAATGCTTAGCAAGGAAAACTGCGGTTAATATAACTAAAGTTCACAATCACTCCCTTTACTAAAATTGCTTCCTCTAAAGTTAGGAAACAGGGTTCCGATGGGTAAGATGTCACTTAGTGATCTGTCACCATCATCATACACTCTGAATGTGAAATGAACATACACTAATGCATACAGATGCACAAATGTTTCTAAGAAAGTCTTGAGAAAGGTTTTCAGTAAATGTTCAGAGGGATGAAAGTGGAAAGCATGTAAATCAGACTTTCATTGGACACAGCAGCACTTGAAGCACCTGCCACTATAAGGACCTAGGATTACATGTGTTACATAACAAGGATGATAACGGAAGTAACTAAACAGTTGTACCTGAACTGGCCCACTTCAATGTACTCAAACTGCTTCAGCACAAAACCGATGAACACCTACATCACGGAAAGAAAAGCTGCCATCAGTCACAGGTTTACCACATGTAAGTCAGGTGTCTTTTCTTCTACTGATCTGTGAACTATTCACAAGCACACACAGTAGATTAGCTTGTTTATAATCAAGTTCTCAAAGCTACTCTGAAGTCAGGTAACTGCAGAGCACCTTCAGACATGACTTTAGGAACTGGTCAAGGCAGACAGCTTCGTATAGGTCTATAATCCCAGCACAAGGGGAACCAGGACCAGCAGATGGAAGTTTGAGATCAGCCTGGGCTACATGGTAGATCTTTGTCTCACAAAACAAAGTGACTAAATACAGAGATGAATCCTCACTGGGAAAAGAGGTAATAAATTCCAGTTATTACTCATAATCACATCTGGAAGACTGTGTCCAAAGAGCGGTCAACCAACAGCTTGATTCCTGCAGCACATAATGCCTAGATACTGTCTGTGACCTACACTAGAGGAGCCAGTAGGAAAGGCCAACCCTAGGAACAGAGACAGTTCCTGGGCTGAAGAGCCTGTCTACTTCATTCTCACTTTCTGTGAGACTTCATCTCCCTGGCAGACGCTCCCACAGATGAACTTCAGAACTTAAACACATTGCTGTGCAGATCTGGGGCATACACAGACATTCAGCAGATGCTTGGTAAATCAGTATCTGAACTAAGTTTGTGCCTCGGTTTTAGGCATTTAACCCTCTACAGTATCCACTGATGAAAGTCAATGAAACAAACAGGAGACCAGAGTGCTCATGGTAAGAAAAATAGACTACCACCAGAGGATGGTAGGAAAGTTTTGTTGGTATGAAGCTCAGGGGCCCAGAGTGAAGGACATACACGCACACATGGGCACAGCACACAAAAAACCTGGAAGTCCTGGGCATTTTCAAGTAACAGGCAGTAAGTTTTAGGAAGAAAAAAATTGCTTTTCTGTTTTAGAGGAAACACTCTGGATAGAACAGAATAACTACAGAAACTATCAGGTAAGACAGCCAAGTCTACCTAACATATCTACTGGTGAACTAATTTTCTGTCTATGATGGATGGCTCAAATAGAAAACACTGAGTAGGAAGTAGGAAAGTGAGACGAGAGGAAGACTGTAGCCTTACAGGTGTTCTATCCAAGGTGCATCCATCAGTGTTCTAAAGGCTCAATCCTATCCTCCAGGTTCAGCTCAAGCCTGTTTCCTCTACAGTCTATGGTTCACAACTATAGACCAGGTTGTCAGGGTGTGGAAATGAAGTAGCACACTATGGTGGTTTAAATAAGAAATGTCCTTCATAGTCTCAGGTTTAAATGGTCTCCTGCTGACAGTGTTTGGGAGATAATGCCTTGCTGAAGAAAGTATGTCACTGAGTTCAGGTTTTGAAAGTTTATCACTTCACCCTACTTCTAGTTCATTCTCTTTGCTTCTTGAATGTGGATGGAGATGTGAGCTTTCAACCTCCTGCTCCAGATATCTGTGCCATGCCTCCCTGTATGATGACCTTTTTTATTTTGGATTTTATGTGTTAACATCTTGCCTACAGAAACCAAAGAAGGTGTCAGATTCCCCAGCACTAGAGTTACAAAGGGTTGTGAGCTGCCATGGGGGTGCTAGGAAATCAAATCTGGGTCTTCTGGAAGAGCAAGTGCCCAACTGCTGAGCCAGCTCTCTGGTTCCCATGATGGACTGAGTCCAATCCCATTGGAACCATAAGGCAAAGTAAGTTTTCTTCCATATGTTTCTTTTGGTCTTGTATTTTATATTTTATGTTAAAGCAGCAGAAAGTAACTAATTCAGAACTTCCTATGAGAATGAGATATTGTAAAGAACCTCACTGTGAAAAGACTTTGAAACTTTGGAATAGGAAAGTGGTTACATACTGTAAGCAGGGCTTAGTGGGCAGTTCTAGTGGAAGCCTAAGGAGAAAGTGCCAAGAATAATGCAGAGTGCTCAGAATAATGCCTGGCTCTTGAAGTTTCAGAAAGAAACAAGGTCTCTATTACCAAATGGATAAGAGGCCATTCCTGTAATATTTTAGCAAAGAATCTGGTTGCTTTTTGCTCATGTCCTAAGAAGTTGCTTGAGGCTAAATTAAAAAGCAATGAACTAACTTCTTTGATGGGGGAAATTTCAAAGACAGCATAACATGGAGTCTATGGATTGGTTATTACTGATAACTCTTATGCAGGTCTACTCTGAAAAGAAACAACTGGGGAAGAAAGAAATGAAAAATGTACTGTTTGGAGGGAAAACACACTAGCAAGTTTAACATGGCTCCCCACCCCAGATGTGTGCTGAAAGTGAAGCTGTGATAAGATTAGTGCCCCTAAGGAGAGGCTTCCTGATATGCATTGTAACAATGGGAGGGTGCCCTAAGGACAGCACCTCATTCAGCTAAGTTCCTAGTGAAAGGAGAATGTCTAAGGGGTTGCTTGCTCCTAAAAAGTAATTGCTTCAAACAAGAAAGTTGTTGCTAGTGTGGTCAAAGGGGCAGAAGCTCATACCAAACTGTTGGCCAAACTTGGTAGAGTTTTCCATGTGGAACTGGCTTTGGAGGCATGAAAAATGCAATAGTGAAAGGATCATAGATTCTTCTGTGGTTTCAGAGAGCTGTCAAGGCCAGGCAACATGAGGCAGAGGAGTCTTTGCAAGAAGGCCCCAAAACACCACTGCATGAAGCTGTGAAAGTTAAAGCCTGGATAATGACTTAGACACCAAGATGCTGCAGATGTCAGAGCCTGAGCTATCTTCAAAGAGCTACATACAGGGAGTCAAAGCAATCGAAGAAAGGGAGAGAGGAGAGAGAGGAGAGGGGGGGGGGAAGAGAGCCTTATAGGCTCCTCCCCCCTCTCTCCTCTTCTCAAAGAGATGAGAGAGGGGGGAGGAGAAGGGAGTGGGGATGAGGGGAGAGATATATGCAGTAGCAGCAAAACTCAAGGGGCTGGGCCATCTAAGCCCTTAAAAACTAAAGAACAGACAGAGGATATGGAGCTACAGGCTTGATGTTTGCCCTGCTGGGTTTCGATTTTACTTTGATCCAGTATTTCCTCACTGTGTCCCCATTCCTACATTTTGGAATGAGAATGTTTATTCTATGGTATTGCAGATTAGAAGTATGTAATTTGCTTTTGATTTTACAAATCAAAGGGTGGTACAATTAAGAAATTGCCTTCAGTCTCAAACAGGACTTTGGATTTTAAACAGTGTTGAGACTGTAAGACTATGGGAGCTTTTGAAGTTGAACTAAGTGCATTTTGCATTATGATATAACCATGAGCCGATGAGGGTCAAGGAGTCTCCCCAACTGGCACATCCTTGTAACTCACACAGAAAGAATAGCCAAAGATCACAGCACAAAAATGATGACCAATTTCTTATCAGAGAAAGCCATGTACCTAAGGTGTCCCTGAAGAGAATTTGTATTTATAAACATGTTATAAACATGATTAGTAGGCAAGGCATGGTGGTACATGCTTTTAATACCAGAATGTAGGAAGCAGAGGCAGATGGATCTTAGTGAGTTTCAAGGCCAGCCTGATCTAAATATTGTGTGAATTCCAGGACAGCCAGGCTGCTACACAGAGAAACCCTGAGGGGAAGGAGGGCATAAATGTGACTAGTGAAATGTTATCACAGGGATTGTACAAGAAAGGACATAGGAATGAGGCCCTCAGCTATGGGCCTGATGATTACATCAGTGGTTGAAATTATATAATGGCCGTAAATGATATCTTGATGGTTTACTGTTTTTTTAAAATAACCCACTGGGTCCAACTAGTGCCCTACCACAAAGAAAAACTGACAACCCCTCCAGTGGGTCTCCTGAGCCTCAACCCCAGCCTTGCTGGGATGTTGACTGGTTTGATCTTGTGATTACAAGAGCTCTGTCATGATCAGAAAACAGCATTTCACAGCACTCCTCCTCCATATCCTCCACCCCTAACATTTTTTTCATGCCCCACCCCCTATTCTGCTGAATTCCCTGAGCCTTAGAGGAAAGAGGCTTGATATAGATGTCCCATTGAGGGCTGAGCACTCAACAACCACTTACTTGACTACTGCCCACTGAAAAGAAGAAGCTTCTTTGATCAAAATGATCGCCTGCTTTTATTTGTATTTATTTATTTACATATCTGTTTGTTTGTTTGTTTGTTTAACTTATGTTTCTTTGAGACAGGGTTTCTCTGTGTAGCCCAGGCAATCCTTGAACTCAGAAATCCTCCTGCCTCTGACTCCCAAGTTCTGGGCTTAAAGGTGTGTACCACCACCACTGGCTGAAGAACACCAGTTGCTAAGAAGTCTGAATTTTACATAAATGTCCCTTCCCACCACAATAAATTTTAAATTATATCTTGCAGTTAGAAAAAAAACTTATTTTGGAATTGCAAATAAGTACAGATGTGGAAAACGCATGGGAATTTCTAAAACCTAACTCCACTGGAACATGGTACAAATTTGGGACAGTGTCTTTTCAGTTTCAATTTGTATTTAGTTAGTAGGTATGGTGACTACCAGGCAAAGAGACAAACCTGATCTGAATCCAGCAGACAATAATTGACCCGTAGCTGAACCAGCTGTGCCAGCAAATCCAAAACCTGCTTCTGCAACTGTACAGATGTTGTTGTGGTATACTGCTTCAACGCTTTTATAACAAGAGGCTCAAATAATCTAATGTGATTGTGAATAGCATTCTATAGGGGAAAAAAATGAAAGAAACCACAATTACAATCTGAAACTTCTGGCAACCAATCTAGAAAGTGCTGAGCTCCATTTTCATCCCCATGGCATGACCCACATGCCATCTCTAGCTGCGGTGCCATTCACCTTATCTGCACGGTTCTTTGTGACGCTTGTGAGGTTCGTCTTCAATTGGGCAGACACTTTCTGGAGTACATCAAACCACCTGACAAATGGCCAAAAGCAGAAACAACAAATACCTTTTAATAATCTCCTCTGTATTCAGCCATACATCAGTTCAACTTCACGTTCAAAAAATCAGACCATGTCAAAATGAGACTTAGAAAGGCCAATGGACTCATCTGAGTGTGCAGATATGCAGCACCTATGGTGTACCTGCAGAAGGTATGCAAGCCCATGTTTGTTGCTATAGGAAACCCACTCCTCAGTCCACTCTCTAAGAGGGCTTGAGAGGTGAAGACTGGATGGAGTCCATAAGTTCAACATCAGCCTGAGAGAGAGAGAGAGGAGAGAGAGGAGAGAGAGGAGAGAGAGGAGAGAGAGAGAGAGAGAGAGAGAGAGAGAGAGAGAGAGAGAGAGAGAGAGAGAGAGAGAGAGAGAGAGAGAGAGAGAGAGAGAGAGAGAGACCCATCTCATAGAATGTTTGAAAAGATAGAAAAACAGGATATGGGCACATACATGAGCATCAAGATAAAGCCCAGAATAGGAGTATTTTCCCTGATTCCAATAATGTCTGATCATCATAAAAAGGAAAGTGAGGATTCTATTACCATTACTACACAGAGTAGCATTTCAAAATAGGGCTACAATATATCTCAGTGGTAAAGTACAAACATGCCTAGCATATGAGGCCCTGAAAGGAAGGAAAAATGGAGGGAGAGACTTCCACATTCCTGGCATTGAAAAGATTAACATAAATTCATGTAGAAATCCAAACTAACACACCCCAGATTTTGTATACCCTTTAACAGCTCTAAACAGTAGCATCACCATGCCAGTTTGAAGTTGGTCTTTCGCATCACAGTACAAAGAAGCACCAAGACACATGCCGCCTCCTATACAGAATGCCATTCATGAGCATTGGCAAGCACCAAATGCTTGCAATAGGTGAGGCCATGCGTGCATCACTTCTAGTCTGGGCCAGGATTTGAAAGTCAGAAATCATTCTTCACAGGCAGTCAACTTGGGTTCTTCCTCTCCAGACTGCCACCTCTGAAGGCAGACTACAACATAGCTCAGTCAGTGGTGTAACCTTCAGGGCAGGGCTAGACATTACTCATCTCTGTATCATCAATGACAGAGTTGCATCAATAACTATTACCCTGAGGCATCATGCTCCTGCTCCGCCTGCACCATGTTCCTCAGGCTGGCATCAGCCAAGGCCTGTGTGAAGTGCGTGTACGGTGCCATGAAGCAGTAGTGATACAAGCCTGGCCTCACACTGGAAGAGCCAAGGCGTTGTGCTCGGCACTGAGACTTGCTGGGGTTGGAAGATAAGCCATCAAACTGGGAGGCCAAGTTTGTCCCAAAGAGAGTCTTCAATAGCTAAAATGAAAGAATTGAAACATCAATATTATCACTAAATACAGATTTAATATAGACGAGCAGCACAGGCCTGTCTGTTATTTCAGCAGGTGGACAGGGGTTAAGATGGACACAACTGAAACAGGCAAGTTCCAGATGAGCCTGGGCAACGTAGTGAGATCATGTTTCAAAATTTAAAAAGTCTCAGTCTTTCCTAGAATATACAAAGCCAGGTTCAACTCTCAGTACCACTGATAAAATGAAGAAGGGAAAACAAAACAAAAACAAAAGTAAACACCCTTGAAGACTCTTCCTTTCCCAGTAGCAAATCAAGCAGGAATATATGATGGAAGGTTTTGTTGTGAATCCCTGTGAGTCAGTACCTCAGAAGATTCCCACAGCGTGGTGCCACTGTGCCTGGGATTCTCTGCAGTTCTAAGTGAAACGAGCATTTCCCACGGGGACGGTGTGGCAAACTAAGGCAAAGCGATGAGGACCAGTGCTGCTTCTGGTGCCTTCTGCCTCTGAGGACCAGTGCTGCTTCTGGTGCCTTCTGCCTCTGAGGACCAGTGCTGCTTCTGGTGCCTTCTGCCCCCCACAGTCCCAATCACAGAGCAAGCAGGAGCCACAGTGAGAGACACCCAACCCTTCCTGATACCACATGAGCACCAGCTTTTAGAAAGGAACTAAATTTTGTTGCTTTGGCCTGAGGAATTAGTACAACTCCCAACGTACAGGAAATGACACGCACCTGCTGAACACAGACAGTTGCCATCGTTGGTTCTCGACTAAAGCAGGATTTCAGATATCCAAGGACCTCTTCAACACACTGAAAGGAAGAGTATGACATTAAGTGACACACTGGTGACCACTATTGTTGCTAATTGGGAATAAGACAATCTCCATATAAACTGTATAAATGTCAAAGAAAACCAGAGTAATATTTTCAATCAATCATCTCAACAGAGTAACAAGAACTCCTGTACCTACAATTATATGAAAATTGCTCTCTTGTATATTTATATACTGAGTTTGTCATTCAATCATTCAGTAACTAATCAAGTATATACATTCATCCTGTTTTCAGGGCAGGCACTGAGAAAGGTACAAAGGAGTCAAAAGCCCTGAATGTAATGTTTAAGGCACTGTGAGAGTCATTGCCAGTGAGCCTCACTGCAGCCTGAACAGAATGCTCAGTGACCAGTGAAATGATACTAGCTGCTACAAATATAGAGAAAGAATGCAATTGCTGGCCCTCTAGGAGCTCCATAGTTATAGGGAACCAGGAACTACAGACACCACAATGTAATATTGAGAGGTTTCCTTCCCCTTCCTGAAATGACCAAAATGTATTTTAAAAAGACTCCAGCTTTGACACCACAGTTCTCAGACACTGGACATTAGGCCATAAAGATCACTGATCCTGAAAGGTGAAACAAAGCTAGGCCCTAGGATGTTCCTAGATAAGGATGGTAAAAGCATTCCCAGATTGTGACACAACAAGGGGACAGAAGCCAAGCTGGAGGGAAACAAAGACCCCAAGAACACTGCAGCTCACAGGATATGGTACCTAGAAGACCAGTCATCCAGAGATCCCCGGAGATCTTGGGAGAGAATGCTCCAAAGACAATTAAGGAAGCTACCAAAGGCAAGGCCTGAGAAACCATCAGAAGAACAGGAGCAGCGCTGGGCACTCACAGAGGCTGGGGACAGCCCCTGCTCTCACCAGCAGACAGGACAGGCAAGAATGTTCAGTTAGGTATGACTTCTTTCAGAGAGGAGTACCCAGCTCAGGTAACACAGCAACCCATCTGACAAAATGTAAAAGCAAAACCAGGAAGAGCAGCTGGTTTCATGTAACAGCACTAGATTCCATAAGATGGCTGAAGACAACAGAATACAAAATAGCCAGCACTCAACAGAAAAGTTCGCAATGCTAGGCATCCAGTCAAAGATTACCAGGCAAGCAAGGAAACAAGAAAACCTGATCAATAATAAAATTAAACATAATCAATTAGCCAAAAACCTAGAATTGAGAAATTTTTAGTTAGCAAACTACATTAAATCAGTTATTAATTACAACTGTATTTTAAAAATTAAGTTCAGGCACAAATGGGTCATCTACATCACACACCCTTCACAAGGTTCAGGAACCACCTCAAAACAAGGGACAGAAAGACTGTAAGAACCAGAAGTCAGAGAGTGACTACTTGACATGAACTGCTGCAATCATGAACTCACTGCAGCTGTGATTGTCTGTACCAGATTGAGCCAGCTAACATTTTAGTATGAAGTGAGAAGGGTTCACAAGCCCCTACCCCTAACTGAGGAGCTATGGACAGTTGATGGCTTTGGAAGGAAGGAGAGTCACTTTTCTTTAAGAGCTCAGAGCCTGCTTGATCTGCCACACCCCAGTGGACAGACTTCACACTGAAGTATAAACAACACAAAGTGGAGTTGGTGGATAATTAAATTAAAGGGGGGACACAAGGAGTAGGGGGTGGGTAAAAAGGTGGGGGACAATCTAAGGGGAGATACCATCTAACAGTTGAGAATAAATATAATCAAAATGTTACATGAAATTTTCAAAGAATTAACAAAAATATTTATTTAAAACAGTTAAAGTAGCTCAGTGGTTAAAAGCACTTCTTCAAAAATCATTAGGGCCAGAATTCTGATCCCAGCAACCACATAACAAGCCGGGTAACCTGTGCACCTACAACCCTAACTCCAAGGAGAAAAGAGATAAGATTGCTGGCTTCTAGCACAGCAAAAAAAAAAAAAAAAAAAAAAAAACAGTGTCCAATTTAGGGAAAGAAATAGGTGGAGATAATAGAACAGGACTTACAATGGCTTCCATGTGGCAGATACACACACCCTACATGTGCACATACACCCAACATGTGCGTGCGTGTGCGCGCGCACGCGCACACACACACACAAGCACACATACAAATGAATAAATAATTTAGGTTAAATAAAGACATGAAATTTAAAGAGATATAAATTAAACTTCTAGTGATAAAGACTGTAATGTTAATGATGAAAGATACAATCGACGGAGTCTGTCAGCACCCTTGCTAATCTGACTTCATTCCTTTCCATTTAAAAAAGTCAAAGGAGGAAAAAAGGATCCTGTGAGCACATTTTCAACATTTTCTATACTAAATGAGGCTTAAGGAAAACCCTTAAGTGAAAAAAACGTGGTAATAAGACCTACCACACTGGTAACAGACCTAGTAGACTGCCTCGACACACTGTAGTACTGGACACAAATGGGTGCGGTCTCCCCAGCTGCGGTAGCTGCAGATGTGAGGTACTCTGACCCAGGCTCAAGGAAGAGAGATGAGACACGAACCTTTCCAATGTCCTGCAGTGTTGCCAGCTCTAGTATCTGAGAGAGGACGTCCAAGGCAGAGCGCAGGAATCCCCCAAACTTTTCAGTGCTGTTCTGAAGATCTAAGGTGACCTTGGTAGGGTGGAAGGAGAGAGCACACGGTTACTGGTACCACCGAAGTCTGTTTATCTACATAAAGACACAAATGTCATCTGCTGCTGGGAGCCGCGTCTGCAGTGCTGATCTAGACTCTCACCATCCCAGGGGTGAATGGTCACTGTCAATTTCAGATGTAGTCAAATCAGTCCGAAGGTGATGAAGATTCTAAACACTTCTGCTTAACTGAAGTATATACCAATTCCCCTATTTCTACAGACTCAGGTAAGGGAGACTGCTACAAAGAACCCGTAGCAAACTATCACAACAGAAGAAAAAAAAAAAACTGTCCTCTGTTGAACCTAACCACCCATGATGAAAGGCAGAAGACAAAGTACAGGAAATGAGAGTGGGCCTTGGCAGTTTCTTGATGAAAGACTACATTTTCCAGCTTCCCATGAGAACTACGTAGGTTATTTCTGTCCTAATAAGAGGCTGCATCCCATCTTCTTCTGTAGGCATTTTGGCCATCTGCACACATGGGTGACAAAAGTGCCCTCCTCACCATGTTCTGCCTAAGGTCAAATCAAGCCTCTTTTTTTCACCTTCTGTCTCTCTACTGCTGCCTTTAATAATTTAACATACTATGCTTTAAACCTGTGATGGAAAATCTGCCTTCACTACCCACTCAAGCCATCCACGGACAAACCTCCCTGGCTCTCATACACTCCCTAGAAAGGCCACCTGTTTCTCTCAGGCAATCTTTTCTTTTTAGTGTTTCTACCCTTTCTTTCTCACCTAAACACCCTCTGACTTTCCAGGTAGGAGGCCACGCTGCAGTCAACCAGAAAACACATTCAACATACCAAGCATCAGGACAAGGAAATTAGTGGGACTTAACTCAGGGGCACCATAGTTAGGTCTGGCGAGTTTACTGTAGCTCTCTTCTGTCTCTCTCCCTCAAAGGCATTAGAGACATTCCACTGGCTGTGAGAAAATTTGACTGAGAATTCTTATTCTGGGAACTCTCCACTGACCTACCATTTATTCAGTCAAAAATCCTGAGAACCTTCTATTAACCCTATGGTTTCTTTCTTTTTTTCATTCATTCATTCTTTTTTCCCCCCTAGACATGGTTTCTCTGTGTAACAATCCTGAATGTCCTGGAACTCACTCTGTAGACCAGGCTGATCTTGAACGCACACAGATCTGCCTGCCTCTGTCTCCCCAAGTGCTGAGATTAAAGGCGCGTACCACCATTGCTGGGCCTGGCCCTGTAGTTTCTTAACTTTGGGATTATAGAGTTTAAGGACACTCTCTTACTTTGGAGGCTGATTTGGAGCAGTTGGTCAATTGGAAGCTTTGCAGACACTTTAAGAGGCTGAATACTGACTCTTGTTTTTACCTTAATCTTGGGCCCCACCATGGGTTCCAAATTCTCCATTTCAGAGTACACACCTTCATCCTGGATATGGGCTAACCTAAATAGCTCCATTTTGGAAACCTAATACTGGTTTCTCCCTCCAAGTTTGTCCCTGTAAGTGAATTAATTACATTTTTACTCAGTACAACTACAAATATAGTTCTGAGCACATTAATTTGATAGTTTATATGATGATTGACCATTAACTTGTATAGCTTTAACAGTTCACAATAAATTAGTAGTAATTCTTTTTCTTTTCTTTTTCTTTTTTCTTTTTTTGGAGACAGGGTTTCTCTGTGTGGAACTCTGGCTGTCCTGGGACTCACTCTGTAGACTAGGTTGGCCTCAAACTCACAGAGATTTACCTGCTTCTGCCTCTCAAGTGCTGGGATTAAAGGTGTGCACCTCCACCAGGCAGCAATTCTTTTTATAAGATTAGGATTTTATAATTTTATTGTTGACAAGTTTGAACCTTAAAATGTTCTAATTCTTGATCTTAGAGCCAATCCCCCAGTCTCCTCCCTAACAATGCAACAGATCACCAGCTGCAGCCTCCTTTCACCCAGCCCACATCTCATGTGGATTCTACAGACCATGCCTCTTTTAAAAAAATCATGAAATGATTCCTAATGATACTCTGCTATACTTATAGACTGGTGCCTTACCCAGCTGTCGTCAGAGAGGCATACCCCGGCAACAGATGGGAGTGGATGGAGAGACCCACGGCCAAATATTATGCAGTAACATAGTCTACACTGGAGGTCTCCATTGGGTCCCTCCCCTTGTGGTTAGAAGAATCATGTGGAAGAGATGGTGGGAAGACTGTAAGAGTCCGACAGAGTGGAAGTGGAGCTGAAGAGAGGGGAGGTGTGGAGAAGCTGGGAGGAGTGGAGGGAGGGGCAAACTGTGGTTGGGATGTATTGTATGAGAGAAGAATTTAATTCATCTTTAGATAACAAGGCCTTTTTGTGTTTGTTTTTTTCTAGTTTGGCCAGGCCTGTACAGCCATATGCAGCTGGAGGCAGAAGGAGCAGACTTCTGGCGGGTCTTATTTTCCATGCATCCTTGTCCCTTAATGAGGCTAAAATGCACTCACTCTGTCATCAAACTCACAGCTTTGGAAAGCTATTCAGAACATCTAGGCAGTGTCTTTGACAGTTGGTTTTATATCTGTAGAGTCAACAAATGATTCTATTAAGTTATGTCCAAAGCCTTTAGGTTCTTCAAGAGGAGATGACTTTGATGAAGGAGATTCTCTCCCACCTAGGCTCACTCATGGTGCTTTGAGAACATAAGCTAGTCTCTACCCAGAGTTCCTGTACTCTTATCTTGAAGCCTACAAAGAGTATAAAGGTTTTGGCAGTGATGCTTGTAAATGTTTTCTAAGAAATTACAAAAGCCAGTATTTGTCAGAGCTCACTTAATTTGGTTATCTTGTTTTACAAATTATTCTTCTAAACGACCAATCTACTTTTAATAGAGTGATGTCAAAAAACATGCTTACTGCTGTCAGTGTGTGGCGGGCTAGATCTGTCAATTGGCAGAAGAGTAAAGAATTGGCTTTAGCCTTGTTAATTCAGTTCATGTGATATATAAATTATGTATTACAGATTTGACAAGACTGACTACATTCATCTTTTTATGTGCTGGTTAAGTATATGGAATTAAAATATTATAGAGAATTTTTAAAAGGTTGTGTTAGTAGGTTAATTTTAGGAAACTTTGTAAAATTGAGTCATTTATTCCTGACAAGGCAGATACTGTCTCTAGGAGTATACATTTTGAGTTGGAAACTGGAAATTATTTCTTTCTGAGGAATATAATTTAGAATTAAACTGCTTCTTCACACAGACTGACAATATAATTTGCTATACTATATAACCAATATACAATATAATTTATATACTATTACACTTACATAATCTTGAAATGTTGGTATAACAATTTAATATTAACAAAATACATAGTCATGTTTCAAATATTAAAATGTTAAAGTAATAGTCCCCTTTTTTTTTCTGAGATAGGGTTTCTCTGTATTGCTTTGGATGTCGTCCTGGAACTCACTCTGTAGACCATGCTGGCCTCACACTCACAGAGATCCGCCTGCCTCTACCTTCCAAGTGCTGGGATTAAAGGCGTGTGCCACCAACACCTGGCTTAGTTCCAATTTTTAAAAATTTTACTTTATCAAACTGTTTTTAACTAAAAATTGTGTAAGATACTGGTTTTAAGACAGGCAGTGGTGGCATACACCTTTAATTTCAGCATTTGGGAGGCAAAGCTAGGCAGATCTCTGAGTTCAAGGCCAGCCTGGTCTATGGAGTCAAGTTCCAAGACAGCCAGGGCTACACAAAGAAACCCTGCCTGAAAACAACAATAACAAGGTACTGTTTTTGTTCGCTAAATAATAACTGGCATTATTAATATTTGAAACAAATATACAAAATTCACCATACTTGGAAGCAACAAATATTACTTTGACACTTTCTGTTCAGATTCATTACTTGAATGCTGACTTTTAACGGATTTCTCTTTCAAAGCTTCCAGGAGCCTGTTTCTTATGAGGAGTCTGATGTACGCAAACAGCTAACTACAGTTAGTTACCTTTTCCTTCTACATAACTATGGTACATGGTTCAGCCAGTTGTACAATTGCATTTAACCTATGTTAACTTTATACTTTAGCCTTACATTGATTCATGTTAATCTTGATGTAAAAGTTTTCCTCATGTAACTCTGTCTCTGAATTTACCTCCTGACTTACGTTATACTAGATCTTTGCCAACTGTTGTTTTATTGTGGCCCCTTGGATGGATCCTCTTCTGAGTCATTCTAACTGCTGCGCCCCTCATCAACTATATGTCAGCCTTGAAGCAGTTACCATAAGATCAACACCCCCAAATCCCGAAAAGCAGTATGGGTGACCTCTGAAAGGGAACTAATGGGCCATGGGCCACCCAATTCATCTTACTATTCTGGACATTTGGGGGGGGGGGGTTTGACCTAACACCTAAAACAGCTGCACTAAAATCTTCTTTGGATCAATTAACCTCTCTGTCTCATCACTTCAGATCACCTTGAACATCCTTCAGGACCAGCTTGACTTCTGGACTGCTGCAGTATCCGTAGTTAAAAAGGACTACTAGATCTAACTTCTGCTCTGGGATTTGTGTTCTCTTCTGTGAGCATGCTGCTTCCAGGCCAACAAATCCTAACTATTTGAACAAACAAAAAGACAGAACAAAACAAAACTATAAGCCTCCTCCTGATTATGGGCTCGGGTTCCCTCGCACCCTGGCTCCTGCCCTAGGTCACTCCTTTCCTCCTCCTTACACTCCTCACACTTCTGTTTTTACCGGTCTTTTAAATGTGTTACTTACTGAACTCCATCTTATACCATGCAAAATGTTCCACATAAGCTTTCCCACCCTACAACAGCTACATTTGTTCCTGATACATCTTCAAAAAGATCTTTTAGATACTAGATAAGCTAAAGGTACCGTCATCCCTTTCACCCCAGGCCAGGTACCATTCCTTTTCATTAGAGTCTTACATTTTCTTCTGTTCCCTTCTTTTGATACTCTGTAGCTCTCTGCTATTCTGCTATGGAACCAGTCCCTGTCACCCTGAATCAACTCTGTACCCACTGTCTCTCACCAATCTACTGTCTTTCCTGCCTCTCTCGTCCCTATCCCAAAACCTTTCTGGAAAAATCTTTCAGTTCTACTCTAAAACCACATCATCTGCCCTCTGAGAATTATTTTTCAGGTGTCTTAATTGCCAAACAAATTAAAACTGTCTCCCTGTTATATGACCAAAGGACCTCCTCTTTAATGAACCCAGACCTACCACCTCCACCAAAGACCCTCCTCAGCAGAAGCTCATTCTCCTGTTGTACATGTTTTATATCCTCCCAAGAATGAGGAGTGATGGTTTCCTGCTTGAAGACTATACTTCCCAGCTTCCCTTATAGACTGCCCCATATGGGGCAGCATCCCATCTTCTTCTGTTAGGCACTTTAGCCATCTACATGTAGGTGACAAAATATTCCCTTGCTATGAATAAACACAGTCCCACCTATAAGCCTCTCTTTCCATCTTCTGTTTCTCTATAGCTTCTTTTATATAACCTAGTGGGTCTAACTCTGGGGTGATAGGGATCAACCTCAGTGTGCCTAGGACCCAGCAGTGAGACCTGAGATCCCAAGGCTCAGAACAAAGCAATTATGTTATGTGGAATTAAGCGCCCAATGAAGAATGAACTCTACTCCAATCAGCAAGATCCTCCTTTCCCCAGGGAGAGAGGTAAAGGGAGGGGAGGAGAATGGAAGCAGAGGAAGCAGGGGAGGAGTGGGTAGAGGACAGGAGATTCGAGTTAAGAATGAAGGAAAAACGAGGTGAGAAGACCCACAGCAGGGTAGAACAGCTACTCAAAACACACAAACTCAAGAGGTAAAGAAGTGGAACCAGAGAGCAAAGAAGCAGAAATCGGGGGGGGGCCGCAAGGGTAAAACCAAACACCCGTTTTAGGAACACTTTGTTTCAGGAACAAAGAGGGCCAACAGGAGCACACACTGGGAGCATGGGAAAGGGGTCCCAGATAACAGATGATGTGATCAGAAAGAGGCAGAACACTTTACATGTGCCCCCTCTACTACAGGCGGATAGAAGAGGACATAAACAGAGCTCTAAGCACTATCACTAGCATTCAAAAAAGAATCTATTAAACTGGCAATTATTAATACCAGTTCTTTCAAAAATTCTTTTTAACTTTCATAAATTCCTGAGGTAAGAAGTTTTAACAAACAGGTAAAACAGACAATATCTAGAAAATCCTAAAGAAAAATGGGAGTTACATCAGGAAACTACAGTAATTTAAAAAGTACTTCTATAGCAGGGCATGGTGACTCATGCCTTTCATGCCAGCACTTAGGAGGCAGAGGCTGGTGGATCTCTGTGAGTTTGAGGCTCTGAGATTTGAGGTTAGTTCTAGTCAAGCCAAAGTTAGATGGACAAGACCCTAGTCTCAAAATTAATTAACTAAATTTAAAAAATAAAGAAATATGGGCTAATAGATGAGTGACCAACTGGTATAACAAAAACATAAATGAAACCACACAATCATTGAGATTTTAGCATTTGATAAAGAAAGGATTTCAAATCAATAAGGGCAGTCTACAAATCATTCATTATATGTTAGAATAATTAGGGGGAAAAAAGAATGTAAACCCAGACCCCATCATCCAGAAGCCACTGCAAAGCTGAATCAGAGACCATCTGGCAAAGGAGCCTCTACATTGATAGAAAACACCTATCTGACAAGGGTACTAGTGTGCAGATACCCAGGTTAAAGGTCTGTAGTGACCACCTGGTTTTTCTCCCTTGAGACTATAATCTTGGTTTGTATTGACAGTTGCACAATATTATGGGCCTCACAGAGGGAGAGGGTACATGAAACCTGCTTGGCTTGGCTGTGTGTCTTCAGGACATGGCAGTGATGAACCTTACCTATAAACAAGATTATGTGCTGAGCCCCAGGAGTCCTTGAGAAATGTCTCTAAACACATTCTTGGTAGGTCAATAAACAAACAACACCCAGAGGCCACAGGAGATCATTTCTCTAATACAAGAATCCTAAGTATTTGCTAAGGTACCATAAACCAAGCTAGAAGACAAATTTGGAAAGAAAAATTTGAGTCCTATGTCACAGGGCTTCTTTCTATGTAAACATGCACATGCATCCCACTAGAAATACATGCTTGAAATAAGCAGTGGGTAGTACCTTATAGTTGGCATGAGTGGCTTTCAGGACATCATGCAGTTTGAGGTAGGAAGGGAGATGGTAGAAACTCCCCAGTGAAGACGATTTACTTGCTGTGACAGGTCCTGAGGTGTCTGATTGTCGAGAGGCTTAGAAAAAGAAAACAAAAACAAGCAACAACAACAAAAACCAAAATTTAAGCTTTTAGAGACAAGGAAAAAACTTTTCAAGTTTAACAGCAATTACTACAATGATGACATTTCAAAATGATCTAGCAGAAACACTCAACTCTTTTTACCTCCTGACCTTTGAAGTAACAGTGCTAGGAGGTAATAAAGAATTGGCTAAAATACTAAGCCTGAGAGTAAAAGAATGGAAAGAAACAATGAACAAAAGGCTGATGTAGTTGTTTGTGGTTTCAGCCAATCTCCCCTGCTGACTGAATGGCTGAAGCCAAACTCAGTATCTCTGGGCCCATTAAGCAATTAACCAGGCAATGTGGACATGTTCTGTAAAGGGCACACACATCACTAAAGTGCCAAGCCGAGCAGTTTCCTCCAGCTTTAAGGACTTCTCTGGTTTGAGAGACTATCAGTCACATTTTCAAGCTTGCAGCTAAATCCTCCTGCATTATGATAGTCAATCCTTAGAAACAGCATCTCTTAAGATTTCATAGTCAAAGGATACAAAACATTTACCTAATACCTTCAAAAGGCCTATTGTACAGCCCTACTACCAAGTTAACAATGCATTAAATACATGAAGGGAAGAATTATAGCTTTCTCACCAGAAAACAAAAATCACAAATACTGAGCTAAGGCATATATGAGGCTTACATACAAGGGCTTCTCGGCATGTGTATACTAACTAAGACTGCTGTGAGAGGGTGTGCACAACAGGTAGACCAAGAGGACACAGTGGTCACCCTCTGCTTCCCATTCCAACAATGGCACAGAGAGGGACTCCCTTATTTTGACTATGCCAAAATTCTGACCCTTTTGCCCTGACATCTCCACCGGTACAGAAGCCCCTCCAGACTTCTGTGTGTTTTCTAGACTCCCCCAAATCAGATGACTTTATTGTCATTGGTCTTTCTGTCACTGCTCCTCTTCTCTGTTTTAGATACATCTCACTTCAGAAAAGGCTTCAAACTCTCAATCCTCCAGTCTCTCAGCCGCTGGAGTGGTTGGATCAAAGATACATCATACCTGGCTCCCACTGTCTAGTTACCTCTCCCAAACACAAATCCTCCATTTCCCTTATCATAATTCTTCTCATATCCCAATTTTGTTTTCTTTACTACCACTACCCTTATCTATGCCTAGTCATGTTTGTTCATTCCTTTACTGAAAATTTAGAGTCCTCTGCAAAATTTGGATTCCTCGCTATAGCAAGCTGCCTCCAGAGTAAAGTGACAGTTTACCATGCAGACACTAATGAGCACCCAGAGAAGCCTTCCAACTGTACTGCTATAGACCAGCTTTGCACAAGGTACATACACACTTTGCACCACAGGCAGCAGTCTGGCCCCAGAAACTGCTTCCTACCTGCACTGGTCTCACCACCTTTCTTAGGACTCATCGGAGCAGAAGCTTGTTCTCCTGGTTCTTTTTCCTTCCCTTTCCGTCGAATAGGACTTAGAGAAGGGGGGTTTGTTAGCGAAGGCAAAGCTGCCTAAAGTAGAAAACAAAAATATAATGGAATAAAGCCAAATCAGGAACCAGAAACCAAAACTATTAATACACACAGTTCCACTATGTATTGGAAAGTGCTAGCCCAGGCAACTTCATGGCCTTTGAGCTTTTATAACAGAGCTTGGACACTATAGAAATAACTCTGCTTTCACCCACACAACCATACGTAGCAGTATGGCTCTGAACTTCCTCACACCAGCACTGAGGATGGGTTGGAGAAAGGAGAGCCACCATGGAGTTAAAAGAACTTGAGGTAACTGTCACCCCCAACCCTGTCCCCTCTAATAGCAGGTAAGCAGGACATTTGATGTGAACCATCACATGAGCACGCACAATGCAACGTTAGAAATCTCATTTTTCAAGGGAGGAAACAGGTTTCTGAATAAAGCCACCTGTTCAATGTCACAGCTGAAACTCAGCAAAGCTGCCAAGTCAACAGCCCAGATGTGGCCCATGCTCTCCAATATTAAATCAACCCCAAGGTTTAATGGGGCAATCAGGCTCCTACACACAAAGAGGAAAGTTGCCACAGGAGAGTAGAGACAACATGTAGAGGCAGGCACATCAGGTCTTTGCCTGCTCCTCACTCCTTTCCTGGCCTCAGCAAAGGGCCTGCTCACTCACTGTCTCTACCCCTGCCTATCCTCCTGTTGAAATAATAGCAATGCAAAGAGGAAGGGGCTTCAGAGTGATGAGGTCATGGTGGCAGGATCCCCATAAAAAGTATCAGTGCTCTTGTGAAAAGAGATCTCAGTAGTTCCCTTACCCCATCTACCATGAGAAGACCAGCCTTTACCAAGGACCAAATCTGTCAGAGCCTTGCTTTTAGAACTGTGAGAACTAAATAACCACCGAAGTTCTACTATGATGGTGACCCAAACTAGGTGAGGCACCACACACCTCTGATCCTTATCTGTAAAGACAGCAGCATATCAGACAAATGGCTGCAGTTAAACAGTGCATGGAGGGAGGCAGGAAGGCTGCAGAGGGCAGGTAAGAGACTACCACACTCAAGAAGCTTGTGGTGGAAAGAACCTGTTACAAAGCCACCAAGTGGAGGACTGTCCAGGAGACACACAGGCAGAGTAATGGCTGTCCAGAGGCAGGAGCATGGCAGACTTTGGAGTCACAGATACAGAGCTAACTGTAATGATGGCCATACAACTTTGTGGCATGATTTAAAAAAAAAACTCCAGGCAGTGACTCACTCTATAATTCTAGCACTTGGGAGGCTCAGTTGAGAGAATCACCATTAGTCAGTCAGAGGCCAGTCTGGGATATGCAGTAAGTTCCAGGCCAGTTGACCTACAGAGTAAGACCTAGGCTCAAAAAACAAAACTTAATTGTACACTTGAATTTTATGGAATGTGCACTATCTATCTCAATAATGTGATTTCCAAAAAGAGGCCAGGACAGTAATTTAAATGATATATCAGTTTATAGCAGAATCCAGAAAAGAGGAGCTATGTATTAATGAACATGTACCTGATGCCAAAGGGATGTTTGTGCATCTGTACACATGTTGATTTTTTTGTTTGTTTGTTTGCTTTTCAAGACAGGGTTTTTCTCTGTGTAGCCAGCCCTGGCTTTCTGGCAACTCAATCTGTAGACCAGTCTGGCCTCAAAACTCAGATACAACTGCCTCTCCCAAGTACTGGAATTAAAGGCATGTATCACTACCACCTGGCCCATTTAGATTTTTAATAAGAAAAACAAAGAATAGTGACCTAAAATAAAGTTGTGGTGACTCCTGTTTCTATCATGACAAAGTACAAAGTAAGGGGAGAGAATCAGGTACATAAGAGGGAAGAGGGTAAGAAGCCAGGGCCTGGCTCAGGCATCTGACACATTAGGGTCAGCCTCACAGGAACATCACCAGGACAGCAGGCACACTGAACTACAGCCCAGCACAGCTGAAGCCCCTGACAGACACCAGGTACATCAGCAGCTGACTCCCCAGCTGCCTGTTCAGTAAGTGACTATTTAGTCAGTTCATTTCTCAAGCCACATTTAAAGAATACAAGTGCCACATGTGATCAATGACTAATGTCCTCACTGGTATGGACATGAAAACTTCCCTCTATGGCAGAGAGTCCCATAGAGTAGAAAGGAAGTGAATGATCCATAGGAGGGCACCTTTAACAGTGGATAGGAAACCAGACAGTGAACGATGTTGGAAGAAACACAAGAAGCCATATCACTTGGGGTATAAAGTAGCCCAGAGAAGAACAGGAAGGCTGTCAAGGTGCCTGTAAAACTGAAATGAATGACCATGGCAGGAAGCACTCTGAAAGATGACATCAGAATAAAGAATGGATGGCTCAAGTGGGAGGACACAGTCCTGCCTGAAAGGGTCAAAGACCTTGGCCCAAAAGTCCATGCCTGAGCAAAAGTCCGTGCCTGAGCTGTAGGCTGATTCTTCATAGGGTTTATAGTGAAGAGGAAGAGAAGGCAAGCAAAGGGAGATTAAGGGAGAGAATCACTTCTGAGCTTTATGGCTGACACCAAAAAAGAGGACAAAATAACTGCATCTTTATGTTACGTTCAATGTCTGAATATGCTATTTTCTTTGCTTATAGCAAGAAATAAAGGAACAGACTACTAACATGGATGTCCAGGAAGCCCAGTCACTAGACTGATGATAATGGTTGTCCCTAGGAAGAAGTTACCTTGATTGCTGGTCCAGGGGTCACATCATCCAAGACATGAGCACAGATATTGATCACCTTCAGCAGGTGAGAGAACAGCTGTTCCACCATGGGCACCAGTGTCCGGTCCCCCAGAGCAGGCCAAACTTCCTCCTGTCTGGTAGCTGCAGAATTGGCTTCTTCTTCGGAGGTCCAAGAGCTTCTCAGAGACTTGGGGGCACTGGCTGTGGCACAGGAACACACATTACTCCACCTCCAATGTGTGGGATGGGAAGCAGTTGTGGCCTAAGTTTCTCACATTGATCTGTGCTACCATACTGCTGGACCTCTGTATCTAAATAGATGTCTCAAGCTCACATATTTGCCCCCCAAACTCCAATTTTCCAAAAAAGTCACCACTGTCCTCCAGCTATGGGGTTTGATCCTCACAACTGAGATACAGTTGGAGCTCAGGCCCGAAGATGCTGCCTCTATTATGTTCTCTTCATCCCCTCTGCTCTACTCCTCAAACTGCACTCATGGTTTAGTCTTTTACCAGAACTCCAACATAACACCCTGGACCTCCCTACCAATTCCAACCCAAACTCAAGTCATCTGACAGATCTTTCTAGAACACAAATCCACCTAGTCCCTTCTATAAAACATACCAGTGACAAACAGAACGAGTCAATATCTGTCAGTGGGAACTAGTATTTTTATCCCCAAGTAGATTCAATGGTTTCTGACCTGCCTGGCCACATTCTCCAGTCTTAACCCTGTCCTCATGTGATATCCACCGTAATTTAGATACCTTCAGTATTATAAATTTTCAGTTCTCCAAATCTTTACATATGCAATACATCACCTGATATTTTCTATCATTATAAATCTGACCAAAGAAGAGGGTATCCAGCTGCTATGCCGCTTCTGTGTTTGTCTGCATGTATCCCCTGCCAATCTATACCCACCTGGAGAACACAGCAATTCTGTTGTAGTCCCTAAGCCAAGCCTCAAGGCACTCAGAAAACAAAACTCAAATGAGTTTATCCCCAGTAAAACTCAGCACCTAACAACTCCCCTCATCTACATTCACATAAACAGATAACATCAAAAACTTGGATTAAGCTGCCCCCAAAGTAACTCATGTTCTTGAAACCTGTGTACCCCTCACAAGCAAATCAGAACCCGTCTCCATTTTGTTAGCAGTACCCGCAAGCAAGTTTCCAGCCAAAACCAAGGCATCCTGATGGGCTGAGAGATCCAATGGGAACCAAGCTGATGAAAGCAAGGTGAGAATCATGGAGGCCATCCCAACAGTGCAGCTCTTCCTGGACTCATCAGAGGCACTCAGTGGGGGCACTCTGGAAGAAGACATTTCTAAAGTCAAACACAAAGTTCAAGCATATAGTCTTGTTCTCTAATGTCCCCATGAAAAAAGTCCACCATGAGACATCCATTTTTCCTGTTTACCTTGTTTCTTGATGTGGTTTCTTAAGACAGGGTCTCACTCTCACTTATGTAGTTCCAATGGCCTGGAACACACTATGTTGCCTACGCTGGTCTGCAAACTGTGTCAATCATCCTGCCTTTGTTTAACAAGTGCTGAGACTAGAGGTGTGAGCCACTATCATTTCAAAACTGCTAACCAACTAACACCTTGCTTGTAAATCATGACTCCATAAGTCATTTGAGAAATGAAATCATGCAGTAGATTTTACTGAGTGAACTAGAATGCTTACTCTGATCAGGTTTTTCTTCCCTTTTTGACTTAGCAGATTGTACTCCAATGTCACAGTTGCTCGAAAGTCAAGTCTACTGTAGGTCCTATGACTAGAACCTATAATTGTTCAGTCAGGAATCATGGAAAGAACAGAAGCAATCACTCTAGGTCTTGAAACAATCACTTCAAATGACTGTTACTTTGCTACACACTGACACTCAGAAGAAATCTGCATATTTCCTTCCAGATCTGAGGGGAAGCTCCAAAGTCTCTTAGTCATCAATACACAAATGAAGGCTTACTCATGAGTGCTGGGAAAATTCTAAATGATCCCTAGCTGGCAGCAGGTGATCTATTAGGGAAATTCTTTTGTAGGGAAACAGTAGAAGTATACTACTTCCTGAAGCACACCCTTGTAGCTCATCACAATTCTAGATGCTGTCATAACTGACTTTTGTTACCTAGTAATTTTAGAAAGAACCAAGCTAATCAGAAAGTTTTTACCTGCATATGAAAATACCTTAAATGAATCCACAGATCATACCTTCAGACCCCCAAAGATGCTCAAGCACCTGATATTCATTAATCACAACTGCTTCAGTGTCCCCAATAGTTCCTTCACTCATTTCACATACCTCATATAGTAGAAACAAGTATTCCATCATATATCTTTCAAAAAAAGCCAAACAGATTCAACATAAAAGGAAAAGAATAGGAAAGGAGAAGGGAAGAGAAGGAGGAAGGGAAGGAAGGGAAGGAGAGAGGAGGGGACCAGAGTAGAAAAAAAAGAGATGGGGTACCAGCAGCTGTGCTTGTGCTGTGTAGGTGGGTGACTTGAGGATATACATACCCACAATGCCAACCTAAACTCCAAGTACAAACTGGGAAGGCTGCTGAAAGAAGACACAAGGCTTCACAACATCCGAACTGCAGGAGAAAGGAAGGAAAAATCACACCCAAACACCACCAAAGGCGCACTGAGTAAAACCTCTTAGACCTACACAGACAAAATGAAATGAAAACTGAGATCTGTAAGTAACTACAGGGTAGCTAGCCCACCATTGGACAAATACATGATTTAAACAACAAAGCTGGACACAACTGTTAGTAAAACCATTTGTTATAGTCCAAGGCAGGGCAGCCAGCAGTTCCTGCCAGGAACTCTGTCCTGCACCCAAATTCTCCCTGGGAGTTTCTCCCTTCCTCCTCTAAGACTTCAGCTCAAGCTGACTAACATAAATCTCCAGATCAGAGGAGTGCTTGATATGTGCAAATCACAATTAAAATGAAGTTTATGGTATCTTAAACATACTTAAATTTGAAAGGCATTTAGTTAACAAGACAACTGAGTTTCTACAATGTCCAAGTATTTCTTCCATCATATAAACGAAAAGATCTTTCTAGGAACGATTACTGCCGCATAATATTCCTCTTTCTAATTATAAAGGGCACATGATTATTTTAGAAAATTTAGCAATATTCGAAAAATACAAATAAAGCCAGATGCTGGTGGTGCACGCCCTTAATCCCAGCACATGGGAGGTAGAGGCAGGTGGATCTCTGAGTTTGAACTCAGACCAGTTTGGTCTACAGAGCAAATTCCAGGACAGCCTCCAAAACAATACAGAGAAACCCTGTCTCACAAAAAACAAAACAAAACAAACAAATAAGAAAATGAAAGTTAACCACAATCTTAAAAATCATCCTACCACTTCTCTGCTTGTCCCTTTTCTGAGTTTGTAAAGACTGTACATACATGAATATTACTTTTCTAACCTGGTATCAAACTACAGTGCCAAGAGTTTTTTATATCTCTCCATATCATTAAATTCTCCAAAGCAGCATATCAACACTGTGTCTAACATATTACTCTATGTTAGCATTTATTGTAAATGGCATATAATAATTCTTAGATATTAGTTCTTTTCCAGTTTCATCGTAATTTAAAACAAAACAAAAACTTAGTTGGCATTTCTCATCTATTCCCTTAGTATAAATTATTTATACAATTAATTATACTACAGGCATTCTAAACTTCAGGTACATTACTAGTTTTGTTTTTAAATTTTTAAATTTATATCTGGGGTAGAACAAGCACATATATGTCATATACACATATAGAGGTCAGAGGACTTGTGGGCATCCATTCTCTCCCTTCACTGTGTGGTTCCTAGGGATCAAATTCAGGTCATCAGGATCAGAACCACCTGCATGGCCCATTTTAGAGTTTGTATTTGATGACTTTCTAGGTAGGATGCATTAGTTTACAGTGAGTATGCATTACTTTGGAGTCTGTTGAAAGAAGTGCATTTCCTTATCAAGCACCTCAAGAAAAGGATCCCCACACAGGACCATCCTACTGTGGCCATAAAAGACATACATGGTAGTCTCCCTAAGCCCAGGCATAAGACTTACCGTGAGCGCCCGGGTAGTTGATGTAATGAGTTCGTGAGAAACTGCAGCAACAACTCTTGAGAGGTTGTTTTCCATGGTGACATCTGTTATACTTGGCAGTAAACTATAACCTCTATAGATTCTAGTAAGAAAAATATGTAGATTCTTAAAGCATATATTTTTCACAACAAATGGCATTTAAAAGTTTTTTGTAAAGTCCAGAAGAAAGTAAAACAACACTGACTTTAAAGTAAAATAGAGACTGAAAATGAGGTTGGGGTATGGCTCAGTAGTAGAGCACTTGCTTAATATGCAAAAGGTCCTCCCATTAAAACTAGAATAAGTTTGCTAATCAATTAAGAGAGAGAGAGAGAAAAAAAGGCATGGCTTCTCCCTTACCAGATGACCCACACTTTCTTTATAGTGTGCTACTAGATTTTTGGGGTTTTTTTTTTTTTTTTGGTTTTGGTTTGATTAGTTGGTTTATTTTTCTATTCTCAATTTGGTTTTTCCATGAGAAAAGATGACAGTCATTTAAAAACTTCAAAATTTGATTAGCTGAGTTCCAAAGTCAGAAAAAAAATTATCAAGTTATCACGTGAGTTTAGAAGTCACTGGTCAAGTTTTATTGTTGTTTTTTCAAATCAGCAAAAAGAAAGATATCCTGCAAATCCAGACTTAAAAAAGGATTTAAAACACAAAAGCAGTCCAGGCACATCTTACTACTGCTACTGCAATCTTCTTTCTGATCTGCCTGTCTACCAGCCAGATAGAACAGGTACTGTGGCCAATGGACCCTGCCCATGCTCTAGCAACATAAGCGTGAGAATCATCACTGCATCTAACAGTCTGACCCTTGGTATCAATCCACCCATGCGTTAGCAGGAACACTAAAAAAGTGAAAACTTTCCATGGACAAGTTTTCAGATGGCATGTAACAGTCACGAACAAAAACACAATTGCCAGTTTATGCAGAACTTAAGGAACTCATTGCAAGGCTGAGGACATCGCTGTTGTGTGTCTTAGGTGGGACTTAACCACAGGGGGCTGTGGCAAATCATGATGCTAAATAAATAACCTGTTGATAAATGATGGCCTCCTCCTCTAAAGACTGTGTGGTTTTAAGAAGAGAACAGGAAAGCAGGCACCATGGGAGGCACACTTTGCTGACAAGTCATGCATGGTGCTGTGGGCAGCGTACCTGGTTATGGTGCTGACAGAGAAGTGCGATGGCGGCTGCGTCTCGTGCATGAGGAGTTTCAGGTAAACACTGCTTTGATCTCTTGCTACAGCCACTACTGGATCAGCCTGTCCTTGATCACATTTATAGAACAGCTTTGGGACAAGCCTGCCATGAAAGGAAAGCTGATCTATACAGACAGTGCATGAAACTTACCCATCACCACACCTTCCCCCAGATGGCTAACCCAAACCTATGCCCACCACAGCAGCCAGAGCTGTGGACACCGAACACACCCAGAAGGCAGAAATAAGCAGGACTCTTTCCTTCTTAGTGCTACTCTCTAAACTCCAAATTTTGACAATGAAAGCAATAAAAGGCTAGTGCTTTTTTTTTTCTTCAAATTATCCACTTTGGTAAGTACCTTTAGATAATTAAAAGGGATTAAATTAGTAAAAAACAAAAAACAAGGTATATTTCTTTTGATTCCATCTACCCTTCCCACTCTCATACTACATGTTTCAACCAAGAGAGTAAAGAAATAAATACTAGTAAACACCTTGTTAGCGATGCTGCAGCAACATGTCGCACCCTGGGGTCTTCATCTCCAAGCAAATAAATGATCACATTATTAAGCACTCGTTCTTGCAGTTTTAAAAACTTTAAAGAGACAGAAAATAAAAATAAGTTTAATTTCTATAATCAATTGATGTAAGATATTTTTGGGTTTGTTGTTGCTGTTGTTCTTGTTGTTTTGGTAGGGGGATTTTGGATATATTTTGAGATTCAGTCTCACTATGTGGCTTTGGCTAGTATGAAGCCCAACTATTTAGATCAAGTTGGCATTGAATTCACAGAAACCTGCCTGCCACTATCTCCCAAGTGCTGGTACTGAAAACATAGTCCATCAAATCAAGCTAGATAAGGAAGGCATTTTTGAAATCTAGTCAGGAAGAACTCAGAATGACTTAAATTCTTGTTATACACTAACAACTCTCATGACATAAAGAGTTAAATACATAACACAACACAGGCATTCAGCAAAACTTCACATCACTAGGGAGACCCTGCTAAGACAGTTTCTAAAAAGTAGGAACCACAGTGTCACAAAATGAACTGCTTACCCCTGTATAATGATGAGCCCCTCGGTGTAAACTTTCTGCTTTTGCCTCCAAAAAACTCACCAGCCTAACAAAAGAGCATATTCAACAGTGATGTCATTCATTTAGCAACACCGTGCTGGCCTTTAGCCTTCAGGCTACTAAACATCAAAGTAGCTCACCCCAGTGCCCTGTAAGTCGCTCAATGGCAGTTCAAATTACTTAAATAGATTGATTCACAATCCTCTATAAATTCTTAACTAAATAAGTTAGCACTGGATAAACAGCCTTACATCAAAATACATACCTACTATTTAAAAAATGTTCCAGGAATGAGCTCAAACACACAGAGGGCAACTCGCACTCAAGTGACCAGCTGTGTGCATCATTCCACACTCCTAATTGCAGCGACAGAATAATCCTTCAGAGATATTCTAAGATAGGTATACAATAACCTACAGGGTCCACAGTGGCTTTAAAAACCAATCAAACAAGCTAGAGAGATGGCTCCATGGTTAAGGGCATTGGCTGTTTTTCCAGAGGACCAGGATTTGATTCCCAGAAGACACAGACAGCTCACAACTGCTTGTGACTCCAGTTCCAAGAGTTCCAATTCCTTTTTCTGGACACCATGGATACTGTATGTATGTGGTGCACATGGTACACACACATACAAGCAGGCAAAAACAAAACAAAAAAAGACAACAAAAAACAAGCAAAGAACAGTAACAACACACAAAAATCTGAATAATAAAGGTAGATTTTCCTTCTAAGAGAAACTGTTAAAAGAAAACATCTCTAACCAAAACTTATTCTTAGGAAATGAAAATTACAACATGTTACATTTGGAAAGATTTTTGTTTGTAGGAAGTAGGTAAAGTGTGTGTGTGTGTGTGTGTGTGTGTGTATGTCTGTGTGTGTGTGTGTGTGTGCTCACATGGGCGGTGCACAGAGATTAATCAGATGTTTCTCAGGAGCCATCTACCTTGTTGGGTTTTATGGATTTAGTTTTTTTTGAGGGGAGGGTGCTAATGGTTTTTATAAAATGTGTATTTAAGATTAGCCAGCTGGACTCAATTTAAATCATCTCAATTTTGTTGGCAGCATCCAAAGCATCATAATCAGGAAGCAGTTGAACATAACCCTTCTTCCCATCAGGCCTGATAAGGGAATTGACTGTGGCCACACTAATGTCAATGTTTGTTTACAGCCTGTTTGATCTGGTGCTTGTTGGCCTTGACAGCCACAATGAACACAGCTGTCTTCTAGCTTCTTCATGGCTGACACAGTGGTCAGGAAGAACGAGATTATGTTGGAACACTCAAGTTTGTTTCACCCAGGAATGTTCTTGTGAAGGGGAAGATGGCTGATGTATAGATAGATACCTTCTATACTGCCATCTGGACTTTCACTGTCTTCATTTTGGCTTCAGCTTTTGGGGGGTGGAAGAAGTTTTTGTCTTCAATTCAGTGTCTTCTTGGTGAAAAGCCACCTAAATCTAGAGCTTCCTACTAAACTAGGCAAGGAGACTGACCAGCAAGGACCAGAGACCCAACCTGTCTCCACTTCTCCATTGCTAGGATTACTACATCTGCTTTCACCTGGGTGCTGGTATCAAACTCAAGTCCCGCTTTGCAGCAAGCATCCATCTCCCCAACCCCTCAAGTTTTTTGTTTTTGTTTTTTTATTGTAACAAAGTACTATTCATCTATCTCCCTTAAATCATATTAAAGGTAAGTACATTTAAAAGAAGCAGACTTGATAGCCTTTTTTAAAAGTTTGAAACAATGTTTCAAAAAAAATCAAGGGGGCTATAGAAAGATGGCTCAGCAGTTAAGAATACTTTCTGCTATAACTGGAGTTCAGTTCTTAGCAACCATGCCAAGAGGCTTAGAACCATCTAACCCTGCTCCAGGAGATGTCATACCTTTGGCCTTCTCTCAGGTACTCGCACTCATGTGAACATACCCACATGCCCAAATACAGACATACATGTTTACATATAATTAAGAAATAATAAAAACAAATTCTATTTTTAAAATTTCCATTATCTACAAAACTAAGACAAGCAGAAAAATATATTCATCTTCCAGCATCAAAATCTCCAAGTTCAAAGTTCAACAAAAATTACTGTGAACGATCACATGTTCTCTAGCTAAACTGTAGATAATCCTAACAGGAATGACAACTGCAGGTACTTCAAGACTTTCAGTTCTTATTTGAACTTCTGAATCTTAACTCAGTTCCCTTACCTGAAGTCAATCTCTGCAAGGGTTTCCAGCAGCTCAGTCCTCACCAACCAGTAGGAGCTGTTCTTCAGAGGCAACATATCAATGAGCAGTTGCAATCCCAAGTCACTGTAGCTGCTGCTGCAAAGACTCAGGACACAGTGCTGAAAAACCCAGTCCAAGGCAGAAGGCATCAGGTCAGACACTACATCTTAAGACAGCACCTCTTACACCTGCATGATGGGGGATGTTCCTCTGTATATATGTTTCTCTTATTGGTTGATGAATAAAACACTGATTGACCAGTAGTGAGTCAGGAAGTATAGGCAGGGCTACGATATGAGAATTCTGGGGAGAGGAGAAACAGAGAAGCCACGAGAGAGACACCATGCTGCCGAAGGATTAACATGCAGAATTATGAGTAAGCCTCGGGGCAATACATAGTTTAATAGAATTGGGTTAATAATTAAGAGAAAGCTAGTAAGTAAGAAGCCTAAGCCATCGGCCAAACAGTTTACAATTAATAAAAGTCTCTGTGTGTTTATTTGGGTCAAAGAGGCTGTGGGACCAGGTGGGACAGAAACCTCCATCTTCACATGCACCTATTTTGTCCTGTTCTATTTGTAAATAGCAACAACAATACTACAGGTTCTCAAAAGTACTGAAGATAAATCTTTATCTTACTATATTTGAGTTTAAAAGTCAATGTGCCCATTACACATAATTTTGTTTCCCTGTCTCCCATTACTTAAACTCCTAAGCCACATTTTCAGAACACTAACTTATATCAGTTTATAAGGAAAAAAATACAACACAGGCCCAGCATAAAGACAAGAGACCTATATCAAAAGGAGTATCTTGGATGTTACTGGGTTCTTCTGATGTACAAGAAAACAAAGTGATTCTGGTACTATTTCCCCTGTGGCCTCAGAGCCTGGTGCATTATCCTGTAATTATCCTATACAAGGATCACACACACAATCTACCTACCAGCATCTGTGCTATCAGCACACCATTTTTGCTCAAAAGATACAACTATACAACTGACTGAAATGTAAAATTTAAAAAAAGGAGTTGAGGGCTGGAAAGATGTGTTTACTGCTCCTTTGGGGGACTTGAGTTTGGTTCCCAGTATCAACATCAGGTGGTTCATAACCACCCAAAATTCCAATTGCAGGATCCAGTGTCCTCTTCTGGTCACTGCACTTACATACAAAAATATATTCTCTCCCCCCTCTCTTCCTCCCCCCCTTACACACACACACACACACACACACACACACACACACACACACACAAACACAGCATTAAAAAATAAAATCTTTTTAAAACTTGGAACCAGAAAAACATTATTTTGAAATTACTACATTTTAGAAAGGGAAGATATTCCCCTCCCTGTGTTTAGCCACTGTGATTTGTTTTGATTTTCTCTGGTTAAATTTTCTGCTATAGCCAATTGTGACTTATAACCCAGCTGATAAGAAATGTCCCACCTTACTCTCACTTGAGCAGCCAAGGCTCTTTTAACAAAAGCCACAAACACAAGGTCAGTTAAATAATGCCCATAATTCCACTGAGCTCAACAGTCTACAATCTTAAAACAGTATTTTAAAAAATTCAACCAATTTTATATTTGATAATAGGAGAAAGGATGTTTCAAATAAAGATGCCAATAATAAAAACTAGAAGTTTATTAAATTTTAATATTATGGCAATATTTCTCTAAAGCTGAATGGTAGATCCCTAAAAATTGTTTGCAGGTTATGGAAATGTGACCTACTAGCTCCAAGTTTAACTGTATCAATGGAACAGTTTATGTAAAACATTATACTTACCCTCACAGCTGTACAAGCCAGCTTGCAAGTGACAGAAGATTCATCCTTCAAAGTTTTCTGTAGCAAAGGAATACAGTCCACCAGAGAAAACGCATTTCCTAACCAGAAGAATGAGCAAGAAATGTCTCTACGGAAACATGCACCTGGGAACAATATCCAGAAAAGACACCAGGACAAACTGTCCATTACCTGTCAGGGTTCTAATGGTGCCCAGCCAGTCACCAACACGGAGCCGGGACCTGCTGAGGATGGAATAGACGAGGGTACCACAGAGAATGGCAGTAGCTCCTCGGACCTGTGGGTCTCCATGATCGATGTAGTTCAAGATGTCAGAGACATACTGTTCCTCTGTGGACACAAAATGGCCCAGCCTGTACCTTCTCCACCAACAAAATTATACTACAAATAAAGCTTCATTCTCAGAAAAGGAAGAAAAGGGAGCATTTTACATCTGCAAAGGACTTGACTATGATGTCCTAAGTCATAAAAGATGTTTGCAGTATGAAGGTTCAAGATTCATCACATGGCAATTATCTTAATACATCACAATTACAAGATTGTGATTCCAGGCTGGCAAATAAAATTAAACTTCCAAGGTTTCATTTGAAATTAAAGATTTGAAACAAATAATCTAGTATACATTTGTTAACTCTAAACAAAATAACATAGGTTTGCCCTGTCACTCAAAGAAAGAAAGAAAGACTTTCTGCTCCAAAACAACTGTGTCCAATGGGAGACAGGGTGTGGTGCTGTCTTGATCAGTCTTAGTCTGAATGTGCATTTCTAACCCAGATGAATGTGCCACAGAGAAATTTGACAATGCAGCTATGACTTCAGAAGAAATTCAGTGTGTGTATGAATGGCTCTCACTTTCTTAGATTTCTATTTTATGACTTGAGTGCTTCCACCATTCACATGGCACCTAAGGGAGTCATGAGACTAAGAACATGACCATGGGCACATCTGGAGAGCTCCAACACAGATGAAACACACAAGCTAACTGGAAACATAGACTGCCCTAAGACAAAAGAAAGCAAGACTATGAGACAGCTTAAGTACTGATTAATCAAGGGAAAGAAGTAAACTTTCAACATACCAGCACCTTCCATGGTGTCAAGAGGTACTTTATACAGTTTGCTGAAGAAAGATTCTGGATGAAGGGCCACAGCTGCACCAATACAGCTGAGGGCCAGGGCCTTCACACTGACCCTCACATCTCTGTCTGGAACCAGTGCTGCAAAGTAACCACCCAGACCCTTTAGCCTTCTCCAAGAAACAGAACCCACCCCTTTCATTTCCTCCCTCCCTCACCAACTAAAAAAATTTAGCTCACCCCAATAACAAAGTACCAACAGACCACCAAACAGAGTTCTACAATGGTAAGTAAGTACCTCCTCAACTCTGCAGTCACTCTGCTGCGCTTACCTTTTTTTCCCCCAGTTAACAAAAAGGAAGCAGATAAAAGGCGGACACAATGGACCAGAGGAGCAGAATCATCATCATTAGGCTGTCCTATGTCCCCTTTGATTCGGCAAGGCTAGAACAGAGAAGTAAACATTTGATTCACTAGTTCAATCAATAAAATGAACCATACCAGGGTGCTAGGGACAGAGATGTCTATACTTGGCCACCTCCATGTCTGGTCACAAAAAGAACACAGCTGGAACCCTAAAACACAGGGCCACAGGGCTGTGGCAAGAGACAAGCTTAGTATGGAGAAGGTGCACTGGGCAAAGGTGTTAAAACACAGCGTTCAGGAAACACTGTTCACACTGGCAAGACACAAGTATCTGCTGGAAATGTAGAAAATACTATGAGCTCCAGGCAAGCTAAAGCAATATAGTGAGAACCTGTCTCCAAAAAAAAACCAAACAAACAAACAAACAAAAAACGAAAACACACAAGCAAAAAGATACCAGACATGGCCAGAGAAGGTTAGAAGGATATAACAGAAAATTGGAAGGCACTCTAAAAAGATGCCATTTTGACTGATAGGATTAAATGACAAAATGCATTCCTGACTTCAAGGAATTTTTAAAGTTTACTGTAAATACAGTAATGTGCAAAAGTAAATAACACAGATGTTTTAAACAATTTAGTAAACAAAAACAAGAACTGCTTCAAAGCTTTGCAGAAGCCTCAAGGGAATGATACAGGATTATCAGGCAGGGCAGAGGTCAGCACAGGGCACCACTGTGCAGGTGGAGCTGTCTGGAGGCAGAACTGAGGCAACTGTTAGGAAGGTGGGTATCCCTTGAGAGGCAAGAAAGAGGAGGACAGTGGGGAAAGACATAAGCCCAGAGATGAGACAGGAACAAATGAGAACAGCAGAAGTCACGGAAATTCCAACCCCCTCACACACAAGCAAGCTCTTGCCTATGAAGCTCACCTTGCTTTCTGGGTCACTCGCTTCGGCAACTTCATCTCTTGACACAAACTTATCTATACTGCTGTCAGAAGGTTGCCTACTATGACCCATTCTCTCCAATAAGTGTGCCTGTTGAAGGGCTTTAAAAACAGGAATCATGATTAACTGACAAATTTCTACTCAAAATATGTATATGTTTACACAAAGGTAAGATGAAGGTATAGGATTTAAATCTAAGTTTGATTATGCCTAAATTGTCATTTTTAGCAGCTATTTATACAACTCGGGAGGGAGGGAGGGAGGGAGGGAGGGAGGGAGGGAGGGAGGGGGAGGGGAGGGAGGGGAGGGGAGGGAGGAAGGGAGGGGTGGGATGGGATGGGAGGTTTCTTTGTAGACCGAATGATAAAGATGCCTACAGCTGAAACCATTTTCATCATGTAAAGTGAACTTACCCAGAGAAGAATTTCTGAAAACATCTGACACTTCACTGGAAAGGACACCTGCAGCCGCAGCCTCCTCCTCTTCCTCCTCCGGTGGCTGTCCTATGTGCATGCCTAAATACTGGCTGTCAGCACTATCCAATACCTGCACAGATGAAGGGGCACTGTCGGGGGCAAACCCTTCAACATGAAGGAAAAGCCATCAACAGGGCAGAGCACTTGTTTGTGACTTATTTATTCCTTGTGGCTTTCACATCATGCATCTCCATCCCATTCACACCTACCGCACCCCTTCATATCCACCCTCCACCCTTGCAACCTCCCCTGCCCTAAAAAATAAAATTTAAGAGGAGAGAAAGAGAGAGAGAGAATGTGTGTGTGTGTGTGTGTGTGTGTGTGTACGTACATCTTTACTTGCAAGAATAAATTGTAAAGAGTCATTGGTATGGTTTAAGGCCTCTGATTTCAGCTACACTATTGATACTGGGCCCTTACTGGGACTCCTCTTAGATATCCTGTTGTTGCCCTGTGTTGTGGAGATCTTACAGCTTTGCATCTGCAGGACCAGTCCCATCATGTACTCCAAGAGATCACAGAGGAGTGGGCCAACTCACGGGTCTGGTACTGGGCCTGGGAGTTGCAGGATTGGTCAGCTTGCTAGCGCTCCCCCATCCTCACCACCAGGGTGAGTGCTCCAATATTGCCATGGCTATTTCACCCTAAACAGCAAGGAGCAAGGGGTGGGCCAGTTCATCCACCTTCATGGCTCACCCACACCTACACCACCAAGGCCAGCTCTACTGTGTTGCCCAGGTGAGGTGCAAGGGCCAACTCTCCTGAGTACTATAGTTGGTGAGGGACAGGGATAACTCTCCTGCTCTCATGGGCAGCTCACTAGAGCTGAGCATTTTATGCATGCAGAATTCAAAGACCATGTTGCATCAGTGACATATAGAGAACCTAAAAGGCAATTATTTATTCAATGCCCATAGGTAAATGCATGTGTAAAAGTAACAAGCAAGATCTCCTCACTGTTAAGAAGCTTTGTTGTGGGATGTTATCTGGGCATGACACAGATACTGTGCTCTTGAACTCTAAGCATCTATGACTACCTATACCAGGCCTGCACAAGATAGGCAATTAACATTCTGGAGGCAGGTTGGTGGAACCTTGCTCTTTCCTAAAGATATGTAAGTGGTCATTGATGGCAGGAATAAACATAGTGATTCTTCAATGATATAGATAATGTTTATAAGCTGCCCATTCTCTGGTAGGGAGCCCTTGGCTCATGCTTCTGTAAGCAACTCCAACTAAACTAACTGATCTGTCAAACTAGACTTAGATGGAGCATTACTTCGGTCTGTCATTGGTGTCACTGGTGTTTGTCTCCCCAAGGAAAGGTCACACAACAACTTTTATAGCTCTAGAAATTCTAAAGAAATTTCAGTCTGTAAACTTTTTGACATTAAAAAAACTTTTTAAAAAGGACATAAGAGTTAGGTAGAAAGGTGAGGGATAAACATCAAAATACAAGTATGGAATTCTCAAATAATAATGTTTTTTTTTAAAATGTGTCTTCATAAACAAGTTTTACAGTAAGTTAGAAACAAAGACAAGGCTTTTAGAAAAGAAAATAACAATAGGTTATCTCCACTAAATTCGTAAATACTTCATATTGTCCAGCCATGAACCCAGTGCAGATTCTGTGGCAAAAAGGTCCTGGAAAGAACAATAATGTGGAACCAATGAGAACTCAGGGGTGTGGAGAAAAGAGAACACTATAGCCTAGAGCAAAAATATCTAAGAGCATCTTTAGCTCCTTGATGGCCATTTATTACCCTTTTCTGTTTGTGGCCTAACATCTTTATTTTGCTTCTAGAGAAAATGTTTTTCTGTATAACCCTGGCTTCCCTAGAACTTGCTTTGTAGGCCAGAGTAGCCTCGAACTGCCTCTGCTTTCCAAGTACTGAGTGAGATCAAAGGTGTGTGCCACTACTCCTGACTGACCTAACATCTTTTAAGCCTTAAGAAATTCTTTAGGGTGTCCAAAAACAGGGCCCTAGTTTCGACTAATTTTGTTCTCCCCACTTTATTCTAACCTGCTTATCTGAGATACCTACAAGTGTACTTGAAAAGTGTCTTGACTTATGAATTTCTTTTTTCTGTTATTATAAAGACGTTACCAAGCAGTCACCACACTGGAACACAGAAACTAGAGCAGTAACCTGAATCTGTGTTCTTGGGCCACAGTCACTAATAGTGCCTTCAGAATAAACTTACTCTCATTCCCTTTGAGGTAAGAGCTGTATTTCTGTATCAATAATTCCATATTGCAAAATGTTTCATATCCATTTGACACTTCTTGTGTAATTTACCTGAAAGACTGAGCAATGGCGGCTCGGGAAGTGGCTCAGTGTGCAAGCCTCCATAAGAACCTGAGTTCAGGTCCCCAGCACCTACGTAAAACCAGATGTAACAGTGTGCATCTGTCATTCCAGTTCTGGGGGTTGGGATGAAGTGGGTATGAGAACTTTGTTGACCAGCCAGCTAATCTCCAGGTTCAGTATGAGATCTTGTCTCAAAAAGTAAACCTATGTCTCCTGGGTTGAGGAGATAGCTCAGTGGATAAAAGTGCTTGGTCTGCAAGCATGAGGACCTGAATTCAAAACCCCAGAACACATGTAAAAATCCAGGCATGGTTGCATAGTCCTATAAACCACAGCATTAGGGTCAGGGATGGGTAAGGATGGGTAGAGATAGATAGACCCTGCAATCTCATTGGCTAGCCAGCCGAAGCAAAACTGTGAGCTTCTAGTTCACTGAGAGACCCCTACCTCAAGGCAATGAGGCAGACGGCGATAGAGGATGATACCTAGCATGCAGCTCTGCCTCTACATGTGCAAGCATAGGGATGCATACCTGCATACACATGCATGCACCACACACATACCATATATGCACAAATAATTTTTCTGTGTCATAAAACTAATTCCAAATTTTTCAATAAAAGACAAATACTCTAAGCCGGGCGGTGGTGGCGCACGCCTTTAATCCCAGCATTTGGGAGGCAGAGGTAGGCGGATCTCTGTGTGTTCGAGGCCAGGCTGGACCGACAGCCTCCAAAACAATACAGAGAAACCCTGTCTCGTAAAACCAAAAAAAAAAAAAAAAAAAAAAAAAAAAAAAGACAAATACTCTATATCAGGGACAACTGAAAATAAATTTCCTGCACTGTCTTCCCTTGAGTGGGTTTACCTAGCCTCTCTTAAAAACAGATCAACTGCTCAGCAAGTAAACTGAGCAATTTCAAATTTCACTGTCAACATAAGGAACATCTATTGGCCAGGAGAGGCAGAACTAGGTCAGACATTTGTAGCCACATGGTGCGTGTGCTTGCTTGCGTGTGAAGCATGGGTGTGAAGAGTGGATGCATGTATATTTATGAGCATGTATGTGGAGGTCAGAGATCAACATCAGGTGTCTTCTTGAGTTGCTCTCTATTTCTGAGACAAGGTCTCTCACTGAACCTGGAGTTCACCCATTTGGGATAGACTGGTTAGCTGGCAAGCCCCAGTCTCCAGTTAGAGGCAACTTACTCAGCTCCTGTGGTCACAACACATAGCCATTTCTGATTTGAATTCAGTGTTTTATCCAGTTCAGTATCTCATTTATATTTTAGAATGATGGGTACAATACAAAATTTAGAGGCAAGCCACAATATTCTGTCATATTCTTAATAAAATATATTCTACAATAGCTAACATTTAATTATATACACTTATTACTGAATGTAAAAACTATTCTACTTTTAGCTGTATAGCCAAAAGAACTGAAAGCAGGGTCTTAGAGATATTCTGTAAATCCATGTTCACTGTGCCATTATTCCTAATAGTTAAACTGTGAAAGTAACCCAAATGCTCACTGATAGATGGAAGGGTAAGCAAAATGTGATCTATCCATACAATAGAATGTTATTCAGCCGTAAAAATGGGGAAATTCTCACATATGCCACATAGAGCCAGTAGTATAAGGATAAATACTACATGGTAAACATACTGCATGAAAAACCTGCAATCATCAAGCTTGTATTGCCAAAAACAAAAAAACAAAAACAAACAAACAAACAAAAAAAAAAACAATGGTTTCAAGAGGAGTGTACAAATCTCTACAGAAGGAAAGGTTTCAGAAGATGAAGACTTAATGGAGAGGTATGATAGTGATTGCACCACACTGTTTAAATATATTTAATACCACTGAAGTGTATGCAGAAAAATGGGCAAGGTGATTTTGTTAAAAGTTACTTTTCTACACAAGAAGAGGAAAAAGGAAAAATGGAAAATAGCAATTCAGAATGCAAGCCAGGTATGATTCATGCCCACATTCCCAACAGTCCAAAGCTAAAGAAGGCTCAAATTTAAGGCCAGCCTAGACTAGGACCCTGTTTCAGAAATACAAAACAAAAACAAACTGACAAGCAAGCATAAAACAAAAGAAACCCACACTTCAGCACACACTTGTACCAAAGTTTTTGATTATATAATCTTTGAGGTGATTCCTGCCCACAAACTCAGATGTCACAGGGACAGAAATATGTGCTACTATAAAATGGAATGTGGTATAAGTATGTCGAAAGGTCAAAAAGTGCTAAAAAAACAAAAACAAAAACATAATATACAGTATTAATATTAACAACCACATTTTGTTAAGACTACAGACGTTCGTAATAACAAGTTCCTTGAAAATTTTAAAGTATCTATTCAACCAGGTCCAACCAGGTATTAAAGATACGTCAAGTGTACAAGATGCGCATAATTAACTAGACTTTGACCTCCATGGGTCAATACAGAAGATATTAGGTGATTTCTTCGGTGGAGGGATCAAACAAGGCCAAGTTCTTTGTTGACCATATGAGTTAGGGGCCTCTGCACACTATGTGGAGCAATAAAGTAAAATGAGCAAGAGGGCCCAAGTGTGAGCATTTAGGAATGAGCTCAGAAGACAAAAGGGCTACCCTGGTAGAGTACTCACAATTTCGGAGCTGTCAGAAGGAGTCACAGCTGAATCAGGCCCTTCAGTGGTGGTCTGAGAGCTGTCACTGATGGGTGAGGAGGCCTGGGTCCCATCATTCAGGTCCATGGCAGGGTCAGATGGAACGGCACTGAACTGGCTGGAGCTGTGGCTCAAGATGTCCTCCTCATCCCCATCAGTAGCAGCACTGGTCAAGTCACAGCCTGACAAATCCACAGAGTCTGCTTGAAGTGTGTGCTGGGACCGAGGCTGCTCAGTGATGATGTCATGACTTACAGAACCAGGAGTGGAGACACCTGAAGAAGCAGCAAGTTCTCCTCCAATTTCACTCTTCACAGAGGCTAAAGACAAAGAGAAACTTATTTGTCAAATGGCCAGAGGAAACAGTAGTTAAAAACAAAGGTATGCAAAATGACAAAACAGTTAAGTGTATTGAATGTTCTAGCTATGAAACAGCCTGGAGCATAGTGAAGAAAAGACTGAGCAGCACAGCAAAGCTGTCTGGAACAAGCAGATTCTTTTTTTTTTTTAAGATGAAGGTTTATTTAGGGTCGTAATTTTGGGTTGTGTGTGTGTGTTTTATTTAAATTAGAAACATCTTATTTTATATATCAATCCCAGTTCCCTCTCCTTCCCATGCCCCCTACCAACCCCCTTCCCATCCCTCTTCTGCTCCATAGAAAGGGTGAGGCCTTCCATGGGGGAATCTTCAAAGTCTGTCACATCATTTGGGGCAGGGCCTAGGCTCTCCACCGTGTGTCTAGGCTGAGAGAGTATCCCTCTATGGGGAATGGGCTCCCAATGTCCATTTGTGCACTAGGGATAAATATTGATCCACCACCAGAGGCCCCATAGACTGCCCAGGTCTCCTAACTGACACCCACGTTCAGGAGGCCTATGGCGGTTTCTGAGTTGTCAGTCTGGGGTCCATGAACTCCCATTTGCTCAGTTCAGCTGTTTCTGTGGGTTTCCCCAGCCTGGTCTTGACCCCTTTGCTCATTACTTCTCCCTCTCTACAACTGGATTCCAGAATTCAGCTCAGTGCTTAGCTGTGGATCTCGGAACAAGCGGATTCTTTATGACTGTGAGAATTCTCAAATGTGTTCCATTCATCACAAAACCCAAATTCGGGTTCTTAGCAACTCTAAAACCACAAACAGGGTATGTGTGACTCAGAGGCAGCTGGGTCAGAGACACAAGGAGACTCCCAGGAACGCTAAACAAGTAACAGAACAACAGTGAATGCATCAGCCTTGCGGGAGGCTTGCTTTCTTCCACACCCTGTTCATCTCCACTCCAGTTCTAGCCTCCTACAGTAAACACACTCCATATTTTCCTAGTTTAATTTTGAAATTCCCACTTACAGACAAACACTATGTGAGATCAAAATCACTTCAGTGCCCATTCTATAATCCAATATTTAACATTTATTCTTCCATAAATGTTTGACAGACTTACAAAAAGAAAGTGGATGATTTGTATTGCAGGAAATGGAAAGTGATCATGGTTGGGAACAGCACATTGTAACAATAAAAGTGTGTACTTTTAGAAAGCTGATAGCATGGCTTGTTTTATGAAATAAAACATTAATTACAAAAACAAGATCACTTGTGAGTTATTGTGCTTGTTCAACTCATTCTAAAATGTAATGTATAAAGCCAGGCATTGGTAGCACATGCCTTTAATCCCAGCACTCGGGAGGCAGAGGCAGGTGGATCTCTGTGAGTTCGAGACCAGTCTGGTCTACAGAACAAGTTCCAGGACAGCCTCCAAAACAATACAGAGAAACCCTGTCTCGAAAAAACAAAAACAAACAAACAAACAAACAAAAATATCACTTCAAAAAACATGAACAAGGTGTAAGCAGTGGCCCAGTGAAGGCAACCGTGTCACAGATTGAGTTTTATACTAGTCTAGGCAGGCCAAAGTTCTTGTTCTATTGACTTTTTTATCTTGTAAGTTGGGGGAGGGGGCATCCATTGACATTATTCAAGTTTTCCTTCCCAAGTATCTCAGTCTTGTTTTTCTTTACCTAAAAGTAAACAAGACCAAAGCTGATGGCATTTTATATAGCTATTAGTGTCTTAAGATAATACCCGTGCTTTATAGAGAACACAAATAATTTTACCTACTTGGAAACAAAAATACACACTTTCAAGTTAAATTACCCATAGACAGTTCTTCAACCCACTGTCCTAATCATAACCCATCTGACTTATAAGACAACTCTACCTACCATCCCCTAACAATATATATGCTCAAGGATATTAATCAACTTTTGAATAGCCTAAAGCAAGAAAAGCTCACAGCCACACACATTCAGAGTGAACATTACAAAAGCATCTGAATTCTAAAAGCACTTTCTGAGCAGGCCGCCCGTGCCCTGCAATGCCATCTACAGGCTGAGTTGATGAAAGGGGCATGATACGGTAGGTAGGAAGTGAAGGCTGACACTGGCTGCTCACAGAGAAGACGGCTACCTGCAAAGGCCGAGCTGCTGACATCTGACCGGGACTCTGAGTCATCTTCCAAGGCTTCTTCTTCTCCTAAGAGCACTTTGCCTAGAAATAATACAATAGTACTTTTTAATTTTGCAAAAAATAAAAAAGAGGGGGTTATAATCAAATAACAGTCATGCATAGTGTAACACGCTTTTAGTTCCAGCACTCAGGAAGCAGAAAACTCTGAGTATAAGGACAACCTGGTCTACACAGGTTGTTTTTAGGCTAAACAAGGTTACATAGTGAGACTGTGTTTCAAAAAAGTAAACATACATTCTAAATTGGAAAGCACAGGTATATTTACTTTACCCCCATATAATTTACCCATTTGTGTTTTATATTACTACAACACTAAAGAATGAAAAGAGAATAACATTTAGAACACTATAAAACCAATAAATCTATAGAGAAAAAGAGGTAGAACTATACCACAAAGTAATTTTTATTGATTTTGATTACTGTTACAGTTAAATAATTTATCATTACTTAAATGAATGAGTAGCTTATAGTTGAAAAGATGAAATTCTATTAATCAGCCCTTGGAATATCTATGTTCTATTCCCAATGACAAATAAAAACTTGCATATCAAACTCTTACATATAAATAAATCACTTTCATTTTATTATCTTTTTATATTCTAGACTATAGCTAAGAATCTGGGAGGACAAATATATTCCTGCAAAGTTTCAAAACTATATTTTATAGTTTATGTTTAAAATTTTATTAGACTTAATATCTCTATGGTTATACTACAAACATCATTAAACAATACCATTATGTCAATTGAACTGAGAAAGGCCTAAGAGATTTCCAGAGAAGACTGATTAACTAGAATGGAAGACTTGTGCTCAGTGTGGGTAGCACTATTCACAATGTGAAATAAAAAATGAAGAACAAGGAAGGAAGCCCACCAGCATAGGTACAACCTCCTGCTTTCCGGTTGCAGTGAGGTGAGCTGCTCTACCACAACTTCCCTGCCATGATGGTCCAAAACCTCTGAAACTGTGGCCAAAAATAAATCTGTTCCCTGAAGTTGTATATATCAGTTATTTTGTCACACTGAGGAAAACTAAAAAAAGATACTATGAAATTGCATCATCAAAGGGACAAGCTAATGAGTAAAGAGAATATAAATCTATGTAAAATCAACACAGCAACTTGACACAAATACTAACAGAGCCTTTCATTAACACAACATGTAGTTTAAGAAATCAAATTAAGACTTAAGAACAGTGAATTTAGATTTTTTTTTTTTTTTGGTGTTTTGAGACAGGGTTTCTCTGTATTGTTTTGGAGGCGCTGTAGACCAGGCTGGCCTCGAACTCACAGAGATCCGCCTGCCTCTGCCTCCCGAGTGCTGGGATTAAAGGCGTGCGCCACCAATGCCCGGCTGTGAATTTGGATCTTAATGTTTCTACCCTCCAAGTCAGTAGCTGATGATTATGTTCTAGGGAGAGGTCCCTAGAGAGGATTACTTAAAGACATAAAAGAAGGGCAGTCAGTGACTGGAGAGATGGCTCAGCAGTTAAGAGCACTGGTGTTTCACAGAGGAGGGTCTAGGCTCTGCTCCAAATGATATGACAGACTTTGAAGATTCCCCCATGGAAGGCCTCACCCTCCCTGGGGAGCAGAAAGGGGGTGGCATAGGGAGTTGGTGGGGGTGGCAGGGGAGGAAGGGAGGGAGAGGGAACTGGGATTTGCATGTAAAACAAGCTTGTTTCTAATTAAAAAAAAAAAAAAAAAAGAGCACTGGTGTTCTTCCAGAGGACCCAGGGTTCAAGTCCCAGCCCACTACAACTCCAATTCCAAGGGATCTGGCACCCTCACACAGACATGCATGCAGGCAAAACACCAAGGCACAAAAATAAATAAATGGATGAATGATGAAGAGTGGAGGGCTGTCAACAGAGAAGAGGCTCCTGGCCATCCTGACCTCAACTGAAGTCTACATGCTCCACAACTCTGGTTTTATCTATCTTACATCTGGCAAATTATACTTGTTCTAATGTCTATTGCTGTGACAAAACACCATGAAGAAAGTCAAGGCAGGAATCCGGAGGCAGTAACTGAAGCAGAGACCTTGCAAGAAAGCTGCTTACTGGCTTGCTCAGTCTGCTTTCTTATAGCACCCAGGACCACCAGTCCAGTGATGGCACTGCACATAGTAAACTGAACCTTCCTATATCAACAACCAAGAAAAGGAACCAAAAACCTGACCACAGATCAGTGTAGTAGACATTTTATCAAGGTTCCTTCTTCAAAAATGATTCTACTTTGTATCAAGTTGATATAATACTAGCCAGCACACCCGGCAGTGGTGTACACCTTTAATCCTGGCACTTGGGAAGCAGAGGCAGGTGGATCTCTGTGAGTTAAAGGCCAGCCTCGTCAACAGAGCAAGCTCCACGACAGCTAGGGCTGTTACACAGAGAAACCTTGTCTTGAAAAACCAAATATATACGTATGTATGTGTGTATATGTGTACATATACATACATATACACATATGTATACATACATGTGTGTGTGTAAAAAGTTAAATATGGCTGAAAATTGATAACAAGGCATAAATAAAATGATGAACCAAACAAAATAAACTATTTAATGTACCTAATAATAAGGTTCATTAAAAAGGGAAATTACCAGCCGGGTGGTGGTGGCGCACACCTTTAATCCCAGCACTCAGGAGGCAGAGGCAGGAGGATCTCTGTGAGTTTGAGGCCAGCCTTGTCTACAAGAGCTAGTTCCAGGACAGCCCCCAAAGCTACTGAGAAACCCTGTCTCTAAAAACAAAAAACAAACCAAAAAAAAGGGGGGGGGAATTACCTTTATAAATACAGTGGTACATTCTCTAAAGTAGCACTGAGCCCACCTGCATCTTTAAGATTTCACTGGAAAACAGCCAGACTCAGCAGTTCACTCATTATATCATTGTTCTGTGAGGGCCACAAGGCAGGGAAATAGCCGCAAGAGCCTAAGGCCCACAAAGTTAAAACCAGTTACTCTCTGGTTCATTGCAGAAAGTTTGCTGACCTTTGACCTCAAACATTAGAAATTATGATAAACAAGTCTGATATAAACAAATTTTAAATTACAGATTCCAGCAGTATTCACACACACACACACACACACACACACACACACACACACACACACACTCTCTCTCTCTCTCTCTCTCTCTCTCTCTCTCGGAGGAAATATTAGGAGAGTCTAATGTATTATGCAAGCATAGAAACTGTAACTGTAGTCAGATTCAACACAAGACTCAGAAATAATCACCTTTTTGCTTTCTTGAGAGAACAGGGCTGCATGAGGAGCCTCCTCCAGCTGTAAATCACAGAAGGAGATTATTTACTAAAACATTGTTTAAACACCACATGTCACACTTTAAATGGGAAATGACACTCAAGTTCAAATACAGTTTTCTAAAGATACAACTAAAATGTCAAAAGAGCTCATTTAAATTGCATTTTAAAAACCAAATTAAAACTATAAGACCTTATATTATTTGGCCAACCAGCAATCAGATATAAGTTTTCATTGGAGACAGTTACTAGAGGTGTGTATTCCTGTTCATTGGTCGTACAATATGCTTTCCACAAAAATAAGGATTCTTCAGTGCAAAGAACAGCAGAAAAAAATATTTTCTGCTCAGAGTTCAGGCAAACATTTAAAGCTCACCAGGCCACAATCAGATTTTCCAGGCAGAAGGTCTCTAGTTTGTAGCTACAGTTAAGTCTGGCTCCTCAATATGCATACTGTGGCAGTCATGGCAAGGCAGAATCAGCAGAATTTATCAAAACCTGCTAAATGCCAAGTCACTTCTGGAGGCTGGCACTCACAGATTCCTCTGTCCCACCATCCAAGGATAGCTCATTTCAGACAGGGTAGGCTGCTACTGCCTACTCTAGGGCCCAAACTCTTTAAACATCAAGAACAGAGCAAACTAGGGAGGTGTCTACGAGGATTGGGAATGGAAGGGGCTCTCTAAAATCAGGATCCAAGGAGAAAAAGAATGCTAACCCCCCCCAAAAGACACAAAAATCTGTCCCTAAAGATTCATCTCTGACAACCAAACGTGAGGAAATACTCTGCTTAATATTTCTCCATCACTGCACCTAATGCAGGTGACAAGCCAGGAAGGCAGGAGATAAGGCTTTAAAGGTGTGGCGTCGTTCTATCATCTAGCTTTCTAACCCTTAGATTTATGTGCAAAAGAAGAAAGATGCCTACATTGTGAGGTTGGTGCAGGAATTTTGGCATGGATGGCTAAAGCATAAAGAAACGAGCATTGCTGCACAGCTGGTTAGAAGACCTCACTGAGAACGCACCTAAAAGTTCCACAATGCTCCCACTGCGGCCTCGGCCCCTGGCCTCCTCTTGAACCACAGTGAGCTGCCCAAGACCACCTGGTGTGGTCAGTGCTTGCAGCAGCTCAGGGGGAGGAGTACGGAAGAGCTGCTGCAAGAGCTCCAGTGCCCCTGTCACCACATTGTGGTCTTGGTGCTGCGTGTGATGCAAAGTCAGTTCATAAACCTAGGAGTAGAAACAGGTCTTCAGTCATGTTTCAAATGCATTCAGATTTCACTTTGTTTTCATTGGCTTTTGTTGGCAAAGCTGTGCCTTAATTTTTCCATCTAAAGACCTCTTTATCACATCTAGGGTCATTATTGTCCACTATATTTTCTGAATTCCCATGATTTTTCATTTCTATTAACTCCTTGGAAATACATAGAGTACTTCCTCTACGACAGCAGTATGTTAACTCAGAACTCCATTTTCCAAAACTGATGAGTAGGAAAAAGAATAAAACCAATGAGGAAGCAGGTGGGGACATCCAACTGCCAGAAACATGGTTCTGAATGCCAGGGAGAAAATAGCCAGAAACTTTAAGGATGTCAGTCTTGGTATTTTAATATTATACCACACTATAGAAGAAGTAAGTTTGTCAGTTTTCTCTTTAAAGTAACAAGGGGAAAAGAACCCACAGGCCTAAATTGTAATTTCAAATAACATATAAGTTAGCAGTATAAATATATCCTGAGCAATTTCAATCATACTTACAAAATCACAATTCAAATCAAAGTTTGCCAACCCAATCATTAGTTGATATAAAAACAAACAAATAAAAAAAAAAACACCCATACATTTCTTTTTTGAAAGTCAGTGTAGAAGAATGAAAAACAAAGAGTAAAGCTTCCCAGGAAGTTGCCTTTAAACTTTAGCTCTTCAGATGCAACCTGCACACACAAATCATGACTGGCAAACTGGGAGCCACAGCCACATCTAGTTTTATTCTTGCTCTTCACGCCCCATTTTGGATTTTTTTTTTTTTGAGACCTGGTCTCATCATGCAGCTATGAATAGCTTGGATTTCCTCTAAGGGCAGGCATGCAATGAACTTGTACTTGTCTGGTCCCACTCTACTACTTTTTGAGACAAGGCAACAGTGACAGAGTACTTCTATTTCACTCATGACCAGGCTGACAAACAGAGGCCACAGACTACGGTCAGTCTTGTAGTCTGCCACATGTACACATTATTTGGTCTTTGGGTGGCCCTCATGTAAGGGCAGGGTTACAGTCACCCTTACCTGGACAAGCTGCTCTGTAGAAGGAGAGACTTCCATTTCTTTCCGTGTCACCCCAAAGCTGCCTTTTAGACTTGTGTCCTTGACCTGCTGCTGGAGCAAGGGCACGAGACACCTCAATGTTAGTAGCACACCAAGGATCAGGAGAGTGGAATGTTCTTCCTCTACGGGAACCAGCAGACCTGCAAAGGCAGCCAAAGGAGCTTAACAGCCAGTCTGTTGGAGAATATTTTACATTTATTTATGCTGCAGAATATTACTTTAATTGTGTAAAGGTGTGTTACTTTTGCTTATACTACATTTGTTTGATGATGTAAAGATATATTGCATCTGTTTCACCTTCCTGCCTAAGGCACCTGATTGATCTAATAAAGAGCAGGCCAGGCTTTGGTGGCCCACACCTTTAATCCCAGCACTCAGGAAGGCAGAGGCAGGCGGATATATGTGAGTTTGAGGCCAGCCTGGTCTACAGAGCGAGTTCCAGGACAGCCTCCAAAAAAATACAGAGAAACCCTGTCTCGAAAAAACAAAAAACAAAACAAAACTGAATAGCCAATACCTAGGCAGAGAAGGGACAGACGGGGTTGCCACGCAGAGAGAATAAACAGCAGGAGAAATCTAGACTCAAGATCAGGAAGAATGAGGGAAGAGGAGGAGGAGGAGGAAAGGAAGAGGAGGAAGAGAGAATGAGGGACATGACCAGAGCAAGAAGCCAGGCAGACACCAGCCAGCAGGTATGAGAAGCGGTGAAAGTAAGATATAGATAAGAAAGGTAATAAGCCCCAAGGCAAAAGATAGATAAATAAACAGGTTAAAATTTAAAAGAGCTAAATTTAAAAGGCTAGACCCAGTTTAATTCCAAGCATCTACATGGCAGCTCACAACTATCTGTAACTCAAATTCCAAGGGACCTGACACTCAGGGAAATATACCAATGCATATAAAAATAAATAAACATAAGCAAATAAAAAAAGAGCTAGCCAGAAAAGAGCTAATAAGAAGTCTCTGTGTCATGATTTGGAAGCTGATTGGTGGCCCAAAAGAAAAAGCCTGATACAGTCCACTGTTCAGAGAACCACAGTCCCTACTAGTAAGAAGGGAGACCTAGGGTTATTGTAAGTCTGGAAGTTAAAGGGAAAGGTGGCATAAGCAAATCTGTGTGTACCCAGATCAAGGAGCAGCTTGGCGGCATAAAACGTGCTCTTAGCTTGACAAGACCCTCACAGAAAATAGAACTGTATTTCAGAGTCAGATAGTTGTATCAAATGTCTACATGGTCAATCCAGGAGGATTTGATAGTGTACATTTTGATTTTGACAGCAGCCAAAAATGAAAGGAAAAATGTTGGTTTCCCTAGAGTACCCACAGAGGGCTAAAACACAGCCTCAGGCCTCTTGAACAGAAGGCCAGGCCAGTGAGGTATGTAAGATTATATACCAGCTGGGTGTCCTAGGGCACGGCTACAGATGAAAAGTCACCAAGACCACCTATGGGCTTGCAGCATCCCCTACAAAATTCACATTTAGCAGTCAGCAGCTGTGAATGGCCTAGTTAAGATGCCAAGGGTTAGTGTGCTTTAAAAGATTGAGCGCATGCTGAGGCTAGGTCACTTGACCCTTTCTCTCTTACCTAGGAGCACATTTAGGAGCCAATTGTAGAAGTATTGTGTCCTCCGGGAGTGCTGGCAGATGCTCACTGCTGAGCCAGCTGCTGTCCTTCGGACAGTGGGAGAACTTGACTTCAGATTTGCTATGAAAGCTTTCAACAGAACCTGTAAAGGCAAAACCCAATGTGGAGCTTATGACACATTTCACAGAACTCCAAATCGTGTAGACATAAACTGTAACAAACTGACACATTTTTCATAGGTGAAAGGAAATATCCCAAATTTCAGGTAGTCAGTGTTTATCAACACAATCTATTTACTTCCTTATGAATTGCATTGGGAATGCTATGAGATGCTCAAATGGTAAAAGCCCTTGTAGTTCTATCCCCAGAACCAACATGGCAGGAGAGAACCAACTTGCATGTATCCACAGGAATAAGTGCACGCGCACATGTGCACGCATGCGGGCACACACACACAGATCAACCAACGTTTAGAAATCTACACCAGGAACTTGCTAATTGTGAGTGGCAGTTTCAGTATTTATAGGTTTACTCACAGTATTCAAGGACAGAGGTGTAATAATACTACATAAAGTTAAAAAGAAACCAAAAAAAAAAAAAGTGACAATATTAAGGAAAAAGTACCAGACACTACAGCAATAATCTGGCCTAAGAATCACTGCAGAAGTGCAACTGCTATACTAAAGTATCCACCCAAGACTGGCACCTCTGTGAATGGAAGGCTGTAACTCAGACATGATAGTGTATCATGCACAACCTTCTAAGAAATCAGAGATAAGATGTTCTTGGTAACCTCTAAAATAAGCCTATACCGTTCTTCTTGATCCTTCCTCTTTCCTTTCTTCTTTCTTTTATTAAACCTTGCTTCTCTTGTCTTTCTTTCACTTGCCTAGCTCCCTCCTTTATCTTTTTCTTACCACTTCCACACTTAGCCTAATAACTGTTAACTTCAAAGCACATTCCATAATAGCCCTGCCATTTTCAGTTTCATGCCCACTAGTGATATATTAGTGGCTGCAATTGATTTTAAGTGTGCTATGTATCTTGTATGGTTTAATGCACTCAAGAAACAGAGGCAATATCCAAGGCAATGGCTGTGCTAATAGCAACAAAAACACACGTAAGAATTGTGAAAAGGGGGACTCAGCTTTACTCCTTTTCCTGTGGAACCTCTTAGCCCTCCCTTCTAACCCATCCCCATTCCTTTGTGTCAGCCTATGCACCTAGAAACACTTTCTACCTGAGACCCCCAGTGGCCACATAGGGAGGGCTGAGACTCAAGTAGGTAACTTTCTCTCTCCTTCCTGTCTTCTATTACCATCGCTACTGGCTTAACCCCAACCCTGTGGCACCCTGCATACTCCAACTCCAATCTATGGAGACACCACCTCTTGGTACAGACCTAAGGTCCCCCCTTCCCCCAGCCCTTTCATCCCCACATCTCCGGACACATTCTTTGTGCTACTACAGCCTACTTGAAGGAGTCCCTCCTCCCACCACACATCCAGCTCCCCAAGATCCTGCTTCTTGGTGTGGACTGGATTCTCCAGTTCTAGATGACAAAACAAGGATTTCATTCTCCTGAGGAAAAAGGGATCTGCATACCAAAGGCATTTTTAGGAATGCCAAATGCCAACTGCCTCCTGCTCACCCTTTGGAGGACAACACTAGTGTACAGGTTCCACCACAATGGGAGCAAACCCAGACAGAGAGAAAGACAGCAGCCAGGAAGAGGAGAGCAGCAAAGGATGACAGAACTAACAAACCCAGGAATCACTGGCCACATTGAGCAGCAGGGGTGGAGAACTTCAAGGTGGTAACTGCCAGAAGAAATAGACCCACACTCCATGGGTTTCAAGATTCTTGGCAATGTTTTTATCTTTTTGAAAAATGGTTTATTTTTAAATTATTTATTTTATGTGTATGGGTGTTTTGTCTCTGTACCATGTATGTGCTTAGTGTTCTCAGAAGCTAGGAGAAGGTGTTGGACACCCTAGAACTAAAGTTATAGATAATTGTGAGCCACCACGTGGGTGCTACAAACAGATTCTGGATCCTCTCAAAGAGCAGCCAGTGTTCTTAACCCCTGAGCCGCCTCTCCAGCTTCTATCTTTAAAATTTTTTAAGATAGATTATTTATTTGTGTGTAAGTGTATGTGCATGTGTGTATGGCTGCATGAGCCTATGTGTGTGCATGGAGACCAGGAGAAGGTGCTAGGTGTCCCTCTCTATCACTCTGTCTATTCTATTTTGAGGCTGAGTCTCTTTTTGAATCTGGGGCTTGCTTTTTCTTGACTACACTGAGTGCTAGCAAGCCAAAAGTGACTCTCCTGCGTTTGCCCCTTCAGAGTTGACAAGTGTTATTTAACCACATGTTTTTTTGTTTGTTTGTTTTGTTTTGTTTTCTCTGAGCTACTGTGGTTTCCTGTTAATGCCAATGTGATGTTTAAAAAGATGATTTCATGGAGTTTGGATGAAGAAGGTAGAGGATGTGTCTAAGGAGAATAGCATGCATACTAATGCTGTTACTGTCATTCTTCCCTCCTTGGAGTGGTGGAAGCTCCTGAAGGCTGCAGGAATGAGCACTGTGGAATATTCTCACACATCTCTCTGATAACTGCTATCAGAGTCCGGAGACAGATGGATGCCCACAATGGTTGGTTCTGGATCCTTCCATGCTATAGATGCTATCTGAGTAAGGTGACACTTCCCTTTCTTTTTTAAGAGTAGATACTATCTCCTTCATGAACCTTTGACATGTAAGAGATCTGGTCATTGCTGGAACCTAAAAACAGAGTACCATATTTTCCTACTTGTCCTGGTCCTATGTCAGAGGAAAGCTCAATAATGCTTATTTTGCTGGATTTGGATTTTAAGTTTTACGTTTGTTTTTCAACTATAGAAGAGATGAACTTAGCTCTAATCCTTCCATGCAACAAAACCTTGCTTTCTGGGCACTAGAAACAAAAGAAAAGCCCTGGTGACTTTACATCATCCATACCCACAAGGCTGACCAGCTCTTCTTCATTCATTCCTATGTAGTCCTTTCCTCAGCTAGCCTAAGTGGTCAATCCAGTATACCAAACCCCATTCACTCTGGGAAAATGCCTTTGAATTTGCATCTATAAACTATCTCCTTGACTCTACTCCATGACAGGAAAGGAGAAGTGAAAGGAAACTCTTGAGATGCTTCTACATGAAGCCAATATGACACCAGAAGCAACTCCAATGACCCACCAGACACCCTCAGCCCCTTAAGACTCATTCTTAGAGGCAGCAACCATACCTTAATTTCATTGTCATTAGCAAAATTTCCAAAAGAAGCCATAATTTTGGGAACAGCTGCAGCCAAGGTCTCCTGAACTGACTCCTCAGGTCTCTTGCTTGTTCGGGTCAGGCATGGAAGTAGATTCACCAGGTAAGGCCTGAAGGTGCAAGAGAAACATTCATCATTCTTAAAAAACATATGCTCGTGGTCCCCCATGATGGAAAACCCAGTTTTATAGGTAGGCTGGCCCTTAATAGTGACTACAATGTTCAACTACAAGCACAGGAAGCATAAATGCTGATAACGTTCAACTGTCCTTCATCTCTCCCATAATTTACGAAGGATATTCAAGAAGTTAGGTTTAGAGGCAAGCAAGATGGCTTAGTGGGGTAAAGGCACCTGCTGACAAGTCTAAAGACCCAAGTTTGATCCCTGGCATCCACATAGAAGAAGAGAATCGACTCCTGTAGGTTGTCCACTAACCTCACCCATATGAGATGGAACACACAGAGAGACCCACAGACAAATTGAATGTAATTTAAAAGGTTGGGCTTAAATATTATTTGCAACAAATAATTGTTAAAATATATTTTAAGTAGAAAACAACAGATTAAAGAAAATACTACTTTATAAAGAGAAACTGGAGGGAACCAAGGAGAGAGCTTATACAGCAAGCACAGGAAATGAGTTTGATCCCAAGTATCCACAAAAAAAGCCTGACACAGTGAGCCCACTTGTACTCCCTGCACTAGGGAGGCAGAAACAAGTGAATCCCTGAGCCTAATGGTTGGCCAGGCTAGCCTCATTAGCAGATCCCAAAACAGTCAAAAACTATCTCAAAAAAACAAGTTGGACAGCTCCTGAGGATCAGCACCCCGGAATGACACCTATGGCGTCTCTATATTACAGGAACTGGCACACATCCTTAAACAATAACATTTTTAAAACAAAATACAGACATCATTTACTGAAAAAGTAGTATTTAAAAACTACTATGGGCTGGGTGGTGGTGGTACACACCTTTAATTCCAGCACTCGGGAGGCAGGAGGATCTCTGTGATTTCGAGGCCAGCCTGGTCTACAGAGTGAGTTCCAGGACAGCCAGAGCTGTGCACAGTGAAACTCTGTTTCAAAAAACAAAAACAAAACAAACAAACAAAAACCCTATTGTGGGATAACTGTTGCCTCCACACTTTATATGACCATCAATATCATGAAGCAGAGCAGCTGTGATGACTTACAAGGAGAACGTAGAGCAACAGGCATGACAGCAAAATAAAGAGAACTATAGAGTAGTTACCTAGGCCTTTGGCAATGGAGCTGTTACCATTCCCTTTTGGAGAAGAGAAGAAAGGTCATAAGGCCCTCAAGACCTAATCACCTTTGTGCCACAGGTATATATAACCTTAGAGGTACTAAGGTATGTAAAGGGCAAACTGATTGGAGGTGAGACATCAATGGCATAGCTGCCTATGAGTTGTCTATGCTCTTGTACACAGCCAAATAAACCCATTAATTTGGCAAGCTGGACTTGATGGAACTTTTCTTTGGTAAGTCAGCTCCTTTTGATTAGAAATCAATACAAGTTTCTTTTATGCTCCCCAGGAAAGCTGCACAATCTCTGGGGGTTGGGGGGAGTGTTCAAATTAAATGAGGCCTTCAAACAACAACCCAGTCCTTAGAGAGAAAATCATGCATCTAGTAGGAGGACTGAGAAAAAAGAGACATGGCTGACATTGGGGTGCCTGCTACAAGGCCCTCTTATGTAGCAGCCAGGCTTACAAATAGTACAGCCATCTTTATGAGGCAGACATCTGTGACATCTTGAAATATACTGGGCAAAAATGCCTAGAAAACCTGCATAAGGAGGTGACAATTTTTTCTGAAATGTGAAGCCATTATGAGGAAAATAAAACGGATTTGTTTGGAGAGCTAAAATCAGACCCTGAGTCAATATAACATGTCTGAGGTAATGAGCTAACAGAGGGTTAGCAGAGGCTAGATTGTCCCTTGCCTTGAGCGAGACACCTAGACTATCTGACAGCACTAGAGAATAATTAAGAGGGTTTAAGGAAGAGAATGACAGGACAGTCACTTTTGAACAGCTCTTTGCTATGTTATAAATCTGGGATGTATAGCTCAAAAATATTACAATTTTCAAAGTAAGGTCACTTGAGCTGGAAATGTGGTTTGGTGGTAAAGTGCATGCTTAAGTATGCCTGAGACCTATTCTCAGTACCAAAGCCAACACAAAAATACATACATAAGCACAGTAAAAAGAAAGGTTCTATAAAAATAAATTTGTATGTGGTCACATAAAATTCTTACTGAAACTCAACCTCAACTGAACTCATCACTGTTCCTTATAAATGTGAAGATTTAGAGCATTCTACCAGTTTCTCGTGGATAGAGCCTAGGGTCTTTGGGACATGGGCAGTACATTTTGCCAGCTGAGGAGAAAAGGAAGGAACTGATAAAACTACAGCCCTGTTTTGTTACTCAAGCCAATAAGCCAAATGGGTGGGCTGAATAAGAGACTCAGTGGTAGAACGATTGCCTAGCATGCCTGAGGTCCTGGATTCAATACCTAGCACCATGGAGGTTAAGGGACAGCAACAGGTTAAAAATTTTATGCACTATTCAACATTCATTTCTCCAACCCATGTGCTAGACTCTGGTAGTTTAAATGTAATTGGCCCCCATAAGCTCATAGGGAGTGGCATTATTATTGAAGAAGATGTGGCCTTGTTGGAGGAAGTGTGTCACTGTGGGGGTGGGCTTTGAGGTCTCAGATATGCTCAAGCCATGCCCAGTATCTCAGTTCACTTCTTGTTGCCTTCCAATCAATATGTATAATTCTCAGCTCCTTCTCCAGTACCAATTCTGCCTACACACCACCATGTCCCACCAAGATGTAAATGGACTAAGTCTCTGAACTATAAACCACACCAATTAAATGTTTTCTTTATAAAATTTGCTGTGGTTATGGTGTCTCTTCTCAGCAACAGAAACCCTAACTAAGACATATACAAATGCTTATTTTTCAATAACTGTTATACTTGCTGCTGCTGAGATCAGATTCAATTTTCAATCATTTGGCAAGTATCTTTAACCAATACATTGTGTGAACACCATATTCAGGTTGAGAATCCAGCATAGACTAGGATGGTGAGATCATGTTACTCCATAAGTCTCTTGGGGAATGTTGGGCCAAGAAAGAAGCACATTAATGGAGTATATGCAAATATTCCTGCTAGAGATGGGTGTTAGGAAAGAAATATAAGAAATGAACAGTAACCAAAAGAGCAAAAACAGGAAACTTAGAGGACAAGAATGATCTCTCAAGGGTGAACATCTGCACTGGGACTTACAAGACCAGCAGGACTAGCCATCTACCAAACAAATCTGAAAAATAATATAGAGATACAACTTACCTACATTTTTGAGGTCGAACCAGGTGAGCCAGCTCAGCAAACCTCCAAAGCGCTGCACGCAAACTTCGAGGAGCACCATTCTGGGTGGGGTTTACAAGTGATGTGTTACATCTAAAAGTCACAAGCACTTTCTAAGATAGGTTTATTGTATTGGAGCTGCTTACATCCTCTTTTGGAGAGTTATTAAACATACTTTTTCACTGTTAATTTTCAGAGAAAGGTCCAATTAAATGTGTAAAATAGCTGGTATCTCCACAGATTTCTGAAGTTCAGCAGGCTTCACTTAGAAAAACATGGTTTATTTAAAATAGAAAGTTTCCAGGGGCTGGAGAACATCTCAGGGGTTAAGAGCACGTACACTCTTGCAGAGGACCTCAATGGACACTGCACATACATGATGCAGAGGTACACATGCAGGCAAAACTCATACCCAAAAAATAAAGTAACAAATGTTTACAAAAGTTGCTTCAAATTTCCATTTCATCTAACAAAAATGAGTACATTTTTAAAGAAAACTGAAGTCCACTTCATCAATGGCATTTCCTTCTAACAGTTTTACTTAATAACTTAGAAGATAAAAATCTCATACTGTACTTAACAGTGAAAACAGTATGATCTTTCCAATAATGCAGAGCAAAGGCCCACCTTTTTAATTTCCTTATAGAGTTCTAGCTGTAGCCTTGGAAGATTAGAATCCATCAAAGCCTATAAATAGATTAAAAGAGATTTGTTATAGAAGATACATTCTACCCACAGTTTTAAATAAAGCTAAAGCTAAATGGCAACCAAAATTTTAATTTTTAAAGAAAAGTAACATAACAGCAACTAAATAACAAAGCTATCTGTTAAGAAAAAAGTAAATGTATATAGAAATTATAGAACATTCTAAATTCAGGTCTTTATTGGGATAAAAACAAAAGGAAAAATAATTTAACATTTATAATAATCAAATACTATGTAACATCAAATTAAGATTAACCCTAAGCTCTCATAGTAAACATTCAGTCTTCACTAGTTCATTTGGACAACTCAGGTGACCTCTAAGTAAGAATGGTATGGGGGCTGTACTCATAGAATCTTGAGCCCCTATGTCTAGCAGGGAATATGTGACACAGAATCGAAGTTCTGAACCTCCAAAATGGTGAGGATACTCAGAGACCCCATTCTTTGATCCAACCTGGGTCCCAGTGTCAGCTAGGAAGTCTAAAAGTCCTCACAGCTCATTTCTTGACTTTGCCTGCTCACTTCTGAGCTAAATCAGAAATAAGGTCTATGTATCCAACTTCAAGCCCCAATCAAGGATAATGGCAAAGTCCACATTAAAGAAGGGCTCCCTACTCTTGTCCCTAGAATTTTTTCTTCTAAAATGACATGCTAAAATTGTGCAGAGAAAGTGACCCAGCTCTCCTTTTCAGTCACATGCAGCACCTGATATCTACAGACCAAGAAGAGATGGTTAGCTCTGTCAACCAGACACAACCTAGATTTACCTGGAGACAGTCTCAAAAGATCTGTCTAGAGCAGGTTGTCCTGTGGACATATTTGTGAGGGACTGTCTTGATTGCCTTAATTGATATGGGATAGCCCAGGCTGAAAATGAGTAACACCATTTGGACCCTGAACTGATTGAAAGTAGAGAAAGTTACTGAGTATTAGGCACACATACATTTATTGTCTCTCCACCTTGACTGTGGCTCTGACCAACGCTTCATTGTAATGATGGACTACGACCTGAAGTTCTAAACTAAATCCTTCCTACCTTCAGTATTTGGGGGGGGGGGTCAGGATATTTTATCATAGCAACAGAAATGAAACTAGGACACAGGGATCATCCACTGGGCCCTGAGCTTGAAAGTTAAAACAGAGGCACATTCTGGAAAACGTACTCAGGAGTGCAGCATTCCATCAACTTTTTTTAAATTCATTTTATGTGTGCCTGAGTGTATGTATGTGTACAGTATGTGCATAGGAGCATGCAGAAGTCAGAAGGTGGCTCAAAATACACGGAAACTTGGGTTACAAGTGGTTGTGAGCCACCTCGTGGATGCTGGGAACTGAATTCAGGCCTTCTGTAAAAGCAGCAACCTTTCTTTCTTTCTTTCTTTCTTTCTTTCTTTCTTTCTTTCTTTCTTTCTTTCTTTCTTTTTTTTAACAAGACAGGGTTTCTCTGTATTGTTTTGGAGGCTATCGGTCCAGCCCGGCCTTGAACTCACAGAGATCCGCCTGCCTCTGCCTCCCGAGTGCTGGGATTAAAGGCGTGCGCCACCACCGCCCGGATAGCAGCAACTTTTCTTAAGAAATAAACCATCTCTCTGGCCCCACCAGCAAATTTTAAATCCTGATTCTGGTGCTATAGTTTGAACAAAAAACGCAAATCAGTTGACAAACATATTAAAAGACATACTTTTCAAATAAAAATAGAAAGTACATCAAAGCCTGTTTTAGCTACTAAAATCTAACTCATTCTGTAGTAGAGAAAACGAAAGCTCAAATCTCCTAAGCACAGAACATGGCTCTTCCCTGGGGCCCTAATGGAGTGATGATACAGCTCATCATAGCTTCCTCTCCCACAATCCCCAGCCTGACTCCACACATGGCTGAAAAACAAACCCCACAGCCCAACCGCCTACCTCATAGCTGGGCAACATTCTAGCTCTTGACCTCCCCTCAGCTGGGGTCCCTCTTTCCACTTCCTATCAGGACCAGCTTCCACACAAAGCCAGTGGTCTGCAAAGAGCCCTCATTTTCTATGAAAATGTGTCTTGAACTGACCCACAAGGCACCCCATTCTCCACAGTATGAGGACCTATCCTGCTCTCTATTCCAAACCTCTGAGTAGGAAGTACAGTGGGAAGGTCTTTCCTACTTCGGGATACCACCTCCACCTCCCCAGATAAAAATTATCTCCTTGCTGCCATGTACTTTATACCAAGGGTTATATTCACTTTACCACCCAAGACTAGAAATACTTGAGGGAAGGAACATACTACCTGGATATCAGACTTCAATGCATTTTCAATACAAAAGAAAAGTAGTATCTGCATATTTTTTGGGCTAGAGACTGGACTTTATAAAACACACAGTAATTCTTACAAGAAGACAAAAGTCCGGGGCTGACTAGCAGTTGACCATTTCTGCATTCCTCCCCTTTCCTTGCCTCTGGCCTGAAGCCATCCCATTTTCCCACTTCACCTTGCCTTTCCCTTGCCAGAGTGAACATACCTAACAGGATCCTGGTCCACCCTACTGACTTACCATGTGGGCTGTAGCAGTTGAAGAGGCAGAAACATGAAAGCATCAGTAAGCAGAAGGGAAAGCATGAGAGACTGGCCTGACCTACGCACAGGGTTATGCTGTGGAAAGTTGGAACCTGTGCCATCTGAGACAAGAAACCACAAAGAAACAAAGGAAGTAGAGACAGGCAGCTAAAGAACCAGAACATAAAGCTGCAGCCTAGAGCAGTGGTCTGTAACCTAAAGCATGCACCAAGCCATCATGAACAGCAGCAGCTTCAGTAAAAAGCCACCACAGAAGACAGGTTTGAGCCAGGCAGTGGTGGTGCATACCTTTAATTCCAGCATGCAGGAGGCAGAGGCAGGTGGATCTCTGAGTCTGAGTCTGAGACCAATCTGGATGGTTTCAGGATGACTAGAAGGAGGAGGAGGAAGAAGAAGGAAGAAAAAAGAGGAAAGAAGGAGGAAGAAGGAAAAAGATGACAATGACAACAAGTTTGAAAGGGAATGCTGCCTACAACTGAAATAACTAGGATCTGGGCAATTTAGAGTCACCTCATTCTCTTTGCCCTTCTTAATGCCCACTTGCGAATCAAGGCAACTGTATTATCTCTCTCTGGCTTTTTGCCTTAAAGACAAGAGATCAAGAAATATCAAAGAAAGCCCGATCTGACCCTGAATAATGAAAACAAGGGTGTCTATGACTGGAGAAGATAGAATTGAAATAGGACACATGTGACCAATGTGAGGGTCACCAATGTACCAAGTGTGTAAAATAGGTGAAACCAATCCAGCCATTACACCAACAGGGGAGATGAAACACAAATGCAGGCACTGCACTGGCTGGGATTTTGTCCATTTGACACAAGCTACGGTGCTCCAGGAGGAAGCCCTACCCACTGTAAGCCAAGCTACTTCTGGGCAGGGGATGCTGAATTGTATGAGGAGGAAGCCAGTAAGCACCATTCCTCCATGGCTCCTGTACTTCAGACTGTACTATGAGCTGTAAGATGGAAGAAACCTTTCATTTCCAAGCTGCTTTTGGTCATAGTGTTTTATCACACCAATACAAAGCAAACTAAGGTTAGACGGTGATGGTGCACACCTTTAATTCCAGCACTCAGTAGGCAGAGGCAAGTGGATCTCTGTGAGTTCAAGGACAGCCTGGTGTACAGAGTGAGTTCCAGGACAGCCAAGGCTACATAGAGAAACCCTTGAAAAAACAAAAAAGGAAGGAAGGAAGGAAGGAAGGAAGGAAGGAAGGAAGGAAGGAAGGAAGGAAGGAAGGAAGGAAGGAAGGGGAGGAGGGAGGGAGGGAGGGGGTGGAGGGAGGGAGGAGGAAGGGAGGGAGGGAGGAGGAAGGGAGGGAAGGAGGGAGGAAGAAAGGAAAGAGCAAGCAAACGAAGAAACAAAGCAAGCAAACTAAGATGGGCACTATGTGCAGATATTGGGAAGTGACAAGAGCAACTTCCCAAAGGCTGCCCCACCCCAACCATTCTTCAGCCTCAACAGAGATAGCTGGAAACCTGAGCACCAGAGAAGTCAGCTCTGACCACAGAGTAGGCTAACTAAGAGACTATGGCCTGGTCATATGGAAAGAATTCCTTAGGAAAGGGGATCCACAGATCCATTAACAACAATGAGTTGATGTGTCATGCTTTGCCTTGCCACTGGGCAAAAGTGAGAATTCCATTACTAACAGGAATGTGTCTCACCACACAAACACACCAACATGCTCACATATGAACAATACAAATTCCATAAAGACAAACACTTAGGTTCACAGAAATAAAGTATATTCCCACCAAGTTATTAGTTACAGGTGCAGTAATTACCCTGCTTGGGCCTGAGGAATGGAGAGGAGAACTGCAGCAGGCCATCTGAAACCATGTTCCTCAGCAGACAAGTCATCCTGATGAAGGCTAGACTCATGAAGGAAAGGAGGGTAACTGCATGGCCAGTATAAAATATGGCGCTTTAAAAAGAAAGACATGGGAAAAAAACTGAAAGGGCCATTCTGCTTTAACACACTAACAGGGAGGAGAATAACCACTGTTAGGTGAGTTTCTAGGTCACTCAAACTAGGATTATGAGGAAAACAGCCTGCAAGGAGAGGGAAGAGATTGATGTCTCTAAATTTCAGGACTGAGACTCTAACCAGGAGGGAATGTGTGAAGGCCTGAAGAAAAGATCCTTGCACAGGACAATGAGATACACATTCTCCTTAGTCATCTTTTAGAAACAGTTTAGGAAGAAGTACTGAGAACTATGTCATAGAGCCTACCTACATGGACGTCAACTTGAGATACAAGTGACACTGTGAACTAGTGATACACTAGTTCAAGAGCCCTATTCATAAACTCAAGGGCAATGTGGAAAGAGGCAACAAGAACAGGCATTAGATTCCTAAGAAGAATATATCAGAATGATAAAAACCAAACTGATTTTGTAAAACATTAAGAATGGGAACAGAAACCAGACATGGTGGTGTACACATTTAATACCAGCATTCAGAGTGTGGAAGTAGGTAGATCTCTATGAGCTCAAGGCCAACCTGATCTACATAATGAGTTCCCGGCTAGCCAAGACTACATAGTAAGACCTGTCTCAAAAAAAAAAAAAAAGAAAGAAAAGAAAAGAAAAGTAGAAAATAATGAGGGTAGGGAAGGAAGATTTTCATCTTGCATCACAGTGGAAAACAGAGCAAAGGAACAGACTGCAGCTGCAGTGATCTGCACTAAGTGTTAAGAAGCAATGGCAGAGTGAGATAGGTACCTGACCCCTCCACACCTCTTCTGGTGCTGCCACTGAGTAGCTGGAACTTCCTGGCTTCACTATCATGTCTGAGCTCTCCTTTTTCCCCATTTAAGTCTTGGTACTTCCAATTAACATAACTTGAGAAGCTACATTTTTACCAACAAGTAGTACTTCTGTTAGAAAGGGCAGAGAATAGAAGAGAAGAAAGGCTTCATTTGCCCACCTTTGCTTTCCCAGTGCTTTGGGGTTCTCCAATCAATGCCCAAACAAAAGTGGGAACCCACAGAGACAGTCCTCTTAAGAAATATGCAACCAAAATAAAGAAGAAAAAAAAAAGAAATAGGCAACCAATGATCATACCGATGCCCTTTAGAATTGATCTATGCACTATAAGCTGCAAAAGAAATAGTAACTGCTGATGGAACACATGTAGCTGCTCAGGGGCAAATACTCCAGGCCCTCCAAGCCACATGCCCAAAATGGAAGATATGTAGATATCCTGAAGATGCTTCACTCAAAGCAGAAGGCTCACTGAAAGCTTGTTCTCCTAACCCGCAACAATCACAGGCGCACACATCCACAGGGCTCTTACTTTGATGACTTTGTTGAGGCACTCATCAGCTACCATCCTGACATCTGATTCTGCATCATCACTGCACAGCAGAAACAGCTCCATAGCAATGCCCAAGAGTTTCTGAAATTCTGGAGAATTTCTAAGTAAAAAGAAGAGAGAAAGAGAGATTGTTACAGGCATGAGACTGATGGCAAAGTGCAATGAGGGATTTAAATGGAATTTTGGAACAAGAATGAACATCACATAAAAATTAAGGATATCTGCATAAAGGTGGACTGCAGTGAGCAGCATATTAGTACTAATTCTCTTTTCTTTTTAGGATTTCATTTAAAAAAGAAAGATTTCATTTAAACACCTTTAAAAGGTATTATCTAGGATACTCAAATCCCAGGAAGCCACATGCTTTGTAGTTGCTTTTACTGTTAGATAGTATTTTTGAAGCTTTGAAAAACCAGTAAGCTAATACATCTCCTTTATTTAATCTCACTTTCAATGTGCTTCAAGGTACAACCACATTTCACTAGACTCCACAGGCTCACCAGGCTTTTCTTTTTCTTTCTTTCTTTCTTTTTTTTGGTTTTTCGAGACAGGGTTTCTCTGTATTGTTTTGGAGCCTGTCCTGGAACTCACTCGGTAGACCAAGCTGGTCTCGAACTCACAGAGATCTCTGCCTCTGCCTCCCTAGTGCTGGGATTAAAGGCGTGTGCCACCAACGCCCGGCTTCACAAGGCTTTTCTATTGCAAGAAACAGAATACTGGTGTCACAAAAACTGGAATCTGGGTACTATTTGTGCACTATTTTTGTAAGTTTAATTGAGAGTACTTGTTTGATATGTCATGATCCAACAAGCTAAGTCCTGTCATAAGGAGAGGCTGGTGAACCATGTGAGTGGAACTCTGAAGTACCTCAAACCTATAACATAAGGCATAGTCTGTAAGTGATCCTAGTGACAAAGGAACAGGGTGCGCTATTCCTAATACATCAAAAGCAGACTGTTGTCTCAGGATCTTAATTTAAAGAACCCTGATCTACAGTCTCATTATTTTTCACCACTAAGCAGAAAGTCCTAGCACAGGCCTTTAATCCCAGCACAAGGGAGGCAGAGGCAATGGAATCTCTGTGAGTTCTAAGTCAGTTAGAGCTACACAATGAGACTCTTGTCTCAAAAGGCGTGGAAAGACATCCATAAACCTAAGAGAAAGAAAAAAGGTATCAGTAATGCTAAACACATACAGAGCAAGAAATAAGACATGGCACTCAGCATTGGTAAGAAATACAGTCATAAACTAGGAGCTAAGGAGGGGAACTTGATGCTAGAGACTTTCCCTCAGACATCTGCCTTAGCATTGCCAAAACAGAAGGCTAATGACAGCTACAAGAGTGAACTCAGGTTTCCTTCTAGAAACATCAAAGTAAAAAGAAACAGATAAGGTTAATTATTTAACAAACTTATTCAAAATATCAACATGTAGTCAGAAGGTAACTTGACAGCAGACCTGATGACCTGACTTCAATATTCATAACTTACATCATGAAAAGAACCAACTCTTGAAAGTTGCTCTCTTTCACATAAGTGCAGTGTCTCATGCACACTCACACATATAACACACACAAAATCAATCAATGTAATAAAAAATAAATAAATTAGGACTGTGTTAGACAGCAAGCTCTTTAAGAATCAGGAAACTCTGAAGGAAGTCGTATTAAGACTCAGGAAGTGGCTAGGTATGGTGGCACGTGCCTTTGATCCCAGTACTTAGGAGACAGAAATAGGAGGTCTCTCTTTGAGTTCAAGACCAGCCTGGTCTACAGTAAGTTGAAGAACTACATATATAGATCCTGTCTCAAAAACAAATAAACAAACAAACAACAACAAAGAATAAAAATACTCAAGAAGTAAGCAAGTCTCAAGAAGTCCCTGAAACTTATCAGATTCATAACTACTCTCTGTCCCTAAATGTGCTGTCTAGTTTGATGTCAGCTTGACACAAGCTAGGATCATTTTGGAAGAGGGAACTTCAGTTGAGAAAATGCCTCCACCAGTTTGGCCCCCACCACATTTTCTTGATTAACGATTGATATCAAAGCAGCTATTTTGTTGTGGGTGGTGCCGCCCCTGGGATGGTGGTCCTGACTTCCCTCAGTGATGGACTATGATCTGGAAGTTTAAGATGAAATAAAACTTACCCTCCCTAAACTGCTTTTGGTCACGGTGGGTTTTTTTTGTTTTGCTTTGTTTTGTTTTTGTTTGTTTTTTGAGACAGGGTTTCTCTGTGGCTTTGGAGGCTATCCTGGAACTAGATCTTGTAGACAAGGCTGGTCTCGAACTCACAGAGATCTGCCTGCCTCTGCCTCCCGAGTGCTGGGATTAAAGGCGTGAGCCACCAACGCCCAGCTGGTCACGCTGTTTTATCATAGCAATAGAAACCCTGAAAAGGACACCAGGGTTATAAAGCAGTAAGGACAGTTGAAGGGAGGGAAACTCCTGAAATGTTGAAGTCTATGTTATACAGAGAGTTTCAGAGTTGCAGCTTTAGTGAGCAATCACCCATGCACAGGGTGGGTTTTTGGTGATGCATTGCCTTTTGAGTCAACCATGCTCTAAAAGTTACTGCAAGTAACCCTTGTACACTCACTGATTCACCAAGTTGAATTTTAGTGGTATCAGTACTTTGATCTGTTAATACTTCCCTATGGGTTGAATAAACATTTATTCACATCTCCCCAAGCACAGTGTCACAGAATAGGTTGCCACATGCATGATTACATCTGCAATCCCAGCACTCAAGAGGCAGAGACAAGATCACCACTTGTCCCAGATTAGTATATAGTAGTGAGGTCTTGGGGGAGAGGAAGAGAGAGAGGGGGAGAGGGGGAGAGGGAGGGAGGGGGAGGGATGTAGGGAGAGGGAAGAGGAAGAGGAAGGAGGAGGAGGAGGTCGAGGAAGAGAAGGAGGAGGAGGAAAGTCTCTTATGGTTACCGCTATTTCCACTGCTCTTCAATCCTTTGTGTAGATCCAAATTCTATCTGGTATCGTTTTTCTATCTACCAGAAACTTCCTTTAAAATGTCTTAAACGCATTGCTTGTCCTGTAGTATGTCTGAAAACCTGTTTTACCTCTTCATTTGACAGAGATTTTAACTGGGAAAGCATGCCTTACAGATGGCACTTCCCTGGACTCTGGCAGGCATTTCCTATGAGAAGTTGTCTGTGGCCTTATTTTAGTTCAAGCTCAGTCTTTCCCCTGTCTTGTTTCTACTATCCATACCTTCAACCTTTTGCTTCCTGAACACACAAAATAGTCTGTTTCAATGTTTCTGTGTGCTAACCTAGTTTAATTTCTGGGCCAATGTTGACAAATTGTTCTTGTTACAAATTGTAACGTCCTACACTTTGCATTTCTGGTTGATTTTTGTTGCGGTCAGATTTTGGTTTGAAGCCAGTGTCTCTATCTATGTCTATCGTGGCCCCGTGTGTCTTACCTCTGACAAAAAGTCTAATGATTTTGATTGCCAACTTGTAAGGTGACAATGTCCTATTTTGTTTTCATCACTGCTCCAGCTGCTACAGGAAAATCCCACAGTCTAGATGGCTGAAAGCATAACATATGTCTCTGGCAAATGGAGTCAATGCTGGTACCAAGTGGAGGACAGGGAGAGGAGAGCAGAGAGTCATGCTTTCTTACCCTCTAAATATCTACAATCTGGCTTTCTTGTAGCAAACCAGAATTTTTTTTTCCTTAAGACAAGAGTTTCTCTGTGTAGCTTTTGAGCCTGTTCTGGCACTCACTCTATAGACCAGGCTGTCCTCAAATTCACAGAGATCTGCCTGCCTCTGCCTCCCGATTGCTGAGATTAAAGGCATATGCCACCACCACTCAGGTGATATATGTATTTTCTAGAGTTCTGCAAGTCACCCTAGCAAACTAAAAACTCCTGAACCTAAAGAGGAGGGACACACAAATCTCATACTAGTCATTCAATGGCCCCCTACAGGCCTCGGTCTGGTACTTAAAGAGCAGTTTATGAGACAAAGTGGTATAAATTTGTGGGATGTGACATTAACCCCAAGAAGACAGAGTAAACACTGAACTCACCTACTAAAATGCATAACTGGCCTCAGTTATAGAATGGGGGATTAAGCCTTCAACACATAGACTGGGATGGGAGATAAAACATTCAGTCCACAACTAATAAAGATGAACTTTTAACATAGGAAACACAAAGTACTGAGCCCAACCAGATTCCTTTCTTTCTTTTTCTTATTTTGTTTGTTTGTTTATTTATTTTAGATTTTGAGAAGAAGTCATGCTTTTATAAAGCCCAGGTGTGGTAATATATTATTTATTTGATTTAATAAAGATTGCCTGATGTAACAGAATGCAAAGCCAGCCACACTTGGTTTAATCCCAGGACTCAGGATGGATCTCTGTGAGTTCAAGACCACCCAGGGCTACAAGAGAGTGAGTCAACTAAAAGATTAACAGAGCTCACATCTTTAATCCCAGCCCTAGAGAAGTGTATAAAAGACAGGAGCCCAATGCCTCAGACTGCATTCTGAGATTTAGTCCCCAGCCACGTTGAAGACAGGCAGCAGTATGAGGCTTGGGGGAGAGCTCTTGGAGACAGGATCTACCCTTTCAGTCTGAGGTAGAGGTAAGAAGCTAGTGACCATCTGTTTTGTTTTTCCAATCTTCAGCTTGAAGCTTGAAGCTTGAAGCTCAGGGTCTTTTATGATTTGTGTTATACCCAGGCTAGCCTCTAACCCGTGAACTTCCTTTGCCTCTTGTCAAAGTAGTACTCCAGTCAAATTTCTTTATTGAAATACTTGTTTTCTTTATCTATTTTCTTATTAAGATAATGGTCTTTTCTTTAATGATTCACAAATAAACTATTAAACCTTTCATTCATACACTGTCAATACCCTCCCTAAATTGCATTTACTTTCTATTTTATTTAAGGTGGGTTTTGATATTTAAGCTATATTCTAAAGCCAGGTGTCCTGATTAGTTTAGAATACAATTACCCAAGAGACATCTAAAGGGGGGGGGGAACACACTAGAGAGCACTGGCTGCTCTCCCAGAAGTCTCAGCAATCACATGGTGGCTCATAGCCATCTATAATGGTATCTGCTGTCCTCTTCTGTCATGCAAGCATGCAAACAGAGCACTCATAAATAAATAAATAAGTGAATGAATGAATGAATAAATGAATAAATAAATAAGTAAATCTTAAAAAAAAAAGTTACCTGAGAGACTGTGCCACGATGTTTTCACATATTGTCAGACAATGACTTACACGGTCCTTCTTGGTGGCTGAGAGTTCCTTCTTTCTAAAAATCAAAAGGAAAAGAAATGAGCTTTGTTTCTTTATTTCATTCATTCCTAAGTACTTCTTGGCTACCACCAGTGAATCATTAACCCCATGCTGGGAAAAGGGTAGCATAAGGATGGGTAGGGATGGTAACAGATGAGTTCTACCAAGGGCTTCCTAATGCACCACTCACATGAACCAAAAAAAAAAAAAAAAAAATCAGAGGAATCAAAAAGACATTATTTTTCTCCATTATAGAGAGAAAGGGGAAATGAAGTGCCAATAGTCAGGCAGGGAGGAAAACAGGCAGGATAGACCCCATGAAAGGCAAAGTCAGAGATGAAGACTGTACAGGGGTTCCCAGCACAGAAAGATCCAGAGCCTGAATGTTATACCAGTAAAGATCTGTCACTACTGGGACCAGTGTGTCTCTTTCATCTCTGTCCTAAAACAGAGTTTTTCTGACAAGTTGTGCTGCAGAATGCTGATCACCCACTGAAATTTGCATAGCTTGATCTTTGCCTTGACTTGCCAAAGATTGCACAAGTAGGAAGTGTTGTGCCCAAGTTGTAAAGTTCCCCAGAGACTACCAGATCTATTAAACTGAAAAAGCAAGGTTTAATGATTGTTTATCTAACCATAACAGGGACCCCGTCTAGCAAGCTGACACAGCAGCCCCTAGAAGGAGTGAAGTTCCCTGTCTACTGCTAGGTTTTAAAGACCAAAGTTACAGGATTACATCAGTAGGCACAGATTGGTTTCTGATTGGTTGACATTTGAGTACAATTAGGAGCATTTTTTAAAGTCATATTTTGGCATGAAATTCCTGTGCATTAATTATTTTTATTGGTCAGTGTTGAGAGGGAACAGTCTGTGGTTTCTATGGCATTGTCTTGTTACTTGTAGATGGCCTGTTGTACATGGATACCAATAGTTTTTAGAACTATATCCTGGAGACTACAGGGGAGGTTTAGGTCCCCCCTTGGAGTTTCTTTTGTGGCCAAACAGTTCCCAGGAACGAAGCATCTAGGAGGCTGGGGTGGGGGGTCGGGGTCTGGAGTTTCTTTGTGTTCAGTTTTGGCCCTAGACTCCGGGAGGCCAGAGGATCTGGAGTTTCCTTGTGTCAGAGGCCTACATGTGTTTTCTGTAGCCTATCATGGCTAATAAAGCAGGCGCTGAGTGAGGATCTAGTCCCTTCATTTTTAAAAGTGAAGCCTTTGAGTTTAGTTTACCCCTTTCAGGAAGTAAGAGCCAGGACTGGTTCTCTAACTTTAAATATAATCTCACCAATTCACACTCAGTTCACATTTTCCCCCATTTAAAATAACACTGAAACAAGAATGCATATTACAGCCAGTGGCTATACTTACTGCAGCCTGTGGTAGTCCTTAGCTCCTGAGCTCCAGGATACCTTTCCATCTTAGCTGTGTAACACTCAGTATTCTGTGACTCCCAAATGCCAGAATACCTGTCCCACCCGATCAGCCCCAAATGCCTACAGTTAATGCCAGTAAAGAATCCATCAGTACTGGGGTCAATGAACGTGTCCCCTTCATCTCTTCCTAAAAAGGACTTTTCCTGACAAATCAAGCTGCAGAGGCTGATCACCAAAACTTGTCTAGCTACAGCCACATAACTTGGTCCCATAGATGGATTGGGAACACAAGTGACATACAGAATTGCTATTGCATCTGTTTGTCCTATCTATCTCCCTCCAATCAGAACAAACATGCCCAACACTCAGGTTTCAATTACATAGATAAAGACAGTAAGAAGAGTGCAGAACAGCATGGAAGCATCTTGGGTCCCTACAGGACTTTCAGAAGCTCAGATCCACACACTTCCCATTCTCATAAGAAGCTCACTGCAGAAATGCTGGAATTGAAATCTAACAAACATCCTTTATCCAGTAAAAGACAAAATGTGATAGTCAAACAACGGAAACTACTTACTAGAAAAAGGAAGTAACTACTGATAGGAAATGGGCAAATCATAATGCACTACACTTGAGGAAAGAAATTAAGACTTCAAAGACTGACAGAGTGGTTCTATTTTTAAAACATTCTGGAACAAACAAAACTATAAGAATGAAAATATGACCAGTAGTTTCCAGGGATGATAAGGTGACAGCAAAAAGACATACAGAGCTTTGGAGGTGGCAGAACCACTCTAAATGCAGATTATGGGGCTAGCAAGATGGCTCAGACAGTAAAATTACTTGCCATATGAGCTTGAGGACCTGAGTGTGATCCCTAGAGCCCACAATAGAGAGAACAAATCCCCAAAGTTGTTCTCTGGCCTCCACACATGTTCCTTTGTGCATGAGCATACACACACACACACACACACACACACACTCTCATGTGCACACACTCGAGCACACACACTCACACATGGGCATGCGTTCGTCATAATTATAATAAATTAAATTTATGAATCCTAATTATGATAGACACAGGGATTAGTGCATTAGTCAAATCGCACAGAATGTACACTTAATAACATTTTCACACACGGTAAAGAAAATGCTATGAGAATAAAATGCTTTCTTCTCTAAGTCACTTGGTACTAGAGCCTCTGCTGTAGTAGCTTAGATAGTGCCTTCTTTATGATAGCCAAAAAGGATCCTTAGAGAACACCAACCACCTTAAGCATTTTAGGGAGCAAACTATACTTTGATTTGCACAGGGAAACTTTGTCCCAGCCTTTAAATGAAATGAATTCAGACTCAGACATGCTTCAAAACACAATGGTCTGAGATTTTTAGTGACTTCAGATCAAGTAGAACCTCCAGAGTTAAAAGCCAGAAAGTTGAGCTGACCTTTGTTGTGGAACAACTTTCTCAATTCCAATAATGGGACTCAGGTAACTCAGACAGCATGGTAAACAGGTAATTTCGATGGTCCCACCATGATCAGTGGTATACAGCCTGGTATACGGCCGCACAAGGCAGCAAGCTGCATTGAAAGACTGCCATGACATTGAGGATGGGGGTGGGCTCCCAAACAAGGTGATTCTCAAGGTCCTGTCAGGCTGTCACAAGTTTATGACAGAAGCAACACATCAAGATGCCAACTTTTCTGTAATTAAGAATTACTGTGATGCTCTCTCAGCCTGGACTCTTAGGGGAGTGCCTGGACTCTACCAAGAGTAAAATGACAGACTCTAGATATCCCCTATGGGGAAGGATTTGGCAATAGGGTGGGAGGCTGGGGGGGGGGAAGGGGAGTGCGGGAGAAGGGGAGGGAGAGGGAACTGGGATTGACATGTAAAACAAGCTATTTAAAATTAAAATAAAAAATGATAAAATAAAATAAAGAAAGAATTACTGTGTAGGTCTCCAACATGTTTATCACTTAGTAGAATCATGGAGTGAGTGGTTACCAAAAGAGGGTTGGGGGGGGGGTCAGTCCTGAAAAGATGAGTCAGTGGTTAAAACACTTGTTATGCAAGCAAAGGAGCCAGAACTCTGGTCACCAACCCATTTAAATGCAAGGTGACAGTGGCATCCACCTATGATTCCAGTCTTGTAAAGTGGAGATGGAATTCCTGGAGCTAGCTGGCTATCAACACAAGCCTGAGTTTGACTGAGAGACATTGCCTCAAAGAAAAAAGTAGAAAAATGATCAAGAAAGATTCCGACATCAACCTTAGGCCTCCACAATCTAGAACATATTTGCATATCCTACACAAACACTACACTACACACACACACACATTAAAAAAGATTTAAAAAAAAAAAACAGCTTCACACCAATTACATGTTTGATGACCTAGCTAGGCCTATGGGACATTTATTTTACTACTTTGGAAAAAGTTTTCTGTGTTCATTCTCCCTCCCCTTCCTTCATGAGATAAACCCACATGACAAAGTTAGCAACAAACAATGTAACAATATGATCCACCTCTCACAGCCTGCCACCTTGGATTTACTCAGTCAAGATCATCAAACTATGAGTTAAGGAGGATACCAATCTTAACAATGAAATGAAAATTCATGATTCTGCTTTTTTGTCCAGTTTGAGGCACAGAGGACCCTGAAGGAAGCCTTCTTACTTACCAGTGGCCCTTTTTCGGGTCCTACTGGTACTTCCTCAGGCAGTGCTCCTTAGAATATATCTACAGAATTGAGGGTGGAGGGACCACATCATATCTGCATTACTGGCACTCACACTGTACAACATTCTACAAAGAGCTTATCAAATAAAGAAGTAAATCTCTGATGTGAGAGACTCTGTTAAAGAAATCATCAGCACTGGTTTCTTGAGTGAGTCTTTGGAGACTCAGAAGATAAACAACAATGATCCTAACTTTACATGAGTTTCCAAAACCAAGAGATCAAAGAAAGGTAGAAATTAAAATGCTTTATCCCAAACACCACCAGCTCAAATTCTTTGGTCTGGTATGAAAATTGCTTAAAGAGACAGGAAGATGGCTCAGTGAGTAAAAGTATCTGCCCTGCAAGTCCAATGACCTGAGATTGATCCCAAAACCCTTATTAAAAGTTAAATGCAGCCGGGCCGTGGCTCACGCCTTTAATCCCAGCACTCAGGAGCCAGAGGCAGGCGGATCTCTGTGAGTTCGAGGTGAGCCTGGTCTACAGAGTGAGTTCCAGGACAGCCTCCAAAACAATACAGAGAACCCTGTCTCAAAAACAAAACAAAACAAAAAGTTAAATGCAGTAGTACACATCTGTAATCTTAGCACTCCTAAGCAGAGATAGGAGGCACAAATGGGGAATTACCTGGAAGGTCACAAGACAGTTAGCCTGAGAGATTGGGGGTGGTGGTGGTGAAGAGGAACAAAGAGAAGGAGGAGGGGTAGGAAACAAGGCAGAAAGGAAATGACCAATGAGATGGCTAATCTCAGCTGACTACTTCTGGAATCAGCTAAATCCCAAGCAGCTGGGCACATAATGGGAAGACCCACCCTTAAATCTGGGCTACAGCTTCTAGTGGGGTGTGGGGTGTGTGTGTGTGTGTGTGCAAATTTGCACACACACACACACATATATATTGG